TGAGAGACTTCCTACGGAACGCACATTGGGATTATTTTGGAATACTATGGTTGATGCGTTCGAATTTAAATTTCGCATACCGAAATGCCCTCTCACTAGGCGAGGTATATTGTCGAGTGTAGCTTCATTATACGATCCCTTAGGATTGTTAGCACCATTCATACTTCCTATGAAGCAGTTACTACAACTTTTAGGTAAATTGGGACTGGGATGGGACGAAGAGATTCCAAGTGAGGAAATCAAACGCTGGTTAGAGGTTTTAAGTGAATTTCAGAGGGTTGAGAACGCTAGTTTTCCACGCTGTGTATTATTTCCACAATCAGATCGCTCGCTCCTGGAACTTCGTATTTTCTGTGACGCCTCGGAAACTGGATATGGGGCAGTGGCATACGTCCGCTCTTACATCTATGACACTGAAATATGTTCTCGTCTTATTACGGCTAAGGCAAGAGTAACCCCCTTAATGATTCAAACTACACCCCGCTTCGAACTTACGGCAGCAGTGTTAGCAGCGCGTATGGGGTCCCAGCTGCAGTCCGAGTTAGATATTAAGCTTGCAGAAGTTATGTTTTGGACCGATTCCATGATTGTCTTACACTATATTATAAATGAGAAAAGCCAGTTTAAAACAATCATAGCAAACCGGATTTCGACTATCCACAGTCTTACAAAGGTGGACCAATGGAGATTCGTACCTTATAAGGAAAACATAGCAGACTTTGCATCCAGAAGAGCCAAGTTCAACATTGATGACGTCAAGGTGTGGGAAGAGGGACCACATTTTTTGAAGAAGTCAAAGGAGTGTTGGCCTGATGCGGATGTACAACGTCCTGAACCCCATCTCTTGGAATTAAAGAAGGTAATGTCCACGCATGTAATAGTTGGAGAATCCACTGTCGATCTACTTATTAATTATTATTCAGATTGGACTAGATTACTTAAAGCTGTTGCATGGTTGATGCGATTTAAGCGATATTTATTAACGATGTATTCTGGCAGGAATGATCTGTCTCTACAGATGGGTATGCTCAGAGTTGATGAGCTAGATTTACCTTGTTTATATTGAATTCGATGAGTCCAAAGCAGTTTACAAGCATTACAGAGAGAGTAAACTGTCTGATAAAACGGTGGTACTGGCTTGGTTTTCCATCGAGAAACATCATATCGATCTTAACCGAAACCGTATTATTAACCGTAGTACGCAACGTATCCTTTAATTCATCAATCCAATCGCATTTTGAGGTGTTAAATACCTCCACGGAATGCTTATTATGCGCAATGTCACAATCCAAGTACCTTTCCACCTTAGCATTTATCTCAGATTTGTCTACTGACGGTCGGTTGTCGTTTTCTATGACCTTACATTCTAATTCGGCCATATCAACCTCCTCTTGAAGATCTAACATTTTAAGCTGCCATTCTAACTCAAGCCTCCTTTTCAAATTCTTCTTCCTTAGTAATGCCTTATCTAACCTCAATCTAGAAGTACTAAACTGAGCTGAGGACTTACTATTAACACTAATATCGTCACGGTTATCATCATTAAAATCAGACATACCACAGACAGCTTTAGAATCTTTACCATCCATTTCGTCATTTTCCTTCGGCTTTTCGCTTCTGGTTTCCATTGTATGCCTTTGTTCGAAAATCGGTTACCAAGCAAATGTGAATTAATCCAAACGAATTCGACCAATAAGACCGAAAATTGGACCCAAAATGTCCAGACGTATCCAATGTATGACAACAGAATTAAAATTGAAGAACTTTTGTTACGTCCAAGTTTCGCTCCTTCCCGTTATTGAAGTACGGTATGTCGACAACAACAACAACAACAACAGAACCAAACTCCAAAGTTAGGTACCAAAGTTTATTCGCGATTCACAAATAGTCGACCAAAATGTCGTTCTAACAACCATAATTACAATAACTACAAATACCTTCAATTTTATAGGTTCCTGGAGCAAAAACTCCCAATTAGCAAACCAAGACAAACAGAAACCAAAATGTCCGAAAATAATAAATCAAACAAGTTCATAAGTTAAGTAAAACAAATATACCCAAAAAACACAGTGAAATTAATGATATTCATATAAAGGTTTTGATCAGTTGAAAAGTATATATATATATATATATATATATATATATATATATATATATATATATATATATATATAGATAAGGAGAGCGGGTGGCCGTGAAAGTCAAGATTTTTGAGATTTCCAAGGATGGTGATCCAGTCTTAGCAGTGAAATCAACTGAGATCTTATTTAGGATCTAGGAACTGGGTGTCATCCCAACTTGTCTACTGATGATATTAGTAGGTTGCTATTTTTCGACCACAGGTGTCTTCCAAGCATTGCTCTTATACCTTGGGACCATCGAGCAACCAATGCGGTTGTCAGGAATCAAGTACCACGTAAGGATGGCAAGTCGATCTATAAAATAATGAATCTTAATCTGTTGAGGTGGTTTGGATATATGTTACGTATGACCAACCACCAGTTGCCTCAATGAGCGATCTTTAGTGATATAGGGGTAGGCTGAAAAAAAGTTAGGGCTGGCTAAATCAAAACATGGCACAAATCCATGAAGTCACTGACAAGTGGACTGAGACATGTTGGTAGATGTAGGCTAAGTGGTTGGGGTCCGCAAGACGAAAGTAACCGATGGTTAGAGACCTCGAATGACATTGCTCAAAGTCATTTGCAATGGCGCAGGTGCACCTACCCTTTATTTCCTCTAAAATTCTTATCTTGTGAACTTCTCAAGATCTTTTTATATTTTTAAATTTACTTCAGAGATATACTCCTCAAATCATATTTTCCATCCCTAATCTTCATTACTCTTAAATTGCTACTGCCTCTACGACTGTGGGATTCGAATTGATAAGTCAATCTCTCTGTACTAACGTGGCATGGGCAACTTGAAATGATATTCATAAGTACGTAGTCCTATGTTGCAGTTGACTGGCAGACGAAAGACATCCATTGAAATCGTCATCATCAACAGCAACGTGGAGATTTGCACGTCAGTACAGCAGTCCAGGTTGACATACCACATCAACACAGAGACGCAATTGTCACTTCTAATCCCATAGTAGTAGACGTAGTAGAAGTCTTAGCAGTAATCGGAGAGATTAGGGTTCAACGATATTATTCAAGAAATAGGATCTAGTGAAAGAAACTCAAAAATAAAAAGATAAAGGTGATGAGGAATTCAAAAGGTTAGGATTGGAGAGAACACAAAGAATGGATGCACCGGCGCCATTGACAACGGTTTTGAGCCATGTCATTCAGCTCTCTAACCATAGATTATTATCATCTCGCGGACCCCAACCAGGTAGCCTATATCTACCAACATGACTCAGTCCACTTGTCAGTGACTTCATGCATTTCTGTCATGTTTTAGTCTGGTCGCCCCTAGAATTCTTCCAACCTATTTCTACATCGCAAAACATAGCTCGACAAGGCAGTCGGTGGTTGTGCATTCGTAATACATGTCCCAACTACCCCAACTGATGAAGCTTCAATAATTCATCTATTTATCGGCCATACTGTTTCCTAACAACAGCATTGCTAACTCGGTTGACCCACGATACGCGAGCAATGCTTCGGAGACACCTATGATCAAAAACCAGTAACCTATGAATATCACCTACTCTGACTGGCCTAGTTTCACAGACATAAAGCAGGACGGAGCGAACTACCACGCAGTACACTCGTCCTTTGGTCAGCAAACGGATATCCCGCCTTCGCCATAAGAGACGCAAGTTAGCAAAAGCCAATCGAGCTTTCTGTACCCGTGCCGAGATTTCGTCAGTAAGCTGAAATCGAGTTGTTAAATATATGTAGTGGAGAAGTTGATCTATTTTATGGTTTCATCAGTAGTTTCCAGTCGAAATTCAGGTATACTCTTTTTTCATCAAAAGTCGGTAGTGGCAATCTATAATAAGAGTTCAAGCAGTTTAAACCATCAGAGTGGATACTAAAAATCTTTGGATATTTCACTTTTTGTAAAAATTTTGTAAAGAAATCTATTCGATAGTCTTTTTTAACCTCTTTTTGCAGCATACTTACTGAAAACATTTTTGTAACAAGAAATAAACAGGTATGAAATCAAGATATGAATAAATACTGTTACGGCCACCAGTACAGATCTCATCTCCGATGCATGTAGACCAGTTGAATTAACAGGTGCAAGTTAGCTTTATTTCATTTCCAACTTAAATTGATAGAACTAAATACGTCTACACAGTACGGGAAAAATAAATCATTCTGAACTTCTGTTATTATCCCGTTCAGATAGAATGGAGGGCATTGATTACTTGCCACTGTTGAATCCCAGTGTGATAGTGGGACAAAAGATCAGTTCGTGGACATAAGAAATTATTAAGATTGGTGCTATTAATCGCTAAGCATTTTATTAGTGTTTTGGTTAGAGGTTCATAAAGGTTTGATTCGAAGTGGCTACCTATGAATAAACATAATTTTTTAACAATGTTTAATTGCAAATCAGGAAGCGACATCTTTCATTCTTAATTCTTAAACCAGGTAATCAAGTCATTTTTTAAAGCATACTAGTAACTTATTATTAAATTTGTGATATAATAATCAATGACAATCTGACTCAAACTTAAATTTCAATCACACACCTCACAGATTTTTATAATTATTATGATTGCCTGATCACCTAAAATGGCTACCGACTGAATGGGATAAAAACATAGTGTAGGTATTCGGTTTACTTTTGGACAACTTCCTTTACACCAACCTAAATGAAGATGACAAAAGCGATGAATGGCGATTTGACGCTTCAATCCGGTTCGTGCTGACCTTTTCCCATCAGGAATCCCGATAATGCCCATGACAACTCGTGATATAAGCATTACTTCTTTCTTCATATTCAGTGAGGTTTGTTGACTACTTCAGTCATGAACGATTAAAACAGATTACGAATTTAGTATAAAATTTTAGGACGTTAAAACACCAAACGCGCCTCATCCAGCTTTCAAACTGTATATTTAATAAAAGGGATTGACATCTTAAACACGACTTCATTTAATTTGTTGATATGCACAAGCTTATGTAAAAATAGTAAGACTATAATTATTGGAAAACATTTAAAAATGATGAGCCGTTCTTTTGAAATAATACATAGTCAATCATATTAACAGGGTTATTTTTATTTATAAAAATGGTACAAAATCAATCAATTTAAATATTGAACTGAATAACAAACGGATGTATAAATAAGAAGGATGGAAAAACTTAACCATAGAATTAGTTTTTTTGTTAAAAAAGTACAAAAACTCACTAAGTTGAAAAAAAACGCTAGTAGATACAATAATTGGTAATCATTATTGTGAACCAAATGAAACCAATGCGCTGTTCGTGTATGATCACCGAAAGACTAGTGAAAATCACAGCTGTGCATAATATGTTCACGTAAATTACTACCATTACTGAGCGTGAGTAGTCTGTCAATTTTATAGTAATTAAGGCTTGACGAAATGAAGGTTTTAAGGAAAGACAAACATCGTTGGCAAAGTGTCCCTCGGAAATCTATAACCTCCAAATTCCTACTAACATATGAATAGTAATGATTTACATAGATGAACACATATACGGATGTTAAAAGTGAGCGCAAAAGATTTTTATCTAACAAACCAGGCACAAAGATGTAAATAGTGATTGGGCTTGAAAAAAGTACTAGTGAAAGCATCTGAAGGCTGATATGCTTAGTCCTTTCCAAATAAACATTAAAGGTTAGACATTCCAGACGGAATCTTTAATTTCAAATGAATGGAAAATAACTTTTGCACACATTCCCAGTGATCTCTACAAAGAAAATGTACCTGCTTTTAGTCATTGTTTTGTTAAGATATCCGTTCAGTTCGATCTCAGTTATGTTGAAAAAATACAATTGCGATCGATAGAGAAGGGTCATTTACAGATAACGAGCCAGTGGAAAATATGTGCTTTTACAACAGATAATCAAAGATAGAAATTATAAATTTGCAGTATTCAACTAAGAAATGGAATGAATGTGTACTGACGTCAAAGAATGATATTACAGGAAGGTACATATTTGAATCAAATCAATAATAAACATAAAGAAACCCACTTGCTGCAGAAATTTGGACGGGAAAACATGAGAAAGTTAAGAAGCATTTTTCAACTTTCGTATAAAGTCAGATGATTTCAAACCTTCTAAGATATAATTATTATTAGAAGAGTTTGCTGATACCGACAGCAACTCTTGACGTAAGCAATTTACTGCTTCCAAAACTCGATCGGGCAAATGATGACTTAACATTTTTGGGTGGATTAAAATAGTCTGAAATTGTTGTGGGTTTGACCAGACACCAGCTACCGTTCTCTTCAGTTTATTAGGTTTGACGCAACTAAAAGTACAACAGATAAGTTTAAAACGCACTAGAAATATATGAGGCATTTCTTAAGATAAGTTACTAACAACTAAATGGTTGATGTATACTTAAGCATGGCTACAAGCATGTCAAACAAAAGTTGTGGTAATAGTATAAAATTTATAATTTACGCGAATTAATATTGAGATGATTTTTTTTATAAGTACAAAAGTGATTATATACAGAAAATCCTCGTTATTTTATGATTAAAAGTAAATAGATCTTTGTTTTTACCTATAATAGACGTCTAGCTGTTGTTAATCGAAATTAATGGATGAAACCTTACAACTGTAGACTACTTTCGTTGCAAATCCGAAAAAAAAATACACTTGTTCAGTGTACTAATGGACAGCCAAAAAGTTTTACATAACACATCATAATGGGTTGGTGATCTAAAAGTAGTGAATATGGAAATCGAGCATTCAACCTCACATATGCCTCGAAAATTGAGAACTTTTCAAGTAGTTTTGACAATTGGTTAACTTTACAACAAATATTCTGAATAGACATCATTGATAACTAATGTCAGCTTTGAAGATAGATACAACTAAAGACTTTGAATGAATGATTTTCCTATTGCGTAAAGAACTCATTTTCAATAATTACTTAAGTAGACGTTGAAGCAAACAATGCATACATGTAGTTTAAAGGCGCTTGTCATATAAATGAAAATCAAATGAGACCATCTGCTTGTTGTTGCCACATTGATACTTCCTAAACTAGATAATCTCAAATATATGCTCAGATCGATATAGAAAAATGATGGGATGATAAAGTAAAACAGATGCAGTGAAAATTTGGAAAGAACGCAGAGTGAAATTGTCATCAGCAATTCAAACAAGAACAAACCAGATAATTTATTATTCAAAAATAAATCCTCTTTTTTTGGGAATCAAAAATGTTATTTTACATGAGATAAATAATTAGGAAAAAGATCTGAATATAATTTCCTATATTTGAGTGTTGACAAGAGTATTTTCTGTTAAGACATTTCAAATACACAAAAACGGGAAAATTAGCTAGAAAGTGAAAAAGTTGAAAAATGTAAAATTGTTTTTTTTGGGATTCACTGCGTAACTGTTAACTGGTTTTAACGACCAACGGTGTAGCAGAAAAATGTGATCCAGATGAAAGTGAACTTACCTTCAAGTCAATTTAAAGCTCACATGAATTAAAAAGAAATATTTGGGTAGAGTTTACCAACGGAATAAAACGTTTCGACTGCAAGTGAATTTTAAAAACCACTAACTACACTTTCAGTCTTGAGTTTATTTTAAAGTTTTCTAATAATAATTAATAAGAGAAAATTAGAATCAAAATTGTTTCTGTATAGGATAGTTTAAATATGTGAATGCTTTTTAAAACAGTGTATAAGGTGACTCGTTTAGGGTTAAACCATTCAAATCAAACCCACTATATTCAAATTTCAATCCCGCTTCATTTACCTTATGATTTCGATCTAGGGTGGGGTGGGGAAGTAAAGTACAATCGGGTTTCATATTCAAGTTAAGGCTGAAAATCTGATATTGAATCATAAGTATTGGAACGAGCTCTCTGATTGTGTGACTGGCTTCAATAGTTGGGAGGTGTGCTATAGAATTTGTTCCGGTAACTTACACATCATGCATTATTTGTTGATGCTTGGACTAGTCATTCACAGCGGAGATATGGTAAATGTATTACTTGATGCTAGTGTATGAAAGAAAGCTGTACAAGACCGGTACCAATTCGTCCTTCAAGACTCCCTAAGTAAGGTCCGAGCGATAGTGGAAATCAGTAGATTTAGACGTTATCAGACATGGCTCAGAGAAAAGAACTTGATAATCACACTTGAGATACATAAGGTTTATGAAACAGCTATTCACGTTTGAAAATCTTAATAGAGTCGACAATGCGTGTAAGCTAATTTTTCTGTAAACAGCTAAAACTATTAGACTTATAACATATAATAAATACTTTGTTTAATTACGTTTAGATATATATGAGAGAAGTCATTCATAATATCGTACCATGCATTGATTCTACTAGACTTTGCTGATAACATCCTTTCCATTCTAGAATTATAGCTCAGTGAATTACATTCAATATCTTCTTGAGTATTGCCTTCATTCATCATGAACCCAGGAGAAGTATCTTCAGCAACTGTATCAATATTAACATCAACCAAATGAAGCACTAAGCCACCAAATACACCGTTAGATAAATCATATGATTCAACATCAGACGACTGAATTTCATTAGAAGCATACAAATTTGTCTCAATACTGTTATTATAATTGTTTGAATATTCCTTATGTGAAACAGCCCTTGTAGATTTAGGACTTGTTGGAAGAAGACTATTAGGATTGATCCAACACAGAATTGAACGTGGACCAGAACGAAAACGACTGGATCGTGAAGTACGACAGGCGCTCGTAGAACCTACGAAAGAGTGTGGTATGGACAGTTATTAAGAATTTCATTTAACTGGATATGAGTAAAACATTTGATAAAAGCAACTATAAAATGATGCTAAACCAAATAAGAAATTTACGCGGGCGTTTACAAAGTGTCAGACATTCTATTCTACTCAAATATGTTGATACGCCGAAGAATAAGCACACTTACTTATCTTGGCTAACATAACTATGTAAGTGAAAATCTAATTGTTAGGTCAATTCGAAATATCTAGCACTATAGACAAGTTTTATTTTATCCACTGAAACTTAGTGCGAACTTAGAGTGAATGGAATAGTTAAAAAATTATCTTTAATCTCATAGCACTATGAACCTTCTAACCAACTAACAGATTTTAGGTAGAAGTAATCATCAGAGAATAGTATAAATTTATTCTTTATCCAATTTATTAAAATCTACAAACAATCAACAGTGAGATTAGTTTGTGTATAATTAAAACCATAATTTAATAGTTTCATGTGATTAATCTTATTATATACCATAGTAACCATGTAAATAAAAACTATAATTCATTTCTTCTACACGTCAGGTTTACATGATTGTGAAATTTAAACAACGAAGTGTGTATGTGTGCGCACAAGTGCTAGACTAAAATCAACACGATGCAGCAATCTGCGGCATATGATCGATATGTTGAACTGCTTTATTTGAATGTATGAAGAAAAATATCATTTACACATAAATCAGAACAAGTTTTCGACAATACACAATCAATTGTGTTGTTTAATCACATGCATTTGCATTTCCTTAATCATTCATTCATTCATGATGGGCTATTTAATTGTGTTAACTAAAAGTGCTAACATCTGTGTGTTACGATACAAACTGAACAAGAACAATTTGGTTGATTGTTTAGAATTAAATATACCATTCGACTACTGTTTGCTAATTAAAGTTTTCAGACTAAGTAGTGCAATTGAACACTTAAATTAAATAACACAAGTTCAGAGTACAGTGAAGAATAAATAAACTTTGATACACAATTCATGTTGTTGATAACTGCCTACGTACTAATTGATTTTAGTTGAAGAAGCAGAGTTTATCGGTTTGATAATAATAATTTGATCAAGTTAGACATTAACACCGTCAGATACCGGCTCAGTGGTCTAACGGTTAGGGCGTTCGCGCACAATACCGAAGGTCCTGAGTTCGAATCCTTTCGGGGTGCAGGAGTCGTGGATGCGCACTGCTAAGGAGTCCCATACCAGGACGAAACGGCCGTCCAGTGCTTCCAGGTTTCTAATGGTTGTCTAACATTGATCGATTCATGGTTTCAAAAATGTGTAACTAATCAATCTTTACAACCCCGTAATGCAAATAATGATAATAATCATACTAAACAATGTGGTTTATTAAAGAGAGTAAGTCAGTCAGTCAGTTGCAACGTAGAACTTCGTAGGTAAGTACATCAGTTCAGGTTGCCATACCACATTAGCACAGAGATATAATTGTCAATTCAAATCCAATGGTAGTAATATTAGCAGTTATCGGAGAGGTTAGGATTAGAAGATATTATTCAAGAAGTATGATTCAGTGAGATAAGTTTAAAACGACAAAACTGGAGGTGTTGAAGAATCCAGAAGATTAGCATTTGACAGAACACAAAGAATAAATGCACCGGCGCCATTGCAAACGGTTTTGAGCCATGTCATTAATGCCATTCATTCATGTCATTTTATAATACGAGGAGTAAGATGAATACTATAAACAAGTCTCACTAGATAATGTGAGTTTAGGGTATTCCAAGAATAAATAAACGATGATAAAGCTGTAAAAAAGAATAGCGGTTGTTGTTGTTGATCAATTGTATACAGCCCTACAACTTATTACTGTGTTGTCATTTTCTAGGTTTGTATAAATGTGACTAATTTTACTGGAATAGATGATAGATTAACTTAATTTTATGAGATTATTCACCTGTATTGTTAGCATTGTTATCTAATGATAAACGAGTTCGCATTTCATCATTATCACATGTAAGTTGTGGAATGGAATAAATTAATCGTTCTTGAGTACTTGCATCCAACAGCAGAGTATCACTACCAATAGTTGTTGAAGATTCCATTTGAAAACATTGCGGTGAACACCATTTAAACAAACGATGGCGCATATATACAAATAATCCGCGACTTAGAAGACGATGTTTTGGTACTTTACAAGCAGATAAAGCATCCACTAGACGCCACTTGAAATCTGATAATGTTGATTTATTCATACGGCCGAAAATATCAAATCCATAGATGATAGATATGAGAAAAGGTTTGCAATAGTCTGCTAGTTCTTGACTAAATGTCAGAAAGAATTTGACAAGATAAAGAAAAGAGGGAAACGATTAAGAAACCAGTAACCAAGGCAACTGAACTGAAAAACTCTAGGATTTGTCTTCTTCATTGATAATAATTATACGTGTATATATATTCAGGAATGTACGCCAATTTACAAACATGATCACGTTAGTATGAAGTCTTCTAACAGAGTTGCAGTAATCATTGGAAGTTTAATGAGAAACAGTATATTAAGCTTAATTTATCAGATTACTTTCGTTATTTTGATTACTTCACCAATAAGTATTATTACTGTTATTAAATTCAATTCAATATAAGTTCAGAAGCAATATGTAATATTCTACTTTATGACTAAGGCATAACACTGTCACAATAACTAGACAAGATAACATAAAGTTAATTCGAGATCATGAATTTTTCCGAAGATGAACAAATAGAACGCGTTGATTGTAAGTCAATCACCAGAAATATTTCTATAAATTAACCAGTATTATTGAAATTAATCAGCTATTATAAAGACAGAGTTTTATTCACCTCTAATAAGAGCCATGTCTACAAGTTAATTTGCATTAACTATGATGTTACTCACATTGAGAAATATTTTCACTTTATACTTTCATAGTGAAAAACTCGTAGATGAAACTTTTTAGATAAATTTTAGTTAATTAAACTTAGTAAATGAAAAATACAACTCACTATGTGAACTTGAGATACCGCAAAACACAACTGTCATGAAGTTTTTGTAATGGACAATGAATAACGCATTGACTCTCATACTTAAGAGTAATCTATCAAATTTGTCCTTAATGTATAAAACTAAATATTTTTTTCATTTTTAAAAAAACCGCACTTTTCAAGAGGTGGGTGATGACTCACAGGTAAATTGGCTAAAGTAATGTGAAATTCTATACACACCAAAATAAATGTGAAATAAGTAGGCGTGATTCATCCATACATCGAAAATTAAGTGAACGTTTTGTAAACATTGGAAACAATGATTAATCTCGTACCTAAATTTCATTTCAGTTAATGCCTGAGTAGTTCAAGAGAAAGAAGGTAACTTTGATAGTGGGATTTATGCATCGATTTTGTATAAAGTGAAGCTCAGTCGTGAACATTATTACAAATATATGCCGTAATTATCCTTCTTTTAGATTTAAAATCCCTACTGTTCTGGTTACTTGTTGTATGTATATATATATATATATATATATATATATACATATATATATATATATCTCACAGCTATAGATTGGATAACAGCATACTATACCAATTGGACTGTGACTATATCATCTTTTGTGATGAATATAGATGAGACACGGAAATCAATCCCATACCGTCAATCAACTAGATAGTAACCACTTATCAGGTTAGTAGTATAAAAAGCCAAGCAGCACATATACCGATTGCAAGTTCCATTATATACCCGTACTTCATAAAGCTAGCAAACAAGGATTTACATAATTATGAGAGTATTGATTTCATCATAGTGCTATTAAATTGTTGAATCCATTACAGATAATAGACGGTAAATAACCTATATAGGTTATCAATGATTATTTCATTGTGGAGATTAGTTAACAAGTGCATAAATCATATTTGTTCTTGAGAAGACAATAGAAACGATAATTAATGAAAGTGGAAAATTTCTTTAAATGACATGGTACAAAACTTACTTCATCATACCCAAAGGTGCACTGAAAGCGTAACCTTTCACATTTGGATATTTACAGTGTAGGATAGCCGAAAGAAAAGATGCAATGCCAGCACCCAAACTATGACCACATACCACCAAATTATATTGTGGCTTTTTACTAAATGCTATTTCAATTGAACGGTCAGTTAGTAAACAACGATATAAATGTCTGGATCGTTCAACCATACCACGATGTCCAATAAAGCATGGTCGTCTACCGCTGTTTGACTCGACAAAATCTTCAACTTCAGTTAGTCGTACACCATCGTACAGTAAGTCGACTATGGTATCATCAAATGATAACGTGCCACGAATAGAGATAACAATACATTTACTAAAATCATCAATTGCAACAAAGTAAGGAGATTGGTAAACCTGGAAAAGATATTAAGACAAACATTAACACAAAGTGAAGTCGATAAGCCAAAATAACAACAATATTAATGTAACTAAATTAGTGGGAACAACTAATCTCAAATACGTTCTAATTATCGAAATTTCTACACTGAAGTCCAATTCAACTTCGACAACTGACCACAGAACCATAGGGCGCAAAATATATCAAAACAGAAAACAAGAGTAATTTCTAGTTTATCGATTCGTTTTGCTGATAAAAGTTGGTAGGTACCATATATGTATAGATTAACAAAATGAACAGCAGCCACAAACAGATATTATGTTCGGTTTTACTAAAAAAATATAGCTTTAATGGATATTTGACAGTATACATAATTAAACAAAGATATTCAAAAACACGGTAACCAAGTAGGAATGAAAAGAAGACATCAAGGAGATAAAAAAGGTAGCTAATCGGTTTCACACGTATTTCATTAAAACTTAATAATCTAATGCCTGCACACTTACCATTAGGTAATAATAAATATTTTTCAAAAGTCAAACTTTTGATGTGATAGCAAATCCTCAAAATGATCTGATGATATGTTGCAGTTGAGATACTGAACAAATATATCGAATAATGTATCTCTGTTCGTCATACTTTGTTCAGTAAAACTCATTTGAAAAGCACATGTGTAAACTGTTTGAGCCGGAATCTATAGATTAATACTGCCATCAAAATAAATTTCCTTGTTATTTAAAGCGTACGTGATTCACTGTTTCCAATGAGCATAATCATTATTGTAACACAACTATTATAGAATTCAGTTTTATGGTAGTACCTGTTTGTGTTTACAACTTCCACATAGTCAAGCTGGATTCCATATGAATCGATTGTGTACTCATGAGTCTCTCCTTTTCGCTTACTCTACTACATGGGCATTAAAAGTCACCCGCGATGATCAACACGTCAGAGCGCCTAACGTTTGAACACTAAACGATCCAATGTGAAGTTGAGAGCGCGGTTTCAGGAGATCAAGAATGACATTTCGTGTAGTCGAAACGTTTGAATCAGCGGCGCAAGGTGGCAAAGGAATAAAAGGGTTGGTCGTGGAGATAAGAGAGATATTAGGAGGTGAAGAAACGATTTGATTATGACAATTCGGTCTCGCATCCTGTTACTGGTACGAGGACGGATGTCAGTTCCCGGATACCCACACCGCGGAAGAGTGTTTCTTTAGACACACGGAAATGAAGTTGGATTAGGGTTGGTCTTAGAGACCTCGGAGCGTTACCGCACAGTCCGACGGACAACTGTTTGAGGCCGGTCACGCACGGCCTTTTTATGAGAAGTTGATAAAGTGTTAGCTCCACTCTTGCTTAAAAGGCCTTACCACAGGAGACGGAAATCCGTGAGGTAAGGTGAGGTGTGACATTTTTAGGGTCGACCTTTTCTAACCTTTCCCTTCCTTATAAGAATGCAGCATCTCTGTATACGCCGGTTGTCTGAGGGGAACGCCTTATTGTTGTCACACTACTCTACAGTCAGCAGTACGGTTTCGCCTTCAAACTTTGAGTTGCTGCTTTTAGTCTTGCACTTCTCCAATCCCCCTGACTGGCATGGTAGAACCTACAGGAACATATGTTCCAGCCAATATAGCTCAGTTGGGCCATCACGATAGGCAAGTCCGACCATCACGTCAATGTAGCAGCTACATATTTTGGGACTCAGTAAACTGCGTCATAGAACAAATTCTAACCTAGAATCCTTAAGGTCAAAAGAAAATAGGGAGACCTGATTACATAGTGAGCCTGGAATGAGCAGTAAACATCAAGAGTTAACAGAACTTAAGAACAATTGGAAAAGATAGCTCTGGACAGCGTCGATTGAAAAATCCTTGTTGCTAACCTATACTCCACAAGGGGTAACAGGCGTAAACAAGTAATTAATAAGTTAAATTGTGTCGGTTGGTGAATTCGACAAAGTGTAATAATCTTCATAACTTCTATGCTGTTAAAAAGATAACGCTGTAATCATCATTACATAGAATTCTCACAATTCAATTGATTACAAAACCAATTATCTCTATAACAACAAGTTAATAAACTATAGTTAAACTCATAAGAACAAGTCATAAAAAAGTTGTTGTTCAACGGATAAAAATGTATGTTTCCAATCACAAGCATTAGTTGGTATGAGCTCTTCAAAATCGATGCTGATTTTCAGCATTATACAAAGGCATTTTTGCTTCTGTATGAAGAAAAAAGGACGAGCATCTAATAAACAGATACATTAAAATGCTTTTACGGGCCGGAAACAAAGTTTCATTTTTGTTGTTGCAAATACTTCAAGAAGTTAAATATTAAAAGTATAATAAAATGTGTAAATATAATTCTTTGCAAAACATACTGAATTATCATAAGACAGTTTGATGAACTGATCTTCTCTTAAAGAAGTGAATTCGAGTATTGCTGCCAAATCACACGTATGCTTTGAGCATATACAACAACTAAGTTGTGTCTGTTTAGATGATCCAGGATTACAAGAATTTCTATATTATAGAGAGAATAAACAGAAACTATATGTATGGATAATGATAATAACAGCGCTTATAAAACTTTCTGATAACAGTTATGCATAGAGGTTGTGTAAAATTATTTTATGTAACATCGAATGCTTTAGTATTTGCATTGCGGGGTTGTTGTGAAGATTGTTAAGTTTTATTTGTAACCATGAATCGATCAATGTCAGACCACCATTAGAAACCTGGAAGCACTGGACGGCCATTTCGTCCTGGTATGGGACTCATCAACAGTGCGCATCCACGACTCCTGCACCCCGCAGTATTTGTAGTTAAAGGACAAATAATAGTTGCATATAAAGCATAACGACTGGTTTGTAATTAACCCGATAAATGAAAGAATAAAAATAAAATCTTAGTCAGGATTATCTTAGCCATATTGCATTAGTTGCCGGTAAAAAAGCCGTCATACCCAAACAACAAGATTCAAGTATATAACAGTACTGACATTTGGTTACCTAAACCATCGGAGGGCTGCAAACAAACAGGATGAGAAAATGAAGTCAATAAATTGGTGTTACAAACTTACACTTACAACAGAATCTTGTCTTTACAAGCAAACGAAACTAACAGATGAACAGCTGCATTCTGACTAAATACAAATCATGAACAGTCATCAGAGCTATCATTACTCGTTATGAAATATTATTTGATAAGACTGAAACCCCGATTAAATTGAAAACCACTTTACTAACTTTAAAAGATATTTTTAGCGGCGAAATACAACACTACTTTCTTCTTATAAATGAAGAAAATAGATATATGTTGCATAAACAGAGTAATATTATGTTAACAAACTGTGCAACTTTACACTTCAGAACAACTATTGTTACAATCAAAATGAAACACGGAATGGCTAAAAAAATTTTAACAACACTTTGATGACAGTGTCACACTACAATGCTCCGAACAGTACTAAACATTAGATTTGCTTGAAATAAGCATATTAATCAGTAGATGAATTGCAACAATGTCCTATTTATAATCATGCCGTAGTGAAGGAGAACACAAGTGAGGGCAACCGAATTGTATTTATCGCAAATTACAGAGTTACTCAGTAAAATAGGAAAACCATATCGTAACCGTTAATTTGCAAATCTTCAATCCATCATCAATCCATTGTCTGACAGTTCACTATTCATGCGTTCCATACAAATTCCATTGTGTTACCACTCTTCCTTTCTTGATCTTCCCCCATCTTCTGCTGCCAGACATTACGTTTACACTCGCGTCATATACTACTTATAAGTAGCGCGCACCATAATGCGTTTATGGACAAAGTTAACAGTAAAAAGATGCAGATATATCGACAACGCAATAAGTGACGCAAGTTGGCAAAAGCGAATCGAGCCTTATATATCCATACTGAGATTTCGTCAGTCACCAGGCCATTGGCACTGATGAGACTCCCCAGGTAAGTGAAGCGATCAACACGCTCAACTACTTCACTCCCTATCACTAGTTCGGGTGCCGATACAAGCCAATCCTGAAGCAACATTTTGCATTTCGACGGGAAAAACCGCATCCCGAACATGCTTGCACTGTTGCTTAGGATAGTTAGAAGACTTTGCATTTCGTCAGCATCTTCACCAAATAGGCGTATTCTAAGTCGACTGATCAATCTCCTGGTAGAAGGTCCACTCCTGAAAAGTCAGACGAAGATGTTACCTCTAAAAGTATGTCTATGACAAAATTAAACAAGAATGGAGAAAGTGGTCAGTAAGACTGAACTACCATCGGTAAGAATCTCAGGAGTTAGCCTATCAGAACCCGCTACTCTCACTCGCTTTAGATTTCCTATAGCTATCTCAACTTCATAAAGAGTCGCAGGACTTAGACAGACTTGTCAGTCAGATCGACTGGAGATCATGGGCAACCGAAGTGGGTCAAGGCCAGTTGAATTGATCCAATCTCCTGCATTGAGAATGAATGATACGAACATCGTTTTCTGAGATAGTTTCGCTAACAGATGGATTCCTATTACCAGTTCCCTTTATAAGGCGATACGGCTGTCTATTGTTACCTGTCATCGGTGCCTTTCCCATCTTTTTTTGCTTTCGCTACCCATAACTGTTCGTGATCTTTGCATAGGCTGTTTATCAGCCTGAGCTCAAGCTTACTTCATTCTTCGTCATGTTCAGTACCAGACAGGATGAGTTTCCGAGAATCTATTAGTTTTGTAGATGCTACTGAAATTAACTGCTTATCGCTAACTATTCGGTTTAACTTACTGGCAAATACCACTGTTGTTCTCACAGCTCTTTGGATAGTACTCCAAGCTGTCTCGAGGTGGACATCATTTACATGGTTTTCAGTCGAACTGTTTTTCTAGTTTCTGTTGAAATATACTCATTGCCTTTTTATAAATAAGTGCAACTTTAAGTGGTTTCCTTCCTTTCAAGCTGTCTATGATTTCTGCTTTGTTTTGTATTTTCATTAAGGTAGTTGTAACAGGACAGTATAGGGTTGGGAAGCGTGATGATTTTTATTTCACCAACAATTAGGCTAGTAAAAGTATACTATATTCGGGTGAACCACTTAGAATTACGGTGGCTCGTCGTGGATTTTTGCATGAAATTGAAAGTAAGGTGCAACATAGATTTTGTTATCAATAAGTTAAGAATGATAATATCCAGTTTCTAAAATACTTGAAATTGATAAAAAAAATATTTACCATGAAACCTAAGCTAAATTACAAACAATGCCTGCTCCAGATGAAGATTGTATATCAAAGTACTTGATATGCTTTGATGCATAGTACAGGATGGTTTTGTAGCTTGAAAGTATTCCACCATTCTAAATATCAACTCTAAATAAAAAAAGGGTTGCAAAGCATCAGTGGATTTTAGTTGATGCCAGTTCGTTGTGAAAATCATAACACTAATTCATAACCCTAACTTTATTCTTATTATCCAACCCAAACCTTTATGCCCTATAGCTGATATTAATTGGTAACAAAAACCGTACAGCGTTATAAGCCTAACCCACAAGGTTAACTCGATTCAAAAAATGTAACCTACCTTTTTCAATTACCATAGTGAATAATCTAACATATAAGGGGTTATCTAGTTGTATGAAAACCACTTTTATTTCTGTAATCTTAGTTTTTCTTTATTGTCGTTTTATAACTAAGTTGTGTTTCCCGATTGATTGGTAAGTTGATCAGTTACCAATGTGGTATACTTTTAGCGTAAAATATTTTAAAATTCCAAAAAACCCGATAAATATTTGCCCGCATGAAACAAGTGGGTGGATCAGAGTGAAGAAGGATTCAATCGATAAAAAACTGCTAGTCATGGACTTAGTTACAAATCAGCCGTGATATATTTAAATTTGATAAAAAGTTTTTCATAACTCGTCCCAACGCATCAATCATACTAAGTAATGATGAACTAATCTTACCACAGAATAAAAATGAAGTTGTGTGCAGAATATGATATTTTCTATAAAATATTGGTGCACGAAGAGGGACCTGATAGCCAGCAATTTTCAGTTGAGAGATTGTTGACTTGTTGATACTATTCACTTTCATAGCGTACAAAGAACTTTTTGTGATGAGACTACCTTTTTGCAGATGATTTACTTCTTCAACTAAGATTTAGAAGTTATGATAATAGATTAGGAATCGCTGTTGTATATGCTGGAAATCCAGTAATGATAACTCCATCTCTTGACATTTAAGAAGTATACTTAGATTAGACACACTGTGCATAAGTCAAAATGAAGTGACTAAAGCTGTACGGTTATGGTAAATTATATACACGTACCTAAACTAAATGAGTATTTAGTGTTTGACTTGACGCTTAAAATATAATGAATACAGTAAGCATAGTATACCATTACAATAACTTACAAACAACATGGTAAGTGGCGAAACAATCTACACGTGGAACCTGGTATACCAAAATTCATGCTATAGTATAATAACTTTCCGTAGACTGCAGTTACTAATTCGGCAATTCGATAAATTCTTTGAATATCCAACCATGGATCTGGAGCCTGTAAAATCACAAAAGAGATAAGGATATTTCGATTTTAACGCGCGTAAGTAACACAGGGATTCAAGCAAGATATTATTATTGGTAGTGACTAGAAGACAGTGACAAATATGATTGGAAAGCGAATAAGTGGTGCGTACCAAGAGACTACATTAGTAGTTATGTATTTTGCCTTCATTTAATTACATCGCGCGGTCAGTTCTAAACGATGTAAGGTATAGCACAAATATATACTACAATTCCCATTAGCACAGAGAAAGGATAGTCTCATAATGAAAACTGAGGGAATCCAATTAATAGTGGCAAATTAGTAAAGACTCAAGGCAAAAAATGAAGCTTGAAGAGTAGACGATAATATTATAACGAAATAGATACAGAAAAAATGAAAGTGAGGTACACTGAAACTGATTTTTACCCAAATTCCCAACTTAACTGTCTCGCAGATTTGTACCATGAAGCCTACACCACCATACAGTAGCTTACCAGCCAGTAACTTTGTGAACTGCGAATATATCTTGGAGTGAACGTCCGTGGGCTTTTCCCAATATACTTCAATTTTAGCATATCAGATTGAGCGAGGGGTAAGAAAATGTAAAATACGTTCCAATCGTCTTACTTGATTAAATTGTCTGTTCCAAAATCTATCGAAAACTGAATATCTGATCTTTACATCCTCGATCAACCAGTGACAACGCTTTACTTACCCTGAGGAATCTTAATAAAGATTATTAACAGATTACAATTTATTATCTGAGACCATCATATTTCTATTTGTTCAGATAAAGGAAGGATAAAACTGCAAACTGACATATTTACAAAATACTAGTTTCTAACCTGGATCGTATATTAATCTAATAGTAAATTGAACATATGGCCTTCATGAGAATATACAAATATCTAGATCGACACGTAAATATTCATGTCAGTACACTATTTCGTAGTTCTGAAGTACCCACAATTAACGGATTTTTGTCATACCATGTTATCACAAGATTAAATTTTCAAGACAAATAGCGGAGCGGCATCAGAAAAGACTATGTATATGAGATATTATTCTAAGAGAAACCATCGGTTCTTGGAATGAAAAAAAGTCCACAGGAATATTGAAAAACTTAGGATCTATAAAAGACAGAGTGAATGAACCTGAGCCATTGCAAAAGATTCCGAGCCACGTCACTCAATCTCTAATCACTGGTGAATATAATCGCACTAACCCCGATCAGATAGTTAAGTCAACAACAACATAGAACTTCGTACGTACGCACATCAGTTCAGGTTGCCATACCAAATCAGCACAGAGACTCATTTGTCACTTCTACTACGTCTACTACTATGGGATTAGAAGTCTTAGCAGTAATCGGAGAGATTAGGGTTCGACGATATTATTCAAGAAGTAGAATCTAGTGAAAGAAACTTAAAAATAAAAAGATAAAGGTGATGAGGAATTCAAAAGGTTAGGATTGGAGAGAACGCAAATAATGAATGCACCTGCGCCATTGACAACGGTTTTGAGCCATGTCATTCAAGGTCTCTAACCATCGATTATTATTATCTCGCAGGTCCCAACCAGATAGTCAACACCCACCAACATGACAGTCTACTTGTCAGTGACTTCATGCATTTCTGCCATATTTTAGTCTGGCCGCTCCTAGCTTTCTTCCAACATATTGCTACATCGCAAAACAGCTCTACGAGGCAGTCGGTGGTTGGGCATTCGTAATACATGTCCCAACCACCCCAACTGATGAAGCTTCAATAATTCATCTTTTTATCTGCCATCCTGTTTCCTAACAACAGCATTTCCTACTTGGCCTGTACCTATCTATACGACTCAGTCAACCTCTTTATGAACAGATGCGATGTCTTAGTTTGAACACACCTGGATTTCTTCGAACCTACTACACAAACCATCATTGCCCGACTATCTCGATAAAGGTTCATTGCCTAAGTTAACCGATTCGCCTAACCTCAGCATGGCTTGCTCGGTGGTCCCAACATATACGAGCAATTTTTCCAAAGTATCTACAACCAAATAATAGTAGGTTAAAAATACCCTTTCTTTTTCAAGGCCATAAAGTAGAATAGAGCGAACTGCTGTCAAGTAGCCTTTGGTTATCAGATAGATATCTTGATTACGTGACAAGTGACGCGAGTTAATAAAAACCAACCGGGCTTTCCGAATCTGTGCCACGGTTCCGCCAGATGCCAAGCCCTTAGCGTTTAAGACGTCCAAGATAAATAAAGTGATCGACACGCTTAATCACTTTACCTTTTATTATGGGTTCAAGTGTTAGTTACATTAAACTAATTGGAGGAATAACAAGCACCGTGCAGGAAATTAATGCTAAACAATAAGTAGCATGTAAAATGTCATTTATGGTTCTTTAATGAGGTACACGAAATCTCTTTTCTTGTAATATCAGCAAAAACTTGGAGAATGCAATAGAACAAGATAATACAAAACTTATTTATCAAGGATCTAAAATCCGCCCAAAATACAAGTGTTATTTACAATTTTAAAACAAACCAAATTTAACATTAAATTGAAAAAAATACTTCTAATTAAAATACTTATGGATTTATGATACTTACCTGGTCATCTTTCATCGAAATATCGATGTTTAAATCGGAAGGAGAAGTATCTTGAAGTACTAAGCTTAAAGGGATGCGATGACCGGTACCAACCCACTGTTTGGTTTGCCATCGTAGAAGAAAGAGTCCTGCAACTATATCACTTGCGACTAAATCTACATCCTTTATATAAGAAATGGAAAAAGGATGAGATAGACAACAAACAACGTTAAATTTGCTATTAGTAATAATTCAAAACTATGGTATATTATCAAAAATACTTCTAAGAATGAGTTAAAGAAATCATTAACACCACTGATGGACACGGAGTGACATCGTTAGAAGTTGAACTGATTGACAAGGAGGTTGTACATTTAGAAGTCATTACAAATTGAACCAAATACAAAATAACAATGGCATTACAAAATAGAGAATCGCAAAAGTGAATAAAGACGGTAGAATAGAAGATTATTAGTAGAACGAGCAAAAATAATACATATAGTGTATTGAGTATCCGTACTATTATTAACATCAATAAAAGTTTGCATAGTTTGCGGGACATGTACGTCAAGCTACTCTATTTGTTAATATAGGGTTGTGGATATTGTTGAGTTTTATTGAAACCATGAGATGATCAATGTTAGACCACCATTGGAAACATGGAAGCACTATATTGCCATTTCGTCCTAGTATGGGACTCCTTAGCAATGTGGGTCCACGGCCACGCACGTACGAATAGAATCCAGGACATTCGGTCTCGCGATCAACTGCTTAACTTAGGAACCACTTAGTTGGCATCTAAAGTCTAGCTTTAGTCAATCCACGATATAGCGGGACCATCATCTTTAGTGGGTAACTGCCTCACCTCACACGGATGGACTCTATTAGTCACGGCTTTCCACCAGGACTCTATGGAATCTAGCCACTAGTATAGGGTTGTGTATTGAATTGTATTTTACAATCTAAAAATTATTTAACAACTGAAAGTTAACTGAATAAGCAAAAATATAGACACATTCTGAGATCTGATTTGAAAGTGAAGCAAGATAGAATATCTATTCTTATATAACAATTGGGTAATAATACTGATAATCTATTATTTTTGAAAACTAACACCATTCATTAGAAAATGCAATGTAATTACTATCATAAGAGATTTGTAATCTTATAGAAAGATACCTAGTAATTTACCATGGAAATTTTAGTCTGTTTGCTGATCTGACTACTCATAAGAAACTGGTATCAACCATTCTCTACTATCTATTCGCTGATAAGCTATGTTTCTGGATTTACCTTACTGATCTTTAGCTACAAATACAGACACAACTTGTCAGTGCTAAGGACTGATTAAGAACTAAGAAAATTGTCTGAATTAACAATATTTTGGTTTTAAAGTTTTTCACTGTGACTTTATGCAACATACAATTATCATTATAAACGAAGAAATAGTTTACCTCACTATCATCTGGCTAACAGTAGAAAGTTATGCTGTTTTATGAGTTTATTTTCAGTTTAATTGTCAAACTGAAAATGAGTCATTATGAAGAAAAAAAATAACTTAGAGAACTGTTTCCAATTACTTGATAAGTTTGAACTTGATATCTCATCAAAGAGAAAACACCACATGTCACGAAGACAGATTGGTTAGCACTTGTTTATAGCATATTCCTGAACAGAAAGAGGTAGGTATATGAGCGTTCAAGTGTTATTTGATATACAATATACACTATTTATTGATAGAAAATAATGAACGCCTAAAGAGGCTACGACATAATCTAAACTGAGACATTGCTTTTTACATGATAAATTACATATTGATACAATTCTTGCACAAAACTAAACGCTCAAGTCAGTTAAGACAGTTTTGAAATACGGAGTCGGTTTATTTTTATTTACAAATCACTAGTGTTTAGGTTATGAACTAGCGGAATAGCTCTAGGAAGCCAACGTTGAATAATGACCTATTGGTAGTGATGGAAACAAAAGATAAAGGGAGATAATGCTTACATCTCTTTGCTGTTATGTCTTTAAACTCTGTTAATTGCATTAATTATCTACTACAACAAGAACAAATGAGTAAACCTAAAACTTATTATGTCAACGAATTTCAACACAAGTTTCAAATGTATGTATGTAAAACCCTCTGTAAAAAAAGATATTCATGCAAAACAATTAATTTAGATAATATAATGGATTGGTGTGTTTTGATATCTAGTAGCGAATGTAATCCGTTTTTCTATTATAGACATAAATTATTTAGTTGAGCAGTAAAAATAATATTAAAGAAATTACGGAATTGAGTAATATTTATACAATCGATTGATGGCTGGGTAGTGACTAATGTCACGTATGTCAGATCCTGCTTAGTGTTGATGGTTTTCCATTGACATAATGGCAGCGTTACTGTGAACCTAGATTTTGTGCTATTTGGCACTCGTGACACAGGATGAAATACGGCAGATGGCATAAGTTCCCTCAAGATCACAAATACACCTTCCTGAAGAGTGCCAAATAGCACGAAACGCAGGTTCAAAGTTTCATGTTGACTACCTCCAACCAACACCTTACATTTTGAATAATGTCTATAACAATGGAGGAGTGTGAATTCAAGACTGGAGTTCTAAAAATAATTATTGGTACAAAGGGGCACCAACAAATATAAATCAATGAATTTGTGAGTGGGCTGGGATTCTACCCGGGTGCCCGCACCAAAACAGATGGATTTATTAGGGAGCCACTACTCCCCGAGGTATATACAGACGCCAAATTGACGAAATCTATCAGTCGTTTTCGTAATAGCAGCTAAAGTGTTTTTAAATTGAGAGTTTTTCATGGAGGGCTGCTTAACAAAAATTTAGTCAGTGATAAGTTAAACCACTTGTTCCTACGTTTGAATTTTAGTTGAACTATATGATAATTGCACTTCAATTACTTGGCAACATGTGAGGCATATATACACGTTAGAGACAATACAACTTCAAACTAAACCTCATCTCACAGGCTGATTCAGAAACTTTATCCAATACACAATGCTGTAACGCTAAAAATGACAAGGAAATTATATTTTAAAATAGACCACGTTTAACTTATACATATATACTCTTTTGACACTGGGACATCTTTCTTAGACGTTTTATCATTTGCACATAATCGACGAATTTTACTGCCCCAGATGGAAAAAATTAAGCAATGTCACTCTATCGGTTTAAGCTAGACACATATAGTGTTGTTCCTGAATCTTGTTATTATAGATTTTTCGAAAGTAAAACTGAAGAAGATAAGCAGAAGCAATGTAAATTTGTTACATGGAGTAATATTTTCCAACCTTCAGTATCCAGATAATATCGCCTTACTAAAAAGATAGAAAGGAAATTATTGCCTATTGTCATATTTTCATATCCCCATTCGCGGGTAATACTGGGGTAATTATTCCACAATAAGGATTGTTTTTAGTTAGTAGCTAGAAAGGATTTACCATTGTTTTATGATTTAATCGAACCTATACTTGGGTGCCTTAAGTATGAGAATACAATAGAAAGTTGTCACAGTACATGAACTAAACGACAACATCAACTGTATTTCATTGTCTAAGATTTAAAACCACACATAAAAACTCTACACCTACGTAAAATATATCTGTAAACAAAGCTGCTGCAGAAGTAATTATCCTTTCTTCAGTTTGTGTTGTTGATGGATCAGTTTTCCAAGAAGGTAAGCAACCAAAAGCCCGTAAACTTTTCAAGTTCCGCTGGACAGACTTTCTTCGCTTAAGCATCACTAGCTGCTTCATGGAAAGATTAATATTTGGATTCAGACAACCTTGCTTGAATACAGTAGGGTCGTTAACCAACTGTCCCCAAAAGGCTCCAGCCTTACGATAGTGTAACATTAGAAAAAAGTAGAAACCAATTACATGAGCTACCGCAATGGAATTCCCTGCAACATAGCAGTCAACAAACTGAAATCAAATGCATGAGTAAGAATATTTTAAACGTTTACGAGTAGTTAGACAAATGAAGTTTTTACAATATAGTGAGAATAGAATGCTAAATTTTACGTTTCTTATAAATATGGGCAAGCTGAATTCAAACTATTTAAAAGAATAGAAGCAAGACCCATACATCTACATAAGAAGAAATCGTCGAAAACTGCCTTTGTTTATCGCAATCTGGTGAAACCACCTTACCGTTTTATATATCTAGTTATCTTAAATTTAAGTACATTCAAAAAAATGAAATCATAAAGTAGACAATAAACGAAAATGTATAAACTGAAAACTTCATCAGACATCGGACACAAAGAATGTTTGCTAATAATCCAAAGATAGTTTAATCGAATCGTAAGGAATCGATGTAAGTGAAATTACTTGATTCATATAATCCGGACTGTAGCTACTATCTTGACGTGATGGTCGGACTTGCGTATCGTAATAGCCCAACTGAGCTATATTGGCTGGAACATATGTTCCTGTAGGTTCTACCATGCCAGTCAGGGGGATTGGAGAAGTGCAAGACTAAAAGCAGCAACTCAAAGTTTGAAGGCGAAACCGTACTGCTGACTGTAGAGTAGTGTGACAACAATAAGGCGTTCCCCTCAGACAACCGGCGTATACAGAGATGCTGCATTCTTATAAGGAAGGGAAAGGTTAGAAAAGGTCGACCCTAAAAATGTCACACCTCACCTTGCCTCACGGATTTCCGTCTCCTGTGGTAAGGCCTTTTAAGCAAGAGTGGAGCTAACACTTTATCAACTTCTCATAAAAAGGCCGTGCGTGACCCGCCTCAAACAGTTGTCCCTCGGTCTCTAAGATCAACCCTAATCCAACTTCATTTCCGTGTGTCTAAAGAAACACTTCCGCGATGTGGGTAGCCGGGAAGTGACATCCGTCCTCGTACCAGTAACAGGATGCGAGACCGAATTGTCATAATCAAATCGTTTCTTCACCTCCTAATATCTCTCTTATCTCCACGACCAGCCCTTTTATTCCTTCGCCACCTTGCGCCGCTGATTCAAACGTTTCGACTACACGAAATGTCATTCTTGATATCCTGAAACCCCACTCTAAACTACATGTTGGGGCTTTTGATAGCTAGGGCTGTAGAATCTCTTCCAATCGATGAAGCTGTGTGTCCGAAACGCCCACACAAGTTCCGAGTAAAACCAACCATTTGACCTTACATTGTTAAGATAAAGAACCAACTCGGTTTACGCTCCATGTGTCTGGGGCTCTCACTGATGTACGTATAGTATTAGGCATGGTGACTGACGAAATCTCAGTATGGATACACAAGGCTCGATTGGCTTTTGCCAACTTGCGAGATATCAGTTTGCGCAGCACTTCGAACTGTCTTACTTTATGGTTGTGAAACATGGACAGTAAGAGTAGGAGTTATTCGTAGGTTATTAGTATAATATTATAGATGTCTTTGAAGCATTGGTCGTGTATCCTCGGACAACTGAGTAATCAATGCTGTTGTTATGAAACGGATGGTAGGTAAGGATGGCAGATCAATAGATGAAGTATTGAAGCTTCATCAGTTGGGGTGGTTGGGACATGTATTACGAATGCCCAACCACCGATTGCCTCATCGAGCTGTTTTGCGATGTAGCAGTATGTTGGAAGAAAGCTAGGAGCGGCCAGACTAAAATATGGAAGAAATGCATGAAGTCACTGACAAGTAGACTGTCATGTTGGTGGGTGTTGACTATCTGGTTGGGACCTGCGAGATAATAATAATCGATGGTTAGAGACCTTGAATGACATGGCTCAAAACCGTTGTCAATGGCGCAGGTGCATTCATTATTTGCGTTCTCTCCAATCCTAACCTTTTGAATTCCTCATCACCTTTATCTTTTTATTTTTAAGTTTCTTTCACTAGATTCTACTTCTTGAATAATATCGTCGAACCCTAATCTCTCCGATTACTGCTAAGACTTCTAATCCCATAGTAGTAGACGTAGTAGAAGTGACAAATGAGTCTCTGTGCTGATTTGGTATGGCAACCTGAACTGATTTGCGTACGTACAAAGTTCTTCGTTGTAGCTGACTGCCTTGTAACCTTCCGCACTTTATGGGATGGATATACAAACGCTAATTTTTGATTCATCTTTCAATCCTTTAATATGTGAATTTTGAAATTCTGAACTAGTTCACACTTGTGATGTTAGCAAATTTAGTTATATTAATAAACTGATTACGATCACTTTGTTGGTACGTCATAGTCTTATAATTTGAATCAGGATGAAAATTTATCTACGACTGTGTGATTAGCTTAAGATGAATGGCTAATTTTCCAATTCTTAAACCATGAATCCATCATGACCAAATTACAAGAGTCAGTTTTTAAATTACTCCATTTTTAAAGATGATCAAGGGCTATAAACATATTCTATAAACTAACTCATCTTCTTCTTACAAACAATTATTAAAGAGCCTGTTCGCCCTACCTCAATGTACTAAGTTTCCACCTTGTTGAAGCAGAATAAGCATTTGAATCAATTGGTCTGTGCTTATATTATGTTAATAGGTAGTTTCAAAAAATTAATCCACAAACTGACGAATAATTGTTTGCACAGACCACTATTGGTATGAATAAAAAATATAGATAACTTGGTTTCTGCAGCCTAAAGCGGTACACTATTGACATAAATATGTTTAGATTCAAACCAAAGGATTAAATACAATGGTTTGGACTCACCGATTTGTCACATAGCGTGTACGTATTAGATACTAAATACAGGTTAACACAATTTAGCACTAACGATATAAGAGAGATTATACAAACTGCTCCCAAGTAAAGAGGGACGGACGAACGCAGACTAGTCTCCATTACACCACCTTTGCTGCTTGATAATGATAATGCTGCATCAAAAACCAATAACATTCCCAGTGTAAGGAACATAAGCACACAGAAAACCTGTATAGAGAATTAATACAAATCAAAGAACAGTTTAACCTTGTCCGTTGCATTCGGGAGACAGAATTCTGATTCGTTTGAAAGAATAAGAGGTATAACCATAAAAAGAACACTGAATGGGTTAACAATCAGATGAGTTACTTACCAAGAAATCCTAAGTAAAAAGTTACCCACACCAGTACAAACAAAATCATCAGATGCAAAAGCCCATGTTCTACCCAGAAAAATCAATGCAGGCATTTCGAACAAAATAAACTATCTTTTCCAGATTACTTATAGGGATGCACACTAATGAAAAATGGAGTTATCTAGAAAATAAAGAAATAATGCAGGCCGACAACTCAATAGGCATATAAAATGAACTTACACCCAATTAAAAAAGCAATTCACAACAATCAGAAACAACACAAGCATGATACTATGACAAATTGAGATTGGTTACTAAAAGTTGGTACCGAGTAGCTTCAAATGCGTTACGATATCCAATATCCAATATCTTTTTCACGAGCCAAAAACAGCTAGTTGATTTCTTTGCGATGAATTTTTATTCTTTCTATACGGCTAGAGGTATTTAGTAGTGTCCAGTGTATTATATTTTAGCCACTCGATTGCCCTCTTTCCAGTCAGAAAATTTGAGTTGTATAAGTACGGTTTTTTAGGTCGATAGGATTTCTGGATTGACTGGCTTCCTTATCTGGAAGGAATAAAACATTAATGAATCTATCTAGAAACCTACGTACATTCAAGGAATTCAGAGAAAATATTAGAAAATTATAGCGGAATGCTTTTCTCACTACTTAATAGGTGATTTTTCTTCTTCATGGAAACAAAGGTGGGCGATTTGACAAACTCAAGAAATAACGAATTCAAGAAACCTAATATGCTCAAAAAAATTTGTTTCGGCAGCCTATTTCGCCACATTATGCACATAAACTGAGAATATCCTACAGGCTGATACTAGGGGTGAGCGCTTCGAATTTGACATGTCCTCGCTGACTCTCTTCCATTAACAGGAAACAATCCACTTTAGGGATACTTTATCACCTCGGAAGCTATAAAAAGTTGTCCCCATTCATTGGTTGACAATCTGAAAACATTTTCGGGCATACGGAACCATTCCAAGTCAGAACTACCTCATTTAACTGCTCTATTTCTAGTTGCTTCGGCAGCATACATACATCCACTCACTCACAAACACAGGACTTGTGGACAAGCTACTGGATACACGCAAAGTTACTTACTAATACGGTCAAAGATAATGTTGCAAGTTCGGAGTACTTTCAGGCTCTATTCCTTGTAGTTTTATTATATGCTACTAAGTTTATTTCCTAAATCCCTTTTTGTATATCTCGTATTCTAATTATCTCGGTATTCACCTCCTACTCTCCCTGGTATCATGCTACTAAGTTTATTTCCTAAATCCCTTTTTGTATATCTCGTATTCTAATTATCTCGGTATTCACCTCCTACTCTCCGTGGTATCATGTCGAGTAATAAGGTCGCTAGTTCACTTTACACTGTAACAACCAGGAAAACTTATAGAGGCGTAAACCCCGAAGTCGATAGTGCATCGAAAATCCCAATATCGTGCGAACGGGCTGCTAAAAAACCCAAACAGTCAGTCAATAGTACGCCTCTTAGTGTTCATACTTTAGATCACTCAACGCAGACAACACAAAGGAAGCAAGACACCACTCCTATACATAAAAAGACCAGTAAGCTAGTTAAGAATAGGAGAAAAAGACGCTCCAAGGCTCGGTCGACACAATCCAACGCCCAGAAACAGCATAAGGACGGGAAAAGGGAAGGGAAAGAGCAACACCCCAACTCACAAGCGGCTTCTACCCAAGATCAGGGACGACAGATCTAACTCACTTATTTTACTTAAAGTCCCAGTATCGGAAGGAAGCTTGCTAGAAGGCAGTGCTGCCTTCGAAAAAGATTGTGGGATAAACTCTGCTCAACCCTCGGAATGTGCGACGTCCCAGACAAAATATGCCGCCTTTTCAAAGGCCAAAATGTCTCGAAAGGAAAACCCATTTCAATGAGGGCAACTCTTGACTCGGCACGACTTGCTGAAGACATCATCCTTTCATCTCAAAGACCATCGTTCAAACTGTCCTCGCCGATTCGCACCAGGCATGACAAGCCGTGGTCGGTACGTGCAGCAGCCAGAACTGCGCCAGACACCCAAGAATAGACCACCACGGTAGTTCACAGCATACCCGAACTCACCAGCGGTAACCCGGACGAAGCTCACGAGCACGATGTGCAACAGTGGTTATGGCTATCGCGTAGCCTATCTCTCCACACCACGATGGCAGTTTGCATTTCCAGGTTGCCCCGCCCGTCACACCTCACGTCTATCAAGTCACCACGCCTGATGGCTGTAACATTTAGGAACCGGGAAGACCTGACCGAAACACTACAAGCTTGGTACAGTTCGAGGAACGATCTGCCTAGCCACATCAGATGTTGTGAGAGCCGACCTAGATCTGTGAGACGACAGTAGGGAGGCCATAATGAACGCACAAAACTGATAGTTAACCTCGGTCAACTACCTCTGGCACAAGATATGATTGAACCAACCGCGCAGGCAAAAACCTGCAGAGGCCAGTTCCCACAGAACTGGCCGATTCGGTTTAAATAACTTGTCTGAAAATCCGACAACGGCTGCTGCTGCAAATGTGCACCAGGTGCTGAGACAAACCACCAAGTGCCTCTATAGCAACGTAAGAGGACTAAGGGGTAAGCTGTTAGAAATCAAGAATATGTGCTCTCAGATGGATCTGAAGATCAGAAGCCTAACTGAAACATGGCTATCCCCTGACATTGCAGACGCAGAAGTGAGCTTACCAGGCATGACACTCTTCCGAAGCGATTGGTATCACCAAACTGGAGGTGGAGTGGCGATATATATATATATATATATATATATATATATATATATATATATATATATAGCCACTTAAAAGCAGAGCAACTATACGTGTTACGTCCAGTTTTTTGCTCGTCGATCTTACGAAGCACTGTTGTCGTCTATTGGTAATTCAAGGTCCCAAATTTCTATACCAAGAACGAAACTCCAAAGTAGATACCAAAGTTTATTCCAAATCACAAATTCCACCAAAATAATTTATTACAAATAGACGACCAATGTCGTTCTAACAACAATAATTATAATAATTACAATTACCTTCTAATTTATTATCTCTTGGAGCAAAAACTGCAACGAACAACAAAGAGAAACGGGAGTCCAATATGTCCGCAAAAATAATTCAAACAAGTTCATAAGTTAAGTAAAACAAATATACCCAAAAAACAGTGAAATTAATGATTATATATATAAAGGTTTGATCAGCAAAATGTCTTCGTTTCTCCCGTAACAATACGACACCCAACTAACTGAGGTGACAGAATCATGTTGGTGTTGTTTCCGATCGAATGGCACAAAATACTTGATTGGAGGGATCTACCGATCTCCTTCGGGTACTAAGGCCCAGAAAAGCAATCTGATTGAGGTCATACTGCAGCTGCCACTCCTAGGGTTTGATCAAATACTCTTAGCCGAAGATTTCAACACCCCATCTTTAAATCTCAACAATCCGAGTATAACTCCCACTGGTTGGTTCCAAAACAACTTGGTACAGCCATTAGAAGCTCTGGGCTGACTGAGCACGTACGCAGTGCCACTAGGTGGACTAAGGAAGAGAAGTCCTCAAACCTGGATTATCTGTTAACTAATGACCAGCTCCTGGTTTAGGGTGTTCGCGTCCGCGCGCCATTAGGAAATAGTGACCATAGCACAGTCTTGTGTAACATGGTGATAAACGAAACACTCACACAAGACAAATTATACACTCACGAGAGAGATGCTCCTACATGCCCCATGGCCACGGGAGTGGTGAAGGTTGACAGTAGATGATCACTGGCAAGCGGTGAGAGATATCGAAAACGCTGTCGTAAACAACGTACCTCAGTCACACCAAAAACGCCAGAACAGAAGAACCTGGGTTAGGCGCGGCACTGAACGCTTGCTGCAGGCGAAGAGGAGAGCCTGGCACAAGTGGAATGTCTCCTTGGAGGATTCCGATCGCAGTTCTTACTTGGCATTGAGAAACAGATGCAATACCAAAGTTCGAAGCGACAGGAGACAATTCCAGACGAAGCTAGCCGCCAGAATAGAGGCAAACCCGAAAAATCTATTTAGGTTCAAGTCAAAAAGAAAACCTACTAATCAAGGGTTGTCTTCTCTAAAAGGACCAAACGGGGAAGACCTCACCAACCTAGAGATAGCCGAGATCTTCAACACCACCTTTGCTGATCAATTAAACCAGATGCCATGTTCAGAGTAGTACGCCAACCCAATGCCAGCTGACGGCTTAGGGAACATCCGTACCACTCCTGACCTAGTATTAAGGAAACTAATATCCTTACGCCCAGGTAAGTCACCAGGTTGTGACAAAATCCGCCCTATAGTCTTGCAACAGTGCGCTGAAGCCCTCTGTTCACCGTTATGCAACCTGTTCAGGCATTCACTGGAGTCACACCAATTCAAAGCGGAATGGAAACAAGCTACTCTCTCTCTTCAATCTTCAAAGGAGGAGATAGAAATGAGGGAGTACATGGATAAGAACAAAATACTCCATGACGCTCAACACGGGTTTCGGAAAGGCAGGTCGTGTGCATCTAATCTTCTCATCGCATGGGACAGTTGGACATCCTCTTTAGACCGTAAAATACCGGTACACGTAATATTCCTCGACTTTGCAAAGGCCTTTGACACAGTGCCTCAAGCACGCCTAATCGAAAAGGTTGTGGAAGTGGGCTTCACTGACCCACTCCAATCTTGGCTCAGAAATTACCTTGAGAATAGAAAGTTTCGCACCAAGATAAACAGAGTGCACGCGAGTTGGCGAGTATCCACATCGGGAGTTTCACAGGGGACCATCCTAGGCCCACTTCTCTTCCCGATATTTATTAACGACCTGCTTGGCTCAGTTAGCTCACCGGAATTGATCTACGCAGACGATGCGAAGATCTGGAGGTCCATTAGAAAGGAAGAGGATTCGACTGAGCTTCAAAAGGACCTTACATCTATTGAGAAACGGGCAGTGAAAAATGGTTTAAAACTCAACCAACCGAAGTGCAACGTCATGCATTTCCTGCCTCATATGACGCAAACGACCTATACTCTCAATAAAAGTCCGCTCCCCAATGTCTCCTCAGAGCGCGATCTTGGTTTAATAACCACAGAAAGCCTCCACACCAGTCCAAACTATGTAGAGGATGCATCCAAGGCAAATGCGACTCTTCACTTTATGCGAAGACAACTTGGTGCTATCACCCTGAATTTATTTTTAACCCTGTTTGAGACGTACGCGCGCCCACACTTAGAGGTTCACAACGTCATCGCACCACATCAGCTTAAAAGAGACATAAATCTCTTGGATCGAGTGCAGAGACGAGCAAAAAAATGGGTGATAGGGTTGAAAAATAAACCCTACGACGATAGACTCCAGCTCTTGGGATTATTTTCACTGAGCTACAGGAGAATCAGAAGTGATCTGATTGTGGCGTACACCATATTAAACACGCCAAACCATCCCAATGTGAACAACTTACCGATGCATCACCACCACTCCTCTCTCACAAGTTTGTTAAAAGGTATTAGTGGGCCAAACCGTATCCTCAAACATTTCAACTGTCGCAAACGATCTACAGCAATGAGAACTTCACCTACAATCTAGTATAGGTTTCAGAAGTGCTGACAGTTATAAACATTGGAGAGAGATTGCAGTCGAAACGATAAGCTTGCTCTTCAGGACAATCTGACTTGACTTCAGAGTTCGGTGAACGACAACATTCATCCTCTCATTGTGCACTTGCCTGTTGTTTATGTTGACTTCATGTGCTCTAATTAATGTGGCGCCTGGTAACTTTTCGAAATAATGTTCACTAATGTGAATAATCCCTATTATTTTCCAGTCATAAATTTTGATTCTCAGTTCTTTTAGACCTTGTGCTAGTGTTATTTCTAGTCGTTGTTGATTTGTCTCATTAATCAACGTAAGGCTTTATGTTGAAACTGAGTTGGTGGTTCGCTTTTTCTCATTATTCTCCCAGTTGTTCTCCCAAATTCCGCAGACACAGAGAGCTTACAGGCTTGTCGCAAACCACCACCTATTAGCCTTGTCGTGGGGTTTTCTCCTATGGCGAGTTCATCGGTCTGACCAGGCTGCACACAACTATTTTTCGCGTCAGTAAAATGCTTCTGTAGCTTTCGTAGGTTTTTTACTGCCTGCGTGTCCTTATGACCAAGACGTATCCTTGATAAGATCTGTTCGCACTGATATCCTAGTTCATAGACTGACGGTAATTGCTTTGTGTACTTCATTCAGACCAAATAACTATAACCGTGTAGGTGAACAGCAAGCTGGTCTCATTGTCCAGGAAGCACTAGTATATGACGCTAAAGTACAGCTTCTCTAACTAGTTTTTAATTTGCTTCACTGACCTCACTAGTGACTAATCGATCTAATTGTCAAACGTCTGTGTAGATGAGTCACTTTTAAGTATCATATACTACACCAGTCTACCAAAGACGTTTAGTTAAGTAGCTGGTCGTGATTCTTAAAAACAGTCGTGGAACACTAAGCGCATTCAAAGTAGTATATTCACTACGCCGTGGTTTATTATAGGTGTCACATTTCATGTACTCCCATTTTTAGAACATACCTTAAGTGCCCCGTTGTGTGTTTGTTATTTGGTTGTCCCGAGAGTGAAGTACACAATATGTCGAGAGCCTGCATAATGTCATATATTGAGGAATTGTAATCTGTCGATTGTAAGTCGTACTGTGTGGTATTCTACTCGGTGCCCATATTGACATCAGTTTGGCACTCAGACTCGTATTTACTGGTTTCTATTTAAGTAAGCTACTTTTTGAACGCCCTGCTTGATGAGTCGTTGGCAGCTTTTCACTCTTCTATATTCGCAAAAATAATTAGTACTCATGCTCGTTAATGTGGTTTTTCTATTTTGGTTATTTTTAAGTGCAGCATTGGCTGATGTCCGTAGCAGTTTGCAAACTATCGGACTCATGCAGGTAGGAACGTAATGTGGAAGCGGAATTATTCCATCGTGTAGTTAACAAAGTAGGATATTCTGTATTTATGTATGTCAAACGTAGTTCAGAGCATTTTCTGTCGAATTCATGGATATAAACTATTTCTCAGATTCATATCGTTCGTTTAGTGATTTTCGAATGTTCATATATAGCCATTAAGACCAATTAAGTTTATTACTTTCTTATATATTTGTTTTTATTTAGTTTTCCCCTAGCAACCACGTTTTTATCAAATACTATTCCACTACCATATTTAGATAATCCTCAATAACCTTTGCTGAGTAATCGTCATGATAGATTCTGAAAATTCAGCAGACAAAAAATATTACATTGATCTTGTTCCAACAAACTCTGCACAAGCCATTCAGAAAGCAGTTACTCACTTATATTGCTGTGAAGATATTGTTATCAAAGGAAAACTTGGAAATGGCTATTTTGCCTCGGTGTTTTTGGTAATCAAACTGGAAATTTTGTTTTATAATAAATTTAGGTAAACCATCGTCCAACCAAAAGGCTTATGGCTATGAAGTTGACTAATGAAGCATCTTTTCATCATCGAGAGATTGAACTCTTGGGTTCTTTGAATCATACCAATGTTCTGAGGTTTGTTACTTTCCGTTTGTTGTTTCAGTTAATAGCTTCTCAATTGTTTTTGTATATCGATATACAACAATTGAGTTATTTACACTACTACAGATTTATGCTTATTATTTATATGTTCAAAAACTAGCTACAACACGAATCTGTCGTAGCCATCATTGTTTTATGAAATTTCGTTCTATGTTGATGGATTTTAATTACATCAAAACTCCTTGCATCCATTCATTTTCGGATATAAATTTTCTGCCATTAATGTGTGCTACTCAAATTCTAAATGTACTTCACACACATGATAGATCATTTATGACGAGTTTTTCAAAACCAGAAAGATACAAAAGAAGTGTTTTTAAGATACTGCATTGTGGATTTTTCATGATGTAGTTACAAATAACAGCGAATCCCTACATAAGCTACTTACGGCAAACTTTGAAACTTGGTATACTGGTTTTAATAGTTACCATTCGAGAAGTCGTAACTTGGGTTAATTCTTTGTTTATTTACACTTTGGTTGTCTACTAATCACATATATGATGCTTAATGTGACTTTCATTACTGGTTTCAGTTACTTTCAAATTAAAAAAATAAATAAAGGTGGAAATTTTAGTGTTAGAGAAGTTTTTCTTTAAAGGATTCTACAATATTTGTGCTTTGTGATTGGTTTTGTGACTTGTTTGATGGAAATGGAAACCGCTTTATTTCTGAAACACAGTTACTTTATAAGTTAGGTATGTAGTGCTTCAAATATATATGTTAGCTAATGAGTCTCCTATGTTAATTGCCTACCAGTTTCACTACTGCTGATGAGTCCCATACTTGGATGAATCAGTTGTCCGGTGCTTTTAGGTTTTTAATGGTTGTTCAACAACGATGAATATATTACTCAGAAGAAAAGGCTGACCGTAGCATCGACCTTGACGTGATGGTCGGACTTGCCTATCGTGATGGCCCAACTGAGCTATATTGGCTGGAACATATGTTCCTGTAGGTTCTACCATGCCAGTCAGGGGGATTGGAGAAGTGCAAGACTAAAAGCAGCAACTCAAAGTTTGAAGGCGAAACCGTACTGCTGACTGTAGAGTAGTGTGACAACAATAAGGCGTTCCCCTCAGACAACCGGCGTATACAGAGATGCTGCATTCTTATAAGGAAGGGAAAGGTTAGAAAAGGTCGACCCTAAAAATGTCACACCTCACCTTACCTCACGGATTTCCGTCTCCTGTGGTAAGGCCTTTTAAGCAAGAGTGGAGCTAACACTTTATCAACTTCTCATAAAAAGGTCGTGCGTGACCCGCCTCAAACAGTTGTCCCTCGGACTGTGCGGTAACGCTCCGAGGTCTCTAAGACCAACCCTAATCCAACTTCATTTCCGTGTGTCTAAAGAAACACTCTTCCGCGGTGTGGGTATCCGGGAAGTGACATCCGTCCTCGTACCAGTAACAGGATGCGAGACCGAATTGTCATAATCAAATCGTTTCTTCACCTCCTAATATCTCTCTTATCTCCACGACCAACCCTTTTATTCCTTTGCCACCTTGCGCCGCTGATTCAAACGTTTCGACTACACGAAATGTCATTCTTGATCTCCTGAAACCCCGCTCTAAACTACATGTTGGAGCTTTTAAAGTTCGGACCTTGTGCAAAATTGGACAACAGGCTTCCTTAGCTAGGACTGAAGAATCTCTTCCAATCGATGAAGCTGTGTGTCCGAAACGCCCACACAAGTTCCGAGTAAAACCAACCATTTGACCTTACATTGTTAAGATAAAGAACCAACTCGGTTTACGCTCCATGTGTCTGGGGCTCTCACTGATGTACGTATAGTATTAGGCATGGTGACTGACGAAATCTCAGTATGGATACACAAGGCTCGATTGGCTTTTGCCAACTTGCGAGATATCAGTTTGCGCAGCACTTCGAACTGTCTTACTTTATGGTTGTGAAACATGGACAGTAAGAGTAGGAGTTATTCGTAGGTTATTAGTATAATATTATAGATGTCTTTGAAGCATTGGTCGTGTATCCTCGGACAACTGAGTAATCAATGCTGTTGTTATGAAACGGATGGTAGGTAAGGATGGCAGATCAATAGATGAAGTATTGAAGCTTCATCAGTTGGGGTGGTTGGGACATGTATTACGAATGCCCAACCACCGATTGCCTCATCGAGCTGTTTTGCGATGTAGCAGTATGTTGGAAGAAAGCTAGGAGCGGCCAGACTAAAATATGGAAGAAATGCATGAAGTCACTGACAAGTAGACTGTCATGTTGGTGGGTGTTGACTATCTGGTTGGGACCTGCGAGATAATAATAATCGATGGTTAGAGACCTTGAATGACATGGCTCAAAACCGTTGTCAATGGCGCCGGTGCATCCATTCTTTGTGTTCTCTCCAATCCTAACCTTTTGAATTCCTCATCACCTTTATCTTTTTATTTTTAAGTTTCTTTCACTAGATTCTACTTCTTGAATAATATCGTCGAACCCTAATCTCTCCAATTACAGCTAATACTACTACTACCTTCTCTAATACTGCTAATACCTTCATTTTCTCTACTACTTTGAGATTTAAATTGATAATCACAACTCTTTGCTGTTGTGTTATGGCAACTTGAAATGTTGTACGTGCGTACGAAGTTCCACTTTGTGACTGACTTACTGACTCAGTCAAAAGTTAATTTATGAAGCCTTTGTATCACAAGTGAAATATCTAGCTCAGAGCGCTAAAAGACTGCAACACGAAGCGTATACTAGTGACCGTTATTAATTGTTAAAAGTGTTAGATAAATATATCACTATCAATTTTATTCCTTTCTTTCATGAAAGTAAAACATTCCATAAAAAACAATTTCTAACTTATTTTTTCAGACTTTATGGATCCTGCCTAATCGGTGCTCGGTTCGCTTGTCTAACAGAAGTAAGCGTACTCTTAGTTGTGCACAGGAAAGCTTTCCACATCAATTAAGTATGATTGGTTCGTTTTAATAAATTACTTTATCCCAAAGGTATATATTTTTTCATCAATTCAAGTGAACGATTGTCTGGTAATATTACACATATATAGAAAAGGTCATTAGCGCGTGTTGAAGCACGTAAAACTGCTTTCAGTTTTCCATCCATGTAGATGTACTTTGAAGAATATAGTATCATGTGAATTAACCATTTAATTCGCTTGTGTTAGGTAAACAGGGGAATATGTATTCATTCCTTGAATTCTTCCCCTTTTTACTTTTGTGGTCTCTGTCTACGGTCTTCGCGACCTCATGCTCACACACATACAGAAATCTACTTTTTGATTCATTTCATGGATAATTTTATTTTCTGTTCCATTTATCATCTCGAAGTACATGTACTTTCGCCATTTCGTTTCAAATGAAACCAGTTTTTGGTTATAGCCACCATAATGTTGAATAGTGGGTATTCATTACAACAGAACTGATTAGTGCAACAAATGTGCTTATTTATTACTTCCATGACAGAATTCTTTACACTACTCCACTCCCACCCATTGTGTAACATTTTTTGAGCATTTGGTAACAAAATAGTAGTATGTTGACGATCAGTAATGCATAAAGATATTGCGATGGTAGAAAAAACGTTTAGCTCAGGTGGAAGATTGTGGTGGAGTTTCGTTTTCTGAGCTGGATTTCTTGGTTGTGGAGCTTACATTATTCTTCTGGACAACGTCATCAGCACAAACTTCAAAGCATCCACCTCAGAGAATGAAACGCATAAAGGTATGGAGTGGAGTTAATATTATTGAATAGAGGATAAAGGTCTAAGTGATACTTAAGCCTAATGTACATGAATGTTGTTAAAACAATAATATCGATTATGTATGTATGTATTCTCGTTGGGCAAAAAAATAAGTGATAATGATTAAAATGTACATAATAATAACACATCCACTTCTTTACTGAACCTATATATGTATGTTTGTTTTGCTTTTAAAAATTTGAATATCAGATCATTTTAGTAAATGCAATATTTGTCTATACGACCGGTTGGTTATTATTTGTTTGCTTCTTTTATGCAGTGACCTTGGATTTGTTATCTACTTTCACCATATCCTACCTTTTGGAATTATTTTTTCACTAGTACGCTAATGGAGGTAGCCTAGCAGGTCTGTTGGCTACTAAAGCATTAAGTTTGTCATGGTGTGTTCGAATCAGTTTAGCTTTGGACATCGCCTGTGGTCTTCATCATCTACACAATCACAGTCTAATTCATCGAGATTTAACCTCTCAGGTAGTTTTTACGAGACGTTATATACACTGCCATATCCATTATTCTGATTTTAACTTCTGTTATTATGGGGTTTCACATTTCGATGTAATATTTATATATCATCTGATTACTTACAAAAGTAAAAAGCATTTTTAGCAGAGAATGAAGTGTAAAATTTAATCTAAACAACGTGACAGTAATTTTTTTGTATCTACAAGTGAAAAAGAAACGAATTTAATTATTACAAAATTCTGTTTGGGGATAAATGTTATTGAAATACATTACCCTATCAAATTGCAGGATCAATACACTACCGAACGCTATCCATCAACGCATTGATTCTACAAATCACTTACAATACAGTTCACTATAACTTGATGAAATCTAGGATAAAAGCATTTGGTTTTCTGAGTCTTCGTTATCATTTGGATTGAATTAATTAATTGTTGGTACGTTATTGTGCCTCTAGTTGCACCAGGAATAATGATAGTGTGAAAATTATGCTAAGACGGTATTTCTTGGGGTCGTCACCTTATCAGATTAGATGAGTTCTAATTCACTGATTCCTGAAGCGGACATATTTCGCGAACAGATACTAATGCTATTTTGGGTCAACTAGCAGACGCGCCGCAGATGCACTCATGCTGCTTTTATACCACCCAAAAGTTCACACGTATGCCAATACACATGATCCCTTCTGCCCAAGGGTATGTACATGTCTAATTTCTCTTGCGAGTCTGTTGGATATCCGGTCAGTTGTGGCATGAACAGGCACCTCTATACGGGCGCTTATGAATCAACTTGACCCCTCCAACCAATACACGCTCTGCAATCCCCAATCGGCAAGAGCAGCAAGGGGGGGGGGGTAAACCCAGCTTAACTGGGCACCCCGTACAATTCACCGAGCCACCCAACCCGTTCACTAGCTAGCAGCTATTCCAACCACCTGGTCTCTAGCTCCCTCACGACCGAAACCCTGAAAGTCTCACATGAAGCCAAGGATGGATTGTCTCACAAGTTCAACTAGAACCTATACGTTTCCATCGGGTAGATATTACGTCTTCAACCGAGCTAGGCTCTTCCCGCCATGGTGGATTGGCAGACATCGTGTGCGATCAAGCGCCACTGAGCGCAAGACCCTAACCGCCCAACTGGAGAGCCTTGTTTAAGGGATCTCGACGCCAGTTAACACTACACTTAGCATAGAGTGTTCAGGGAAAACACATAGGGTCGACGTCAATAGCCCAAGATCTGTATGGCTGCTTCCCTGAGCGTGAGACAAGGCCGCCTTAAGAAAGCTGGAGCTACACTCCTTTTAAAGTATTGGCTACCAACAAACTGCGGGTTCCAAAATGTGTCACCCTTCTGTCAGTTCCTTTTAGTTTCAACTTCACTGGTCTGGATCAAGAGCAAAGCGGTGTTTCGCTTAGCCAGGCTACTGCATGACTGTTTAGACCTAATTTCAATAGACCAGTCCCTTACCTACTCTCCATTATACCTCCCATTGTTATCACTACAGGGAGGTGTCGAACCAATTTCACTAGGCCATCCGAGTTATTGGCGAACGAACGATAGCGCTCGTTTAGTTCTGCTAAATTTTGATTTCTCATCTTGGCGTTCCAAGACGCTCTTAACCGATCATCCGCACAGGTGATGCCATCAAGAACCCGTGTTACATCACCTTTGTGGGCAATGAGACGGGGTTTTTATTAGGTTCTCCCGTTTTGAATACGAGCCTCTCTCAACGCTGCGAATCCTAGCCGTCTAAGCGATCCTTCCAACTTCATTGTCACTCTATTGTTCCTGGCGATACTCAGTCACTGGATACTTACACACTTGCAATATATGGATGAGGGGTTTTACCATCCTATAGCCCCCAGAACATTAGAGGTCATTTGAACCGTGGTCACTTTGAGCTCTTCGCGCCTTTGTGCTGCTTTTCTAAACATCCAGGGGATACCTAAAAATGCACACTTTTACATTGGTCTGCCATCCTCAGACCTTCGAGATCTAAAGTGCTATACAGGTTTCGTTTCCAGGCTAAATGCACGTCAGCTAAGTTCGATACTAAGGTCTGGCTATCATAAACGTCTTCGTACTTCGCTGTAGGGAAGTCTGAAAGGCACTGAAAAGCCTTACTTGCTTAAGCGCTTCACAAGACCCTGCAGCCAAGGCCTTTAAACTTTAAGCTTGCCTGAGAGGGACAATCGAATGAAGGGATTATATTTTCAGGACACCAGTATTTACTTTAGCATGTATGTAACTCTTAGCCATATCGTGAAGTAAACCAAGCCATCTACGAGCCGCTTGTCTAACCAGAGTGTCGGTCGCACGGAGCTATGTTAACCCTTCAAGGCCTAATTGGTCTGCATATGATAGTTTGTGGAGGGCATATCCCCTTGAGGTTCATAGCCACCGGGAAGGATTCAGCGGGGCCTCAGCGATTTCCCTTATACACTTCCTAGCCTTCACCTGTAACAACTGGTTGGAGATCCCTCTGTGGGAAAACAAGATTCCGAGATATTCGAAACTATCTAACACCACCAGTATTCGTGTACCGTATAGGCCTGCGGAACTTTGCACATGGTTTTTCGCTTATTGTGCGCTTTTACAGTCAAGACTTCGTGGTGTTTATACTTAGGCCAGCTTTTCATAAGGCATCTACCAACGAGTTAAGCTTAATTTGCATCCCAGCAGTGGTCTCTGCGAAGAGCATCACGTCTTCCGCAAATAATAGGGCACCTAGACTACCGCCTCCGATTCGAGCTCCCCATTTATTATCGGTCTCTCTAAGAACCCCGTCCATACAAATGATGAACAGAAGTGGCGAAAGAAGGTTACCCTGTCCCACCCGTCTGCTCACTTGCACTGTCTTGTCTAGAACTGTCATTTTCGACGACTTATAACAGTTCTCTATGTACCTGTACAGGGATGACGGAGCCCCGAATATTTAAGCCACTCTAGTTAGTGTTGCACGTGAGACCGAATCGAACGCTTTTGCAACGTCCGCCAAACACAGTCAAATTTTGACAGTTTGGGCTACAGGTTAGACCGAGTAAACCGCAATAGCTCTTTCAAAGCACCCTTTTCTCTCAGGATTGCGAGTTGCGGACTAAGCGTAAAGACGTGCTCCACCCACTTATTGACCAGGATACTGTGCAGGCAGCGTACTATCACCGATGTGGTAGATATCGGCTGACAGTCGCCTGCGGACTCCGGGTTGTCACATTTCGCAATGAGAGGGATCTGCGCAAGATCTAAGTGGTATAGTACCGCTCCCAGGGCCAACACGAGATTTAAGAGGGTCGTTATGTGGGTATGACCGCGTCTATATTATTGCCTAGGCTTAATGCCGTCAAGGCCGGGGGCAGTATTACTTCATGCTTCCTCACATACCTTAATCTGTTCGGAGCGCACCTACCGTGGCAAGGTCCTTAAGAGGGCCAGTCCACCTATCCATTGCTGTACTGGTGAACCACCAGATAGGTTTGATTGACTCTTCTTCCGACTGCAGCACAGCGGACGCGTTCCTACTCTGGGATAGTGCAGACAGGCAAAGTTTCTAATGGATGCTTCCAGACCTCTCGTTTCCAATTGTTCCCAAGTGCTACTAATTCCCTCCATATCTGCCTCCCGTTCCTGTCGCAGTATGTAATTAGGTCTTCATCCTTTCCTTTTATCTTGAGGATTCCAAGTTAGAACTTGTTTTATGGTGTATTTTAGTGCGTCCCACAATGTATGTTTATCCTCTTACAGCGTCTTTTCATAGTTCCATTTTCATCTTGGAGTTGGTTTGTTCTCTACCACTAGGTTGTCGCAGATGTCCGGTCAATGGATGTGGAGTATTTTGCATAGACAGCTGTTTATAAATACCTACATCTGGTATTGGTAGTTCGCTAAGTTTCAATCCGTGTCTTTTGATTAGATCCTCCTTGTTTAATGTTGATGCTGCCTAAGTACGTTAAGTATACATCTCTTTCAGTGCTTCTACATGAGTCACTTACAACGTTGAACTTCGTACGTAGGCACATCAGTTCAGGTTGCCATACCACATCATCACAGAGACGCAATTGTCACTTCTAATCCCATAGTAGTAGACGTAGTAGAAGTCTTAGCAGTAATCGGAGAGATTAGGGTCCGACGATATTATTCAAGAAGTAGGATCTACTGAAAGAAACTTAAAAATAAAAAGATAAAGGTGATGAGGAATTCCACAGGTTAGAATCTGAGGGAACACTTTTATATCTGCGTTCAATGCTTCAGTTGACATGTTGTCTGGTCCGGCTGCTTTGCACTCTTAATTCTTCGGATGGTTGAGTTGATTTCTTGGATTGTTCGCGAGGTTACATTCATAGAAAAGTTTGTGTGTGCTGGATCGATGTTGGGTTGGTTGAGTGGGGCTAGTCTATGCAGGTGCTCCTCAAAGTGTTCCACTCACCTGTTTCGCTTTTCGTGGTTCGCGGTGATTGGTTTACCTTTTTTGTTCTTGACCGGTCGTTCTGGTTTACCATACAGCTAGTTTCTTTGTATCACACAGTTGTCCTGTTTCCTTCTCTTTCAGCTTTCTTAGCAAGTTAAACTTATTGCTTCTTCGATAGCCTTCCAGTTGTGCATATTAGTTTCCTCTTGTAATGCCAGCAAATTATTGCTGATGGCTGTTTAATCCACTGAGTTTGTTAATATTCTGAAGAAAGGCGGTATTAAACTTTTAATGCTGTTTTTCCAGTTGTCTAATATTTCGGTAACTTCATTTTCATGTGCGCCACCATCGATTGGTGATCTAAAGCTATAGTGTGATACGGTGAGATACAAATAGCTTTGTGTATACGACTGTGAGGGGATATGGTGCCACCTATAACTATTTTTTTGAGAAAAAAGGTTTGCAGTCTCACCATTTTCGTTCCTTTCTCTCAGTACATGTCGTCCCACGATATTTTCACACCTGGTGTTGTCCATTCAAACCTTGGCGTTTAGGTTGTCCATTAAGATTTTCAGATGTTTTCTTTATCTGTTCTCTACGACTGACTGTAGCCTGTGATAAAACTTATCTTTATCGTCGTCGTTGCTATCATTGTTGAGTGTATGGCACTGGATGACATTCATTGTACTTCTTTCGTCGCACTCCCTTTTGAAGTATGCTCTGATGGTCGTTGTTTATAACATTTTCATCCTATATGTCTTTTATCTGCAGCATCAGTGCAACGTCTTGTGTGTACAAGGTATTATCATGTTTATGACCGGCGTGCAACAGCTTTTCTTCTGAGGCTAATCTTTGTTCAGCTTGTTTCTAAAATAGTTTCACTTATTCCAGTTCCCTCAGCCTGTATCTTTTGTCTACCTCAGTCACTCTAACGATACTCTCGATCTCCCACGTTGTGTGGACATTCTATGTACATGCACTAATTGTTCTGATTGTTGGAAGTGGCATCGTCCCCGTGACCATCGATGAAACTCGGCCTACACTATGAAATGTCATAACTCTTCTTAATGAAGAACTTTCAGCTGCCAGAGTAGAGTTCAAACGGTTGAAATGAGTTTTGCTGGTTAGCGCTTTTTAGCAGCATTTTGTCTACGGTATTATATTACTAACCCAATATCCAAACCTCCTTTGGGACCAGTAGTGACGGTTGCAGGGCTCTAGGCGGAGTTATAACTAGCTGGCTCGTTAATATTCAGGAATACCTTACTGGGCGGAGTAGTGGTCGAAACAGTTTTATTTATTAGTTTATGTTTCACAATTTGTTGGTATCATTCGAATCTTTTCTCCATATGCACTACAGAATATCCTCATCCGAGTTCGCTCTGGATCATGTCCAGATACAACAAATAATCATTCCGGACCGACTTTCAGCTCTGACTACCAGACGAATTGTAGTGGCGCTTTTCCAGATAGACTTACTCAATCCAGGTTATCTGACTCAGAAAATGATACTCAGGGAATCAAGCATCCGAATGGCTTCTCACATCATTGCTGTCATTCTCATAATCTCTGTCGACGTCATAGCAGTCACATCAATCGACAACGATTTCATCAGTTTGATAAAATACATTCAAATGATGAAGCCAATGAGTTTTTACCAGCTAGCTCCTATTCACATTCATCTAACGAAGACTATGCTACGAATATTGATAAATTTGATTTGGATCTAGCTCATCTACTTTCATTCGCAAGTCAGCATACTAACGAATTATCCTGTTCAGGTAAACCAATTATTCCCTTCAGCTTTTTGAAGTCTATTCCACTTATTGAACCACGATGGAAGAAACTAATCACTAATGATCTACTTGTATTAAAGTGTTTAACTCGATCAGAAATGTCAATATCATCGAGCAGTTCCCTAAAATTCACAGCACTTGTAGCCGATCTGGGTTTATGCCTGGATTTAAGACGGTAAGTCTTTTATTTATGGACATTGCCAAATTCGTTGCTGCTTTTTAGTTTCATCACAGTTTTATCTTTATTGACTAAGATTTTTTGAACACTGAGTTAAGCTTAGTTCAATTGCTTAGAATACCGAAATATGTGTTTCATCACCATCAAGTCTAATTGTCCGTCATTATTATCGACCAAATATTAGCTACTAGCCGTTATTCCTGTGTTTTGAGGACTTTGAAGTAAAAGTTGATTTAAAATGACAGATCGTATTACATATCAACCGCCTTTTTTCTTCGCAACGCAATTCGATGGGCATTTCAATACAACACTGGTTTAAGACTTCGAGCCATTGCCAGTTGCGTAGTTGATCTATTTTGTTCTGCAGCAGTTAAGTATGTTGGTTCAGTTTAGTAACTTTTGAATAATTTTTTTCTCTTTTCATTTTTAGGGATCATGTAGATGCAGTTTCGGTCGTTGGAAATCCATTTTACACCGCTCCTGAATGTCTAAATCGAGTAGCACCGTATACATTTGCTGCAGACATATTCTCCTACGGTCTTTTGATTTGTGAATTAATAACTCGTTTTCCTAACGACTGCTCACTCATACCCCGTACACCGGTAAGTTTAGAATTGCTGTGGTAATTTTTATCTCTGGAATATTTAAATCTAAGATTGCGAAACTCATTTATCTAATACCAAAACCTTACTTACTTACTTACGCCTGTTACCCCCAATAGAGCATAGGCCGCCCACCAGTTTTCTCCAACCAACTCTGTCCTGGGCTTCCCTCTCCAGTTCTGTCCAATGTTTGTTCATTCCTCTCATATCTTTCTATTTCTCGGCGTAATGTATTCTTTGACCTTCCTCTTGTCCTTTTTGCCTTGAGGGTTCCATGTGAGGACTTGTCTCGTGACGCAGTTACGTGCTTTTCGTAGTGTGTGTCCTATCCACTTCCACCACTTCTTCCTGATTTCCTCCTCCACTGGAATCTGGTTTGTTCTCTCCAACAGTTCGTTGTTGCTGATGGTGTCTGGCCAACGAATACGAAGTATTTTGCGTAGACAACTGTTAATGAACACTTGTATCTTCTGGATGATGCCTTTCATAGTTCTCCATGTTTCCGCTCCATACAGTAGAACTGTCTTGACATTTGTATTGAAAATCCTAAAGTCTCCTAGACAACTCTTAGATAAACTGAAGGAGATTTAAATCAACAGTGACGGATTACTGATATCTTTCGAAGTAATAGCCTCATTCGAGTCAATTGAACCAGGCTTAACTAAAAAGACTCTATCCCTGCTCCTTACCAAAGACGCAAATCTCCCAAGGTATACGAAACTTCATAGTCAAAGTCTGCTAGAACTCATTGACTTGTGTTTAACAACGTTTTTCCAATTTATCAACGAAATCTACACGAACCAACAGAATCAATTCAATCAATCGTATGTAAACCAAATCCTGATTTTGGTTTTGGTTGAAAGTTGTTTGGAGTTCCAGATATTTTTCAACTGTAGAAATGCAGCCCTCGCTTAGCCAATCCGTGCCCTCACATCTTCATCGGATCCACCTTGGTTGTCGATCATGCTGCCAAGATATGTAAAGTTGTTAACGTCCTCCAAGGCATCTCCATCAAGAGTGATTTGGTAGGTGCATGTTGTGTTGCATCGGAGAATTTTGCTTTTTCCTTTATTTATGTTGAGACCTACTGCTGCAGAGGCTGCTACTACACTGGTCGTCTTCTCTTGCATTTGTTGTTGCGTGTGCGATAGAAGAGCCAGGTCATCTGCGAAGTCCAGATCGTCCAGCTGCGTCCTAACTGTCCAGTTGATACCGTGCTTCACTCCAGATGTTGACGTTTTCATAATCCAGTCGATGAGCAGGAGAAAGAGAAAGAGTGAGAGTAAGCAACCTTGCCTGACACCGGTCTTCACCTCGAAGGAGTCTGTTAGGTGTCCTTCGTGTACGATTTTTCAGTTGAATCCATCATAAGAATTCCGTATGATGTTAACTATTTTCTCAGGCACACCGTAGTGTCGAAGAAGCCTCCACAGTGTTTTCCTATCCACGCTATCGAATGCTTTCTACCTTAGCATTACTAAATTTAAGAATTTCGTCATTTTTCGTGGGAAACGCTTTCCGAGGTTTTACGAAGTCAAAATTGATTAAAAAGGCCAATCAAAATTAAAATAAGTTGATTGTAGAGGTTATTTAGTGTTAGGTTGACCCATATCGTAAACTGACTTCTGGTTTACTATCATTCAAAACAAGATATCACTGGATACTTGTTTTGTTTGTCTGCGACTATTCAGTAATACGCATCTAGGGCCTCCAAGCGTCATGGTGTTCACTTATCTATTTAAAACATTAGTAAAAGGAGGAACCAAAATATATATGCTCCAAACGATAAAAGTTGTGAGGGGATAGAGAAAGAGAGTATAACAAAAAATGGATGGAAATTAGTCTATGAGAGTAAAATTATTGTAATAATAATGAGAGGAACGAATAATATGCCGTCTACGGCAGTGAAATTTTAAAGGTGTAAATTCAATCTAAATGTACCCTCGTCTCCCTGATCCATCGACCAACCAACCCTATATTTGTAATTGTCCAATTGAGAACCTGTTTTCTGATGAAGATAAACTGATATGCTTTAAAAAAGCAGCATTTCACAAAGTTTGTCACCGCAGCCGTGTCTTTTCACATGTCTATATCGAACAACAAGGCTGATAATATGTTTCGGGTGATGTTTGCTAGTGTCTGATTTCTAACTGAAGAACAGTTGGCCAGACAATTAACAGTTTATAAGAGTCAAGCTTTCTGTCACTCTATAATCCGGGATAATCATCTCAGTGAGCGATTTTTATACTAATTATGTATGCGGAATGAAAGGTCAGCGTCAACGTCCGACGATATCTTCATCAACACGATGGTATGTTTCTTTTGATATACTTTTCAACGTTTTTTCTGATGTGTACAAAAGCGCTGAATAGTAAATGTTATTTTGTGTAGATTCAACTCTTACGTGAATGATATTCACGAAGACAGTGCAACATTTTTCAATTACTTACAAAATAACCTTCACAAACAAAATTCGTCAAATTATAGATTACGCAGGAAGGTGTACTATACATACGGATGTTTTGGGGTACAGCTGCTTTTTTAGATATGAAGTGCAATTACCATATCGGAAGCTGATCACCTACGCTCTTCATTACCATGAATTAGTCAGCAAAATTAGTTTTTATGGAAGACGATGGGTTTTGTTCGGATAGTATGTAAACACTGGTGAATTGCTTCACCAAAAACCAAACACGGTAGTTCAACGGCAACCAACTAGCAATCATATGATGAAACATGAGTCAAATATTAATAAATCATCAAGAATTTTGACCGATTGTTAACTACCTGTTACACATCACTTCACTTGTTGATTCAGGTCCAGTCCTTGAATTTTATCCATATTTTCCATGTAATGCGGCTGGCCATCCGTATAACAACCCTTGGGGAAATATTATCCATTTCCATCGATTAAGAAATGGAAGAAATCATCAGTAGATATGATGCTTTCGAAAATGTAGATCTGGATACTACTATATCTAGTGATGATAGTGAAGACAGGGCTGAAGCGATTGTAGATAAACAAGTAAATAATGAAATCCCTGAGCCTAGTGAATAGTCAGACAATGACAATCATATCTGTGCTGGACGTCATTTGTTCTAACTCCCAAGCGTCGAAAACGTATCCAATGAATGAGTGAAATGTTGGAGGTGCAGCACATTCAGTCATCTAATTTGTTCTTTAAGGACTGCCGATGGTGACCTATGTATGAAGTGTTACAATAATGGATTCTATAGTAATAATTTTCATTTCAGATATCAACGAGCATTCAGTGAGAACGCAAGATGGTTCTTTTTAGGGCCACCTCGACAAACTGATTTAATAATCCACCTTATTTTTTCACTTAATGTTTCAACAATAAACTTTTTGTTAGATCAGGACCACATATAGCATAGAAAATATTGAGTATTATTGCCTAATAATAAGCGTGACTCTACGCATTAATAATTTTTAGATAATGTCTCATTTTTTGGAGATCGGGAGTTTTTCTCAACAGATTGATCATTTTAAGGCTAAGAGCGGTTGATCTATATTACTTTTCAATAAATTTAATGATAACTTACAGGAGGATATTATATTTCGTTATAATAATCATGTTAAGAACTGTATGTAATTACGACTGCAATTTTTAAAAGAATGCCATTTTTCGAATTTTCTGGAAATGCCACATCAAGTGATTCTAATTCTCACTTAACACAGATTTAAGCGTTGAACATACCTAGACAAGCGTTCAGCATTTACTTGTTTTGAACTTTATGCCTGGTTGATCGTTAAAATTTTCATTACTGAACATTTAACCCACTAACATAGAAGGTAAATACCTTTGTCTTAATTCATTAATCATAATTTCAACCATCAAAACAAAAGAAAACTCATTAGTTCAACAGTTTACTTAAGAAAACAAGCACATTTCTAATCAAATAAGCCTGAGTATAGGTGACAGAAATGTTAAAAATTTAAACAAAATAGGATTGTCGTAAACTCTCGTTCAGCCGAGAGAAACTGTGTAGTTTGGAAAAATACCGGTAGAAAAGATTCAGTTAAAGAAGTTCCTCTTATTGATGTGACGAAAATAAACTAGGACCTCCACTGGCTTCTGTTTTGGGCTGTGACTGATAATGTCTCAAGCCACTGAACGATTCCGTCTTTAGGAACTCAGCAAATTAGCCAGTATTGTACAGCTTCCTTTCATACCACGTCATAAACTGACCACATCTCTGTTCTTCCCAGCTATTCCCAACACCATCGTTAAGAATGCGCGCCGTTGAATTTACTGAAATGGTATCTTTTGTACGCGTCTAAGCCGTTGAAGTTGGTGTTTCAAGGCACTGACATCAAATGAATCATCGGTACTGCCCGAACACATGTTACCGAACCTCTGCATTACCAACACAGTGTTACCACTAAATGTCATCAATCCTTCGTAGACAACGATGATCAAACACAGAGAATCGCTTAACATCTTCAACTCAAAGAGGTCATGATCCACAAGTCTAGAACAAATCTCTCACTGACGCATTGTAGACCCAACATTTTAAACCCAAACTAAAATGAATGCGCCAAAATGACTCATATTAGCATAAGCCGCTTCGGTTTTCACTACATATGGGTTGATTTCATCACTTCGCTGCTAAGAGCGCTTACACACATACCCAGGACGTGAAGTTTTAAGTTTTTTGGCGGTTACCAAATGCAGCTGCTACTTCCAACTCATCGGCATTCCACCAGGTTTCTAAATCCTCACTCATACTTTGCACTATTCGATAGTCTAACAGCCGTCGTCTGTCGTAAAACTCGCGGTTACCCGGAGTAGACCGTGTCTCTGCGGGTTGCTAGTGGCTTGTAGAAACCCAGTGCTGCACAAGACTTTACTCTCCACTTTATGGCGTCGAACAGTCGAAGTCAATATTCTCTGTACTTTGAACCTATCTCGGTTTGTTATTTAGTTGTAACATAAGCTGCAACCAATATACTAACATCGATCCACTTAAATTGATCAATTCGTTGGTCATCGAAACGTAATATAAGACTGGAGCAAACGAGAGTATGGTCAGGATCCTGATATGTACCACAGATGGAGCGGCTGTTCTGTACACAACCATGCCAGTGGATTCAGGCTTAAGATGGAGAGGGAGGGTGCCAGGTAGCATCAGCACATCAACGATGATTGTGCCAATAGTTATTGTTTGCAAGAATGTCTTAGAATAATTTACATCCTCACTAAATTATTCAAGTTAGTTGTAACACAGTTCGACGTTTTGAAGAATATTTAGTTTATATACACATCCTGAGGATTCTTAACAACTCAGCTACCACCTCATATACCAGACAGTTGTTTGTTATGCACATTATTCTGCTTCCTTTAGTTCTGATAATACTAACTGAGATAGTAATAATAATAGTTTACTACAAATTACAGTAACCAATAATAAACGGTCGTTTTTCTCGACAATTACAAATTCACAAATTGAAATATTTATTTATGTACATCTCTAATTTCATAAGACGTATCCTACACTGTTGTGTTTATATAACTTGTATTATTTCTCTAGTCTTTCGGCTTGGATCATGGAAACCTCCCAGTGCCTCCTGATTGTCCTGGTTGGTTTTTCCAGTTAGCTGTCAACTGTTGCACTGTCGACCATTTGTTGCGTCCGCATATCTTAGACGTCATTGATTCCATCGAAAAAAATAGTTATGATTTATCTTGTCATGCAAGAGTTCATTCACCGTCTGATGTGCCTGTACAAACCCCCGTTACGAATAGTCCACATGATATTAAATCCCAAGAAAATATTCTTGAATCCCCCATATAAAACCACATAATCTCATCTAATTCAGTATTTTGTCTACTTTAATTGTTTTGTCCGAACTGACAACTCCACTAGTGTGTCAAATCATTGAAATTATTTATCACTACTGCCGTTACCGATCAATTTATTTTGTTGATAAACATCTCATAGTTGATTCAAAGCATTTTTTTCTCTTAAAAAAAGACAATCAGCTAGCTAATTCAGGTGACCTTCTCATTTTTGTCCGTTGCTTGTAAATTGTGACTATTCATTACTTTTGCTCTGTTATCTATGAATTTTTTTTGCAGTGCCAATCAATTATTCTCTCAATTATTACTTGTTTCTTTTTTCTAATTTTTGTTTTGATTATCGATTATTTTATAGAGCCAATGCTTAGAGTATGAATACACACAAAAAAAAGTTACCAACTATTCCCTTTTTTTGCATCTCAACATTTCGTACGGATTCTTATTCTGGTCTCTCGGTTGTATTGTTTTTCCTTTTACGCATTATAAAAAGTGGTCCAAATCCTCCTATATTAGTGTCTTTTTTTTAATGTTAATTCAGGAAGTACGCCTACTTTGTTCCTCATGTATCTTAGTTGTTCAAATCTCCCATATCATTTTTAATATTATTTATTTGTCTGAGTATACCATTGTAAAAGCAATTATTGTAAGATATGGAAGTGCTGTGCTTCTCTTTTCGCCTTGTCAAATGAAAGTATCGTGCCTACTTTCTTCTGTCTTCCGTATATATATATATATATATATATATATATATATATATATATATATATATATATATATATATATATATATATATATATATATATATATATATATATATAATTTGGCATTTATAATCCCATTTATATGAGTAAACATACGTTTCTACGATTCTTCCAGTAGTAATCGCAGAACACTTCTCTCTGTTTTTCTTTTTTTTTTACTATAAAGTGCAAAAAATATCCATACATAAGAATATCATAATGTAGATATTAGTTTTCTCTAATACCAAAGTTTTTTAATTGTTTGCTACTTGAAATTTTCATGATTATTACTATTGTTATTACTATTATTATTATTATTGTTAAATTCACCACTTATACATTTGTTATTATTAGCATTCTGTTTCACATATCAAATTGTTATTACATTAGATTATGATTGGTAGACCATTGTTCTTGCTTTCCTTCCTTATTTTTGTGGCTTACAAATGAAATGTAGCTTACCAACACTGATAAGAGACATTTATTGGTCTTGTTTCTTGTTTGTACTTCTACCTTTCATGAACACGTTTCATAGAATTGTGTGGAAATAAAGTCTCCACTTTGTAAACATCACAATTTGCGAGAGTTTGCCGTTTACATAAATTAGATATGATGGTCGTCTTCGTTTATCATTAAACACAATTGATTTAAGTTGGTTGTAAAGACATCTTAGGAGTCGTGCTACGCATATGATCTAGGTTGAAATGCAATCAACAACTGTATATAAAGTTATCTTAATGTCAGAAATAACCACTATTTCAACGTTGTAGAGTTTAAAGTAAATATAATCTCTGGTAATCTGATTAGACGTCCGACATTTTTTGAATAATGTAGCGTTGTTAACTCATTACATTTATTACGTAACTGGCCACTTGGAACTGTCTCACGTGGTTAAAGTTCCTAGCTTTCTGGCTATTTGTTTATGGAAATGCCCTAGTGGTTGTGACGTAAGAATATGATTTTTAATATAGCAGTTATTGTTTTTCTGCGAGCAACCAATATTTTCCTTCACCGACTAACAACAGTGGCAGGCTAGTTACACGTTATATTTTGCACTGTTTTAGATTCTTTCGACAGAAAATTATTGGACAGATGCTCTGTAAATAATGTTTCTAAGTAGGTTCCAAACTCATGTACGCAGAATGGAAAGGATATTACGGTACTCATTAGTGACTGTTCCACCCAAGGATAGTGCTTTCTATAGTCCACATAAAGGCCTAAATATTGTCAGGAAATAGCGATTAAGTTTTGAATAATCCGATTTTTGTATTAAATTCAGGGGTCAAACAGTCAAAATCACAGAGAATTCATTAACTCAGTCAGTTAAAACAAGTACTTTCTATGTACACTTCACCCTGAATATAAACAAAGCACATCATTGATTCAAATAAGCAAGGAGTTGAGTGTACTCTAATACACCTTTTTTAATCTGTCTGTCTTTGTATAGAAATCCATAGATAAGTAACTAAGAAATCTGACTGTTCAGAATGTAGTCTTTTTTCTGATATAGGACTCATAGCCTCCTGAGAAAACATTTTTACTGTTTATTGTCAACAGTCAGTAGCGATTACTTTAGCATAAACAGCTTGTCTATATTACCGTTATCTACATCCGACAATGAATTTAGGTTTTTTTTTTTAAAAAATTCATTTTCTAAACCAATTGAATATTCTCATTCAGCATCCGAGTTTTAATAAAGAGACTAAATGTCTTCAATAAAAATATTCATTATTGTGACCCGGAATCGATCTCAAAGTTAGGATGTTTCTCATTAGTTATAATCAGTGTAGCGTAGTAAGGAAAATCTGTCATTAACAAGCTGACTAACTGATGTTTATAACTCACAGTTGAATGCATACTTTTTAATGGGATTCTTATATTGGCCATAATCAAAGGAATGTCAACTTTTATCGATATGAGTTCAGTCAATATTATGCAGTTCTTCTAAGTATATATGTCAGATCTCTTTTGGCTTTGTATATTTTTCAATTCGATAGCTTATCAAACGGTTTGTGTACTGCCGCATGTACTTTCATTTGTGTATGCGGTTAAGTGTGTAAAGTGGAACACGAAGGTTTATTTTTTCCGACTCTTTTAACTGCATTTTCAGGGAGCTATCTAATGCTTTAAATAGCTGCCGGTTCGTGCTCAACAGGTATCCAGTTTCAGCAACTCCCATATAATAAATTTACAGGCTCTTTGGACAAATTTTCGGAACCACTACACCTAATCAATTCAAATCTCACATCATTTACCCAAACACACACAATCTCTGCTCTATCACATTACAAATTTGCACTTTCGTTCAGAAGTAAATAAATACTGAAATTTGCGTTTCACCTTTGACGTGAATATGACTTGATCAGAGTTATTTAGATTTTTCTCATTACTACCTAAACTTGTGTTGGCTTAGTGCGGTCACTTATTTCTTGAAGAAATAACTTACAGTAACACTTAAACACCGGAAATCCTGTTTCTGTTAACTGCCATATTCCAAATGACCATTATTTTACCATTTTAGACAGAGAACCTAATGCTTAGTCTATTTGAAATTATCAAATAGAATGTGGTGGTGTTTCGTTCTCTGAGCTGGTTGTTTTGGTTGTGGAGCTTTCATTGTTCTTCTGAACAACATCATCAGCACGAACTTCAGATAGAAGTGAAGCATTAGAATTTCTCCACGTTTGACCTGTAGCTTGTTCTGCTAACCTCGATCTTGATTGGTTGTTGTTGACCTTTGACCTGTCGTTGTTTGCAACTATGTTTTGAATGCCTCCCTCTTTTGATCTGTTTCTTGATCTAGTGTCACCTATGATTTTTCTGATTGGTTGATAAATTGGGTCAATGTCGATGTGTTTGTTGATTGCTAATTGACCTGAGTGCCAAGCTTCTAAAAATTCTCTAGTGTTCTTTGTCCTCCCCCTACCCAGTATTTCCACGTTGTTCCAATCAAATGTGTGTCCATAATTGTCGGTGTGTATTGATATAAGCGAAGCGTTGTCGTGGCGTTTGACTGCTAATTGAGCTACAAGTTTTCTCCACCATCTCAATATCAAGTAGAATCTTGGTAATAGTATTTACATTAAATATTCCTATTCGTATAAACCAACAACTAATTCTCAGATGGGATCAAATTCTTGTCAGAAGCTGGGTAGTTTTCAACAGTGTTGCTAAAAGACTCAGTAAACACTCGAATTTGACATCTTCAAGCTTGATTATTTCACATCGATCAATTTGTGTATCGACCAAATTGTGACACTAGCGATCAATATTCAACAATCAGCTGAATGAACTTATCATTTTAAATCAACCTACTTCATTATGGAAAAGCATTTGACAGTGTATGGGATAACCGTGTAGGATTTAATTTGCCCTACAGATGTACTTCTAGAACTGTAAACGCAATATTGGCGATCACAGAGTCTATGGGAAAGCTATAGTCAGAACAAGACCAATTTTGCTTTAAACTTTATCTGTTTCTAAACATAAAAACAATTAAATTAGTACAATAAATAAGTAAATTACAGTTACGAAGTGAAACGATCAACCATACCGACCAATGTTGAGTGTCTTATGGAAATGAGTCACATCAGTATAAGAAGATAATAATGTCCTTCAGTTAGTAGGTCATTTACAACAAAGAAAGTTTACAGACGCGTCAGATCAGATCATGTGATGGGCGCTTAAACCACAATTTGATTGGTTAGTTATGACATAACTACAATTAGTTATGGAAGTAACTAGCAAACCGACTCCGACATTATGACGTATCTCAGGTTGTCGCTACCATACGCGATTATTGTGATAGAATACACTACGAAATCGTGCATGGAGTGCAGTTTGAAGACCAGTACCAAACAAGGCTACTTGCTCTCAACCTTTCTCTTTCTCCCGGTGGTTAATTGGATTATGAAACACTCTAAAGGAATCAACGGATGTAGTGGACAGCTAGAATACAACTAGACGATTTGGACTTCGCAGATGATTTAGCTGTAAAATTCTGACTACAACGCTACTAAGCTATCTGTATCTCGTCATATATGTTAATGTACATATTTAATCCGATGGCTTAGTGAGATACGAATATAGTTTCTATCGAACTTATTGTTTTTTTTGAATGTTAATCTTCAAATAATCTTAGAGTAATATTTTAATTTATTTCCATCCGAAAGTAATGACACTATTCTTTATCGCATGAATGATGTTGAAATCCTACAATAAAATTGAGATCATTATAGTTAACAAAAGAATATGAAACAACGCGACGTAATCTGTGAATTTTAAGCTGTTTTTCATCAGTTCATCGCTCAACATGTTTACCCAACATATATAAAAGTAAAGTGGTTATCATTCCCAGTATTTATTATTAAGAGTCTTCGGAAGTGACAGCGCTGTGTTATAATAATAAATGATAGCCTTGTACAGTTGTAACTTAGTGCTCTCTGCCATTGAGCCACAGACCAATCATCATTTTATGTGAATACAATATTCTTGCTTAGCTAGAAGGGAATATTGAAGAAGTATTGAAGCCCAGATCACGACCGAACACCGTGGTCAGGTGCAAACACTAAAGCGATTTACCTACAGTAGTATCAAACTTTGTGGATGACGACGGATTTGATGGTGGTTAGTAGCAGGATGAGCAGCACCAGTCTTAACTTACGTGAAAACTCTTCGGTCAGATGCAATAATATATTGTGTTATTTTCAAGAAAGATTTCTTCCGTAATCAGGGAGCTTTTCTCAAACGATCACGTAAGCTGCAAAGTAGATGCTTAGGAATATCCAAAGCAAATATGTTTTGCATCAGAGTTTCATATAAATGTCTTACAAGCGTAATTTTCACACTTTCTTTGATGAACTGAAAACAATTTTTCAAATGCGTACATCTCTTCAAGCGGTTTCCAATGAAATCCACAGTCAACAACCAAATATCAAATTTAGGTTTAACACGTTATTTTGTTTTACATTTCATATGACTGTAAGAAAGGAATTTCATTCATTGAACTAAAGGATCACATTTTTTGATGAAAACTTATAGTTCTGATAGTAAACCTAGTTGATTTAAATATTGAGTAAATCTATTAGGGTCATAGAACTCACTGATATATTAGCATTTGGTTGACTTAATTGTTTTGAAATTGAAATCAGTTACAATAAAACTGATTGTCAATGCTAACGACAAACATATTTTGAACAACAAAACTGGGAATTCAGTGAAGAGATTTCTTCCCAATGACTGTAAATAAAAATATTTATTAAGACGAGAGACAATATATTGTAGATCATGTTTACTGCTGTCAAGGGATATGGCGAAAAAAATAACTCATGCTGTCTGACAAGAAACGAATTATTGGTGATGATTACGAATTTTTCTAGACTGAGAGTTATTGATTATTCATAAGAGTAAGCATGGGTATATAATATTAACCAAACTTATAACAGAAACAACTATTTGCTCAGTACTATTTGATCATTGGTTGTTTAACATAAACAGACTTAAGATGAAAATAATTTCAGAATGATATGATTCTGATTATTTAGTGTTCTCATATCACGCTAGTTCTTATTAAGAACGGACGAGGGACTGATAAGATGAGACTTTGAAGGTTATTCACTGACAAACCAGTTCATACACTTTTTGTGTTCATTAAACGGTTAGTTAATAACAATTTTATATTATCTTTATTGCAAGCTATTAATTGACTTACTAGCAGTTGCTAAATATTTCGCTTTGCACATCTAACAACTGACTGACATTTGGCTGCGTGATTACATACTCCTTAGTCATGGTGCTTTACGGTATTGCAGTTTGTACATGTGATCACTTGAATTTTCGATAACTATTGGCTGATTTTTCTTATCATTCTAGTTGGTGGACTGATATTAGATGGTCCACCATTAATGTATCGTTTTAATGCATTAGCAGACTCGTTTCTGATCATGGAAAAAAATCGTAGTTTCTTTTCACCTTATTAATTCAGTATCTATCTTTTCTTACCTAGATCTACATCAGGTTACAAATTCGACGAGTATTTTGTCCAGTTGAGTGAAACTGGACATTTTTTAAAAAAAAGTGTTAACTACACGGCCAGTTCAAAAACAAACTTTCTAGTCTTAACTAGGAGTCTGAAGCAATTATAAATCTTGCTGATGTGCATCCATACCAGCGCCCGCAGTCAGACCTATTTTTGGAAGGGAGATGATATGAGAGGACCAAAATCAATTCAGTGTGAAGTTCGATTAGCATGATATTGCAAATATGTGACGAACTGGTGTACTACTACTACTACTCATAGTTGAGAACACGAATTGATCTTTGCTAGACCACGATTAAAAACCTGGAAGCATTGTGCTTAGATCAGTTTGTGATTTCAACTATGAAAATAATATAATTTCTACAAATCCCACTCAGTTCAATTATAGAAGTCTGATTGTTGAGATGACTCAACAAAAATCACGAGCATTAGTGCACGTATACATAGCCTTGATGTTTGGCCAAGGTCAAATAGATCCTTATCACTACATGTTCCATTTGAGATAGTCAATATTAAACATAAGTCGAATAATAATGAAATAGACAAAACACCTACTTTATGTCATCACACATATTAACTGGGGGATTCGAAAGAAGTCAGATGGCTTTCTCCTTTTTGAAAATTAAGTGGGTCGGCTTTGGGGGTCGCCAGGTCAAAAGATTTTCTTTCTTATGCTTAAGACCAGTGTTTGATAGAAATAGGTTATCTGGCATCCACATAGGTGTCTTTCATTTTCACTTAGTCTACCTACTTGAGCATTAAAGTCACCAGCCATTAATACTATATCAGAGCGCTTAACTTTTGGAGGTCCGAAAGCTTTCTGTAAAACTCATCTTTCACCTCGTCTGAAATGCAGTCAGTGGGGGCATAAGCAGATACGACGAAGAGGTAACGACGAGTGTCCTATCTTTCCGAGTCCTTACTGTCCCGTTCAGTCAGACAGTGACTATTTACTGGGATCCAGTCTAGGAGGGATAGTTCTGCCCGGCGACTCCATGCTATATCTACGCCAGCGAAGCCACAGGAAGCAGCATCAGGGCTTCAAGATACACGACGAGTAAATCGAGCTGCTTCTTTATTTTGACAAGGTGAAATCAAACTAATGATTTTACTAGGTTCATGTATGCGGGTTTCCGAGACGCAGCATTCATCTATGGCACGAGATTCTAAAGTCCTAGCCACGGAAGGCTGATGCCCTATTTGACACAATGTCAGAACATTAAAAGCTCCAATATTTAATTTAGTACGGGGTTTCAAGAGAGCGGGAATAATGCTTCGTGAGCTCGAAACGTTTGCTTCAGTGGCAAGATGTGACAAACGATCGAAGGTAGGGTTGGTCGAGGAGATAAAAGTTATTAGGTGTAGAAAGGATTTAATTGTGATCAATTTGATCTCGTGTGCTTTTATGGGTATGAGGGCGGATGTGACTTCCCGGTCGCCCACACTGTGGAAGGGTTCTGGTTGTCAAAAGGGTCATCGGCCTCATGACTTCTGAAGGAATTCGGCTTTCATGATGAGACATCATAAATCTTCTGAATAAAGACTTTCTAACTCCCAGAGCAGAGTTTATATGGTTTGAATTATTTTTTATTGTTAGCGTTTTTAAGCAGGTTAGTTTTTTTCCGGAATAGGGTCACCAACCCTCTTCCTTTATCCGGGCTTGGGACCGGCAGTAGCCCCGAAGGGTCAACAGGCGGGGTTAAGAGTGGGGATGGACAAGGTAAAAATATCCATAGATATCAATTTATAAATGAACCAACTGTAGTATGTGGTTTGAGGATCGATAATAGCAAAGTTGATAAAATATTCAGTCAAAAGTTCGATAAGGAGTTTGAATATGCACTTGTAGGATCAATATAATATTCTATAGTAAGTTCACTATTATTATTATTACCAGTTGCAATATGCAGTTGAAGTATTGGTAGTAACGGAATTAAGTAAGAAGTAAACAGAAAATTTGAGAATGAAGATGTACTGATGTACGTCCTATGTCAATAGCCATGACTAAGAGAGTCTGTGTGTGTGAACTTTCTTCGGGTACGAATGCTGGGCTTCTGGCTGTGGAGTGTAACGGCTTCAGTGGTATGCAAAAGACAAACTTAACTAAACAATATGAAGTAACTGCTAACGAGTAACTGGTTAATCCTTGATAAGGCATCACTAGCTTGTTCGGAAAGTGAATGAAGTTATTATAGTAAGAATAATCAAATGTGGTTCAATGGTATCATTTTTTTTTAAAGAAAGACAATAAAATTATGTAGAACGCAAGTGGAACAGTATATCGTTAAAGATAAGTAAACAAAACTGTCCTTATACAGCTTGATTCTATAAACAAATTAGTTAGTGATTGTTGAATAAAACAACTGATAGATTAACGGAGCAGTTGGAACTTTATGTTGTATGCTTAGAAAGAACAGCAATTTTGAATATCCCTGCAAAAAAAATTGTACGGATATACGCAGCCATAAGTGATGTAGTCATTAAATTCACTCTTCATTTTATTCACCAAGCGATCGACTTCACGGAAACAGTACTCGTAAGCTTGGTTAATTTTAAATCAAGAAGACAGTTTAATTATGCTGCTTACGTGACCATTCTGAAAATGCTACATGGTACGTGGACATTGGCATTATCAATGACACTAATGGGTTGCGTTAGGCATCTTTACTGGAAACAGCACAAGATAATAATGCATATATCACTATAGGCATAAAACTCAGTATTTCGAAGAACTGAAAAACTGCTTTCTAGCATCCAACATCTGCGAAAGCGTTGACTCAATCACCACGTTAGAAAAAAAATCATAAAAAGGAATAACCAGAATAAAATTAAATTCCATCTTTTATATATTTAATTCTTTCCTCTTTTAATCAAAATAGAAAGATGAATAAAAATAATTCAAAAAAATATATATATAATATGCATGATTATCCACATCAAATGGTTGACGTATAAAATAATGCAAATGAAAGGCTTAATATACAAAACAATCAAGTGTACAAATATCGTTGATGTTGGAAATAACGTGTAAAAAAAAATTAGTGCATCCATTACAAACTGATCGATCGGGAAAATAAATAAAGCGGAATTCTATTTTAAAAAAAATATATCATTGATTGTGCAATGTTTTCCAAACAAAAAAACTAAGTTTTTCAATGAAATTAGTGGCTACCAGAGCTAGTGTTGATGTTTTGAAAAACAAATTTTGTATTTCAGTACCTGAATCAATTAGCCGACGCATTGAGGATGGATTGGTTGGATCACCGACAGCTCGAAAGACTGCACGAAATTGAAAATCCTAGAGAGTGTATATGAGACAAGAATAACGCATACACTGTTAATATTTGTCAACATATCAATTTATTCACGCAACTAGAATCAACGAGCGATAGATGTTTTGATTATCAATGAATTAGTGTGGCTAGTAAAATGATTCTTCGTCAGTTCACTGTGGGCGAAATAACATTAAATAATCAATGAAAGAATATTGGTTTAAAAATGGTTTTTCAGTTAGCACAGAACGATGAAATTGTTAAAACAAATCACATAGTATTACAACAGCTAACTCAGTCAGTTACAAAGCAGAACTTCGTACATACGCACATCAGTTCAGGTTGCCATATCGCATTAGCACAGAGACACCACTGTCAGTTCAAATCTCATAGTGGTGGAGATAGTAGAAGAATTAGCGGTAATAGAGAACATTAGGAATCGAGGATTTTAATCAAGAAGTATAGTTCAGTTGAGCTAACTTTAGAAAGAGGAAGATAGATATTGTCTTTGTCGTAAAAAGATTAAGTTGACTTGATAAACACCTAATTGTATGATATCCATATAAGCCAGGAATCAGACAAACAAACAGAGAACGAAAATCTGACTATAACTAGACTGTATTAAGAATATCGAACATTAGTTATCACAAGGTTTTTCTACTAGTCTTCAAAGTATGTGAAAAGGAAATAAACATTCAAAGTAACCGAAATGACAACTTTGTACAAAAAAACCAGTTAAAAACACACTATCAAAACATTTTAGCGTTCGATTAATGGAATTGTTCCGGTAGTTATCAGTACCACTACGGAAGGTATGCCTAAAACGATTAGTAATAGTTACTTGTTTGACAAGATGCAGAAGCTGATATTTTCACGAAAATATAGTCAAATTATAGGTCGGAAACTAATGTATTTAAAACCATCGTCTGAATGGAAAATAGTCATTTTAGTGTCCGCTACTAAGGATTATCATGAATTTTGATATGCTGAATAAACTGTACCGTTTCGTCTAATTCTATAACAACAAACGATTACACAGACTTACTTTATATCTACTGAATGCTTGAACTGAAGAATATTCATCAGAAACACATTTATCATTACTACTTTCGCACCAACTAAGAAATATAAGGCCTTCAGTAAACGATGGTGATAATAAGACCATATAATTTTGTATACATTCACGATCGATATTCAATGTTTCATCCAACTTGTTCTCAACTGAATGACTAAATCGGTAGGCGATACATGGTATTGTCTCTGATGTAGAATATTTATATAGTTTTGAGTTCATATTCATTTTCATTTGCTCAATTTGGTGATTGTTCTGTTGTAAATTAACAAATTCTTTGTTTAACAATGCACTAACAGCATTTAAATGACAACCACCAATGTTAAACAATTCTATTAAACGAGAATCCAAACGTAGAATATCCAACTGAAATGGTGCAGAATCGACTAGTTCCTTGGAATTACGTGAGAGAGAAAAAACATATACAGCACAAATAAATGTTAACAATTTTGATTGCAAGCAAATATCCACACACATAAGAGTCGATATTATGATGGCAATTAGTATTGAACAGTGGTGTTAAATATCGACTAAGTCCTATGCACGAGGATAGACGGTACAATTAGACCACTGGATCAGACCAGTTAAAATTTATCAAAAACTTGCTTGAGCCTTGATATTATACTGTTATCATTTGGAAAGTACTTATCATTTCCACTGAAATCATGAATTGATCAATGCTAGATCACCATTAGAAATCTGGGCGCACTTGACGACCATTTAGTCCTAGTACGGGACTCATAAGTAGTGATTACTCATGACACCACCTGCATGTGGGAATCGAAACCACGACCTTCGATTTTGCGCGCGAACGTTTAGCATATAGACCACTGAGCTACGGTATTGTGCGACCTCTTTAGTGAAAAATACTTATCATTTTTCAGATGGAAATCATTTATGATAAAAGAGATTTTCGGAAGCAGATTTCAGAAAGGGGAAATAACAGTCCTTAAGCCCGAAAAAAATACTGATATACAAATTCGTCTAGAAATATGTAGGCTTTTTCATTACATCCGTTTTCGCAATCCGACTCAACAAACATTCAGTTTTTAAACGACTTAAACGTACATCCTGGAGTCCATTGCTGCTGACAATTCATATATACTAAAAGTTTAGTTCGTTAAGAAATGAATGTATAGGTAGTTAATGCTTAATAGAAAATGGTATGACATTTCATTTATTTGGTCTCTTTTTTTTACATATCTTCTAATTAACTTCATTGTATTACACTTGATATTAGGTTTCTTCCAAGTGTTATTGAAAGTATAAGAGTTGTGAGTGTAATACTTTGCTAAAAAATTTCTTGTCTGGTTTCTAATAACCAATGAAAATAATCTTCAAGGCTATTATTGTACAATAAATTAGTTAGTTATCGCAAGCGTATTTCTTTTTTATAGTCTCAAACTAACACCCGACTTCATGTCATTTACTTTTCAAGTAAATGAACACTTATAATCAGTAGGGTTTACAGTATAGTGCTTGAACCTAAATGCGATATACTAATCGAGCTACTTATAGAAAAAAGACAGTTACAGAACTCTAGTATTATTGAGGAATAAGTTGAAAACTTACAAAGCGGTAAAGAAAAGTATCGCCCTTAGCTAAATGTACAGTGTAGTCAACGAAAAAGTAAATCTGATGATGTTCACATTGCCTCATTTCCATAGAATATACAATACTTTTAAGCTAACTAATTTTTTTTAGACAAGATGTTTATAAAAAACCTAAATCATAGTGACACAGGGAAATCTAAAAAAATATTTGCATGGGAGAGTTTAAGTAAGATTAATCATAAATTAGTTAATAGAAAGAAATAAATTTTAATATTAAAAATTACTTCTATTTCTCGCATTGACAAACTTTGATGATTTAGAACGGGACACAAATAACTATCTACTGGCTTCGGGTTGGCACCTAAGGAAATAGATGGAGCATCTTCCATCCGATAGTTGGATTGAACGGTATCTTGGGACAGAGAATGACTACTGGTAGAAAGGATCTGGGTAGCCAGAGAAGAATTAGTGTCGAATAGTTTATACCACAACAAACTCTTGTGACAATCAACGCCGGATCGACCAATTAATTGTGTTATGCGAGATTCTAAACTGGACTGAGATATTCGAAGTACACGATGCAACTGAACTTGATGAGAAGGACACATACTTAGATAGGACATGTGCCATCGTACATCGCTATCAAAAGTATTTTCAGAATGTTTTGAAGATCTTCTATAGTCGCCAGTATTTGTAGGAGAGATGTTCAGATTCTGACATTGTCGCTCTGTTGTCAAACTGGACACATCCGTATCATCGATGTCAAATGGTCTGGGCATCCGACTGACAAGGGTTGGTTGATATATAAACGAACAAGGATCAACACAAGGACGAATAGCTGGCCAATCAACTGGACACTTAAAAGTAAATATAAGTTAGGCAATAGTTAACTTAACCAACTTCATTTAAACTTTGGTTGTTAAGTTTTAGAAAACGTAGAAGCATTCAAAAAATATCCATGAAAAATAATTTTAACAAATCTCAGCACTAAAATGTTACCAAGTAGTTCAGCTTTGTTTATAAGAGAGAATTCATTCAAAGTCTCAGCTTTATTACTTATTAGATGAAATTTGAAAATGAAAATTAATTGCCTACGGCTTTCATTTAAATTCAAACTAGTTACAACAGCATGAATCATCGGCCCATGTTTATATTACTACATTTCGTGTCACTAAAGCAGAAGTACAAGTGGGTGAAGATGAAAAAATAAGACCAAATTTTCACCTCAAGCCGATCATCTATGCAGAAACGTGGACAAACCAGTTTCAAATCCTTTGATCAATTGAACATTTTAAAATTAGAGTCTCATTGTTACAAGAGTGAATCGCTGGGATATTAACTAATAATAATAATAATAATAATAATAATAATAATAATAATAATAATAATAATAATAATAATAAAATGTCTCCTGTGCAGTATCGTCGACATTAATTCGACCCGTCAGAAAAGAATATTGCTAATGAACCTAATCTAGCAAATAAATTTTCTTGACAATGTAAATTTTATTATAGACATCAAAATGTTTGGAAAAAAAACTCACTTGTGTACAAGAACTTGAATTTAATTTTGCAAGTCTAGATTCTGGAAATTCGTGTTTTGAGTCTAAAATAATTAGATATACAATTAAATGAAGCAGTCTATTTGTAATAGATCCATCAACTGGTGATCTAATATCCGAATAAGTTCCGTTAATTTCATCAGGAACCACAATTCCTGTCACTGAATAAGGTTGAGATATAGACTGTCTATTAGAAAGTTCATTATCAAGCTTTGTTAAATTCTGTACAATATGATGTGCACTTGCTATTCCGAGAGCGGAAAATTTACACAACTGATCTTTATTATTAACGACAGACGAAGAATTTGAATCAGAAGATATTCGTAAGTTGGAACATGGTTGATATTTTGAATGATGATCAGAACTGACGGAACGTGAACATGCTGATTCTTGTTCCGGATGACATTGCTCAACTAAAGCAAAATTATACGATAAATGCTTGTTATATGATGGATATATTTGTGAAGCACTATATTCCCTTCTAGTCATGCGTAGAATCTATTTTAACAAAAAAAATACATGTATGTAAGAAAACTACTTCACACATATGGTTTGTTTATGTTGTCAAAAAGCACGAACCATATTCTCTTATAGTTTGCATAGTTTAGTTTCACTAAACAATATGAAACTGAAGCGTACATTTTATACAGTAGCATAATCAAACACACTATGAACTAGTCACTTTTTACACAAAAAGCATCCTACACAACTTTCGGATAAACACCAGTCATTAGGTCTATAACTGAAGCACAAAATTACTGAGCAAGCGAGAATCAAGCAGACAGAAATTGAGGTAACATAAATATTCCTGATGATACAACTACATAGTGTGATTGGATTGGGTCATCAGTTTTTTCGAATAGTTAAGTATTCAAGAAGTATTGTGTTACTAGTGTCCTGTTGTTATATCCGAATGGAGATAGAAATAAATAAGAACTTAGGTAACTGTTTTATGGACTACTGATGTGTATAATCTAACTGTATAAAACGAATCAATTAACCTATCTGGTATATATATATATATATATATTATAATAAGATCCGTACTAACCCATAAATTATTATCATATCTTGATAGTTTATCATTAGCAATCTTACTTACTCACAGCCATTTTTGGTTCACTTATGTATAGTTGTTAATTTCTATTTACTGGTGTGATGTGTTTTGGTCTTAAGGAATGTCTAAAATATAGTAACGAATTTTCAACTGGTGACTACTGGTCTTCGTTCTTTCACTTCGGTTGGGGTTAGTTAAGTTTGGACCGCCTTTTAAGTATAGAGCACAGCAAGTCTCTCATCCATGTTACATATTGGTTACTCAAAGGTCGTCTGAGTTTTTGTTCGCGTACAGGACATAATATATGTCAGTAATGGAGATTTTATTTGTCAAATTCATTAAGAATTTTGTGAGTTTTTAAATCGACTCTCTTTGGTCTTACCTATTAATAGTGACAATCAACTATTATACGGCACTCTTTGTTCAAAGAAAAAATTTCACTTTAGACTGATAACCGCTTCCGATAAATGACATTAAGACTGAGTGATAATATAATCACCCAATCCAAGAAAACAAAGATTAATCGGTGAGGTATGTTAATGATCGTCTTACTGAGCTGCTACACATAGATCGATAGCCGTACTAACTTGCTACACTTACGCCAATCAAGATAAGACCTGATATCAGTGAATGGAAGGCAAACCAATGACACAATAAGAGGAAGGTTAGGTTATTTTCTGCGATCCAGCCCATTTAACTAGAGAAAGAAGTCCACAATCAGAGGCAAGTTTGTGTAATTCACAAGCAGCCCCGAATGAGCGAATTAACAAACATTCAATCCAAGCGCGATATCTACAGTAAAAAACGTCCTTGGAAGAGTTACCAAATAGCGCACTAAAATAGAGACATGACTGACGAGGTTCGGGGTCGTTCCAAATAAGCAACACAAACTGAAGGTAATAAGGGGCGCTTCTGACGAGAAAAACAGAAATTCGAATTTCCAAAAATAAACTACAAAATTAAGAGGCTTACCAAGTAATTTCTGGTAATGTAGTATCTCCAACTGACGTAAGGAGATTATGCAAGACTATTTTATCGGTTGAGTAGAATGCTTGAAATACAAAGCTAGTAGTGGTCGTGTACGTAGGAAAGTAAGTCACTCATAAATAACGTAAAAACCTGGTACAAATGTATATCTCAGCAATTAGCCAAAAAATATCATAGAGTGAGAGTGAATTATTTAAATGAGTACTGGATAACTAGTAATAGTAGTATGAGCGATACAAAAAGGAGATGAAATAGAGAATACGATTTCATAAGAAAATATAAAATAGAGCTGAGGATAAGACTAGTATGTAATTTTTTATTTTAACTTACGTCTACACCATAGGAAGCATGTTCTTCAATAAGATGATGAAAAACTTGATCTGGTCTCAGACACAAACTAACAGGGCAAGTAACAGGAAAGCAACACAAGTATCCCCGAGAGAAGAGCGGTAGCTTTTGAGCGATACAGGATAAGTCTTCTAGAAATTTTGTGACAGGATAATCAGGAATGGTAATCACATTAGAATTTACGTTTCCAACTGTACTAGATGGCCTACGTGAGGCATCAGAGCATTGGACTCGCTGAAAGTATTGTCGATCTAGGTTAAAAGGAGTAAGTTACAAACGATAAACAATTACACAGTTAGTCAGTCAGTTAAGAGGTAGAACTTCGTATTTACGTACATCAGTTCAAGTTACCACACACAAATTTCGATTCAAATAACAAAGTAGTACACGTAGCAGAAGTATTAGCAGTAATCCGAGAGATAACGGTTCAAAGATATTATTCGAAAAAAAATCAATTGAAATAAACTTAGAAAGAGAAAGACAAACGTGACGAATAATCCCGAGGATAATGATTTTAGAGACGGCAAACGGTTTTGAGTAATGTCATTCAAGGTCTCTAACCATCGATTATTATCATCTCGCAGGTCCCAACCAGGTAGTCAACACCCACCAACATAACTCAGTCTACTTGTCAGTGACTTCATGCATTTCTTCCATGTTTTAGTCTGGTCGCCCCTAACTTTCTTACAACCTACTCCTACACTACAAAACAAAGCTCCTCGAGACAGTCGGTGGTTGGGCATTCGTAATACATGTCCCAACCACCCCAACTGATGAAGCTTCAATACTTCATCTATTGATCTGCCATTCTTACCTACCATCCGTTTCATAACAACAGCATTGATTACTCAGTTGTCCGAGGATACACGACCAATGCTTCGAAGACATCTATAATATTATACTAATAACCTACGAATAACTTCTACTCTCACTGGCCATGTTTCACAGCCATAAATTAGGACAGTTCGAAGTGCTGCGCAGTACTCTCGTTAGCAAACGTATATCTCGCCTACACCATAAGTGACGCAAGTTGGTAAAAGCCAATCGAGCCTTCTGTATCCGTGTTTAGATTTCGTCAGTCACCTGGCCATCAACACTGATGAGACTCCCAAGATAAGTGAAGCGGTCAACACGCTCAACTGCTTCACTCCTTATCACTTATTCAGGTGCCGATGCAAGCCAATCCTGAAGCAACCGTTTGCATTTAGAGGTGGGAGGAAACCGTATCGCGAATATGCTTGCATCGTTGCTTAGGGTAGTCTGAAGACTGTGTCTTGTCAGCGTCTTCATCAAGCAGAACTATTTCATCGGCATACTCTAAGTCGACAATCGAATCTCTTGGTAAACATTCAATTCCTGAAAAGTCCGATGAAAAGGTTTCCTTGCAGTGTCTTACCTTCGTCCAGTAAGACGCAGATAGGTACGTGCTCGTTTTGGACCGTGGTTTGCATCTAAACAAGTGCTCCAGAATGAGCGGTAGTCTTAAATGGCGCCTCTTAACAGATAGCTGACAGCAATGTGGTCTAGTCGGGTTCATCGCTGTGTCGTCTTTGGAAGACGCCAGGTCATGAGGTGTTTTGGATAATTACTTCCAATATAACACTGATGAAAAATTTATTGTATAGAACAAAATAAAAAAGAATTATTATGATAGTGTTTTGAGAGAATTCGAAAACATCACATTAAGATGGATATTTCGGATGGCGATACAAACTATAAATGACTCATATGAAATAAATTTTACATTTTAACAAAGGATAAATAAGTTAGTGTATAATCTTAAAAAATAAGTTCTACCGAGTTAATTAGTGAGAGAAAGTTAGCACTGCTGATTTGCATGAAATCTGTTTTACAAGACAATTAAACTAAAAGTGTTCACTTCAGTATGATTAAAAATTATAGTTGATAAACTAATAAGATGACTTAATAATGATTACTGAGTTTTATTGTCGAAAAAAACGACCAAGTAAGTGAAAAGTTTCAATCCGTAGAAATAAAATACAAAACAAATTTCAACAGATAAATGGATGCATGAATTATCAGTGTACTTTAAAGGCAATGAAATAATATGCTTTTAATGTTTAGTAAAGTGCTGTCAAAATGTTTTACCTTTCAGTTCACATGTCTGTGATTATTATACCCAAGTTTCGTAAAAGAGGATAAACATTACGTAATCAGAGAGAATATAATACCCTTACAATAAAAGGAACAATTTTGTGAAAATCACATGAGGGGTTAAGATGAATAGGTCATTATATGGCTGTTTCTTTTTTCTACTTATCCACCTAGAGGAAATGATATGAATGCTTTTACTCGAATTTGTTGAAACACAAGCATTTGAATATCAAAGATTAGACAAAAGTCACTTAAACACGCATCTACAAACAAAATGGTTGACTAAAATTGTAATCTATCAAATGAAAGTGATTCATAAAATATATGGATTATTTAACAATGAACACTAAAAACTCACTTTCTAAATAATCTTGAATTGCACGCAAATGAAAGTCGTACGAAAATGAATGTAGATGCGTGTAATCACAGAGTTTACTTGATTCATTCCATGAAATATTACTACTATACTCAAACCAATCAGAGTATTTCCCATCTGATGGATTAGATATGATATTAAAAGAAGAACTAACACTAGGAGAACGAAGTGATCTCTCCATATTTCGACGAAAAACTGCATTAAACATTACTGATGTCATACTGGCTGCAGCCGATGCAGCCGTTTGAGAAATTACTTCGGAGGTATACGGTCCAAGTGTTACAGAACGTGAAGCATGCCAACTAAAACGACTTACTTCAATGGTACCTAATCTAACGAACAGATGAAAATCACGGATGAACAGCTAAAATAAATGACAAACAAAAAGTGATTATTTCAATAATCAGAAATTCATGAGAAAAGCTTAAAACTCAATCATATGTTACACAGTATTAATATTCAATTCATAATCAAACATAGGCAGTAAATAGTTCACATAGCAGACTGAAACGGTGATGACATTTGAACAAGTCGTCTATTCAACATTTAAAGACGTGCTGAGTTTGAAACTAATGCGTTAATTTGATTCCAGCAGAAGAAGAAATTAGGAACAAGTGATGGATGTAGATAGGACACATACTGAAGAAATCACCCAGCTGCATCACAATACAAGGCCTCACTTGGAATCCTTAAAGCCAAAGGAAGGAAGGAAGACCAAAGAACACAATACGCCGAACATTGGAGGCAGACATGAAAAGAATGGACAGCAGTTGGATCGAACTGGAAAAGTAGGACCAGGACAGAGAAGGCTAGAGAATGCTGGTTGGTGGTCTAAGCTTTATTTGGAGTAACAGGCGCAAGTAAGTAAATTTGTAGTAGGCCAAAGAGTTATTTCGAAGCATAGAAAGAAATGGTACTCTTTACTGAACATCTACAGGCATTATTGCAGAAGCAACAGCGGGTGTTAGATTCTCGACACCCACTCCTGGAAGAAGTTATAGTGAGGCCTTTCTTTCAACCAAATACTCCAGAACATAAAGGTACAGAATCATATATCGGTAAAATTCCGAGATTTATCTTTGATGCAGATAGTGGTCATACCCTTGAAGCATGATTTGTCAGAATAAACATTTATCATGCCAGGTTACACTCACACAAACTTGGTCTCAGTTAACATAGAATATACAAAAATCATATCCTACGTAAACGTCTGCAAAAAGTCAGTTTCAATGCAACTGCCAAATTGTAAATAATGTTTTGAGAACGCGTTTCATTATTTCATATCCTGAATAATTAATTACAGATAACAGAAGGTCAAGAAGCTTACATTATACAGAATGAATTTACAAGCAAAATGATTTAAATTAAATGAACTGTTCAGTGACCAGCTTAAATGATATTATTCACTTCTCAACTTAACTCTCACACCGATGCCAGCTTTTGCATGAGTTTCTTACATCGAATAGAATATGAAATGATGCTGCGCATTGATTCTACAGAATGTTAACAATTAATAAACCCACTATGTTAGAGACAAAAAGTACAATGATAACTAATTATTCTATTCATGCTGTTAAAACAGATTGACAACAAAACGACATGAAGTGTAGTAAATATCCGGACATTAAAAGCTCTAACATTTAGTTTGCAGTGTGGTTTCAGGAGACCAGGAATAACATTCCGTGAACTCGAAACGTTTGTATCAGCGACGTAAGATGGCGAAGGAATGAAAGAAGTGTTGGTTGTGGAGATAAGAGTGTTATTAAGAGGTGTAGGAAGGATTTGAATGTGACTGGTTCGAGTACGAAGGCGGTGCCACTTCCTAGACGCCCACACTGTGTAGACGAAAATCCGTGCGGTAAGGTGAGGTGTGACATTTCTAAGGTCGACCTTTTCTAACCTATATCTTCTGTTGTGAGATGGTAGCATTGCTGCAGGTGCTGGCTGTTCGAGGGAAATGCCTTACGGTCGTCACACCACTTAACATTCAGCAAGACGAATTCTCCCTCAGACTTTGAGTTGCTACTTTTAGTCACACCGTTCTCCAATCGATCTGCCTGGCATGGTAGAAACTAAAGGAACATACGTTCCAGCCAATACAGCTCAGTTGGTCATCGCGATAGGCAAGCCCGAGCACCACGTCAAGGTAGAAACTACGGTAGACAGAGGTATTGATATCTTATAGTCGATCTTTATACTTCTGAATTTCCGAAATTTCGCATGACTAATGTCGTTAAATTTATCGAGACACCCTTCCAAGCACCCATAGTCAAGCAGGTAAATTAAGAGGCTCGACATTTTTAAAAGATCATTACTTATAGCCGAGTTGAAAGATGTCCAAGATGTAATCGAAAGGTTTTTATTAATCGGAAATCTAACTGAAACTTTACTTGTAAGGAATGCCTAAACCTTTATAAACTGTCAGGCAGCTTGGCTAGTTAAAAGTATACAGAAGTTTTCGGCTTCTTAGTGACTCTAGGGTAAGTGTGGTTAAAATTATGAGACCAACGTTTTCGGCATCGAGATGTAAATAGTCGAATTATGATTTTTTTTTATGAAATAAAACAAGCAACCGACTGACGTAAACAATTAGGAAAACTCATTTTATTCGAATAAGTCTAGAAGGTTGACAGATTGTCTTTTTACTCTATTATAAAAATCCAGACATTTTCTTAAAATCACAATCCTCAACAATAATCAGGATAGCTAAAAATTGAAGTTAACTTTGCTGTGTGATAAATACTTATTAATTGGTGACAAATCCCTACAAATTCTGTTTATGTATAAATATTTTGTAATAAAGGTGATTGGATTCCTTGCTTTTGAATGGCTTAATTGAACCAGGTTGAAGATTCTTTCGGTTGTTCAGATGAATTTAGTAAAATTAGTCTTTCAGAAAACAAAGCAGAACATAGAACTTGCATTGCACGTTTCAATCAAAATTACGAGAGGGAGTCAACAAGATGCGATGACAATAAAATGAACAAAATAGTATTAGCTGCAGTCGAAAGCTAAATCTAAGAAATATATTTGAAAAAGTACTAACGAGATATAAAAATGAAAATAAGGGAATTACAGGTACATGACGAGTACATTAGTTTCACTGCAGACAACTATGAGACGTGTGATTAAAATCTCTAGTCACATAACACGAGTATCGGTTAGGATCTTACAGGGATACCTACATCTCGACACACTACCCAAATCCAAGGTCAAACGTCGGATGGAATGATGCTTTGCCTTGTTTAAGCTGGACGCGATTTTCTTCCAAAGCACTCTTTGTCGAGAATGAAGCAAATACTTCAAATCAGGATTGATAATTAGTTCAGAATATGTCTCAACAATAAACGTCAAACAAAAAAGAATAGTAGTACATAAAATTCGATGACTACTATGCATCCGCCCATCACTCCGCTTAACCTTAACTGTGTGAATTGGAATGAAGCAGGAAGGAATGTGAAGTCGGCTTAAGTAAGATTCAAGGCATATGGTTCACTGATTTGAAAAACTATTTTGACTGGATATTTTGGTTAACTCTTGTCTATACTACTGGAAAGTAGCATAGAATATTCAGATAAAAAAAGAGGGACAAGTGTTTCAAAAAAAGTATATCCAGATGATAATTGCATGTAAATGCTAATAAGAGAACTCTTCAATCATAAACTAGGTTTATTTACTCTCTTATTTGAAAGATATGATGCGATCTTACACTCTCACTCTTGAGTAAACTTAATTAGCACTATTTAATCAATTTTTTTAAGATTGAATATAAAATGCCCAAGCAAGAAAGTCTGTAATTACATTGTTTGAAATGTAGTGAATTTGTTCACACTGAACCCATCTTCTCCCCAAACATTCACTATGCACTTGCAAGAAGCAGGTAAAGTTTTCAAGAAAACGAAGTTGTTTGGCTGTTTAAATAAGAGTATGTATAGCAGGTTCTGAAGCCATAGTTATACGACTAAAACAAGTTTTGCAGTCATCTCAATACGACCTCATAATGGAAATGAGAGAATATTGTAAGCAAATATCACAGTTAATATGTCAAATATAAATCAACTAACCTCAATAATATGCACTCCAGCCAAGTGTATAGAACGACGAAACAATGCATAGTTAACATTAGGTTTTGCTACTTGTTCACGTCTGTTTGATGTAACAGAATTATTGAAAATTGGAATTGAATGAAAGCCTACTTCTTGTTGCAGATATTGAGAATATTTCATTAGAAATTGGTGAGCTACGCGACGTAACCAATTATTAAAGTTTATGACGGAAGTAACACAGTTATCATTATGTTCCGTATTATTAGAACGAGAATTATTATCATTAAGTAAGATATCTGATGAGAGTATATTCATGTCATCAAGATTACCCGGAGCAGCTGAATTGTGTGACCAACTTAACCATGGGGATAAAAAGCGACTTCCACCAGCATCCGGTACTTGTTTCGGTCTAGCAGAAGTTGACTTTAGAGAAAAACTGGAAATTTTAAAAAGAAAATTGACATTTGATTAAACAGTTATTTAACTGAAGTACATCTAGCATTCTTATACGGTGAATAGCATTAAAAGTTCTTATTTCTTTCAAAAAGAACTAAAAAACCCAGACACATACAACAGCAAAGACTTCAAACCTTTGTTGTGTTAGGATCGGAATTGTATGACTCCATTTTATCAAGATGTTGAAAAAGCATAGTGAATATTCTGATTACATAAATGCTACAGTAAACACTTAAGATTAAAATTTGATATATATAAACAAGTCGGTGATAGAAATAAAATTTAAGGACTGTTTGGGCGACATGGTTTTCTGATACAAATTATCTCTAAAAATCAACTAGTTAATTCATTTCAAAGGCTAGTAACTTCCAACATACTTCAAAGTTGTCAATTCCATTTGGTAGGATATCTTGTTTCATAGAAGAATTCAGCTATTAATCCAAGATGCTCTTAACTTGGATGCATTTTAAAATTTTAAAATTAAACAGAAACAAACAAATTCTAAAACGTACTCTTTTGAAGAGTTAGATTCATTTCCACTAGATTTCCATTGATTTGCACCTTGTTCAGTATGATGGTGTATTTTATCCGAGTCATTTATCTCTTTGTGCACTTTTAAATCTGCAATGGTAGAATCAGTGCCAGTGGTAGAAGTAGCAGTGGCGTCTGTAGGTATAGCTTCAGCAGAGTGATGTGAAACAGAACTAAAGTACAACTGAGCTGTTTTATTCACAGCATTTTCTTCTTCTTTGATTAACTGCACAACTTTCGAACGTGTGTTAGGACAAAACAATATGGGAGTACATATAGTGTGCAAGTGACGACAGGCTTGTTTAATAGCTGAATAACGTTGTAACCGTTTGGACAGTTGATCACTAAGCAGGAGTGCTACAGGCTAAGAATATCAAACAAAAATTTCATGGGCAGAGAATAAGATTCATTTACAAGAATGGGAAGAGATAAAATCCAAGAGGCAACACTGAAATACAAAATAGTAATTAACCATAGGCGAGGATAGTTGAAAAGCAAATGATCATTGTGATATTCACGTTCAGTCAAACATGACTGTACAAAATGTATCAGTATAATATCATAAGCTCGTACAAACAGAACCCACTGAAATGACTGATTAAACAAGATTGAATATAACAAATCCTACATTTTCAGTCAGTCAGATGCAACGTAGAACTTTGTACGTAAGTACATCAGTTCATGTTGCCATACCACATCAGCACAGAGATGTAATTGTCAATTCAAATCCAAAAGTAGAAGATGTATTAAGGGTATTAGAAGCAATTGGAGAGGTTAGGATTAGAAGATATTCAAGAAATATGATTCAGTGAGAAAAGTTTAGAAAGTCAAAACTAGAGGGGTTGAAGGATTTAGAAGATTAGGATTTGAGAGAACACAAAGAATAAATGCACCGGCGCCATTGCAACCGGTTTGAGTCATGTCTTTCACGGTCTCTAACCATCGATTATTATCATCTCGCGGACCCCAACCAGGCAGTCGACAACTACCCACATGGCTAAGTCCACTCGTCAATGACTTCATGGATCCTACATTTTGAGAAACCTAAAGCGACTTTAAGTACTCAGTAATTAGGTTTAACCATTGAAAAGATGGAACAAAGAACCTTGTTAAGGAGCCTCATATACACACATTTCCTATTGATAATATTCATTATTGATCATAAACAGACCACTATTTTGTTTAAACAGTTGACTTAAAACAATTCATACCCGTTGAACAGAGATACAATGAGCTTAAGATATATTGTACACTACTTATTGAAATTCAGGAATCATTATAGTTAGTTTACTAAGATAATAACTGAACACCTTGTGATGCATACAAGGTAAATTCTTCAGGTCAAATAATCTGCGTCGTAGTATTTAATTTACAATGAATAATCAATATTAGTTTTAGAAAGTACTAACCAAAGGAATATTATGGAAGTGATGAAGGAAAAAGTAACAAACTTATGCTTTCTAGAACACGAGTTTTTGATCGATGAACACTAGAGAATGTGGAATATATGAATGAAATTATGTTATTAAGTGTAATTAGAAAACATGATAACATTGAAATTCTTTTCTAAAATTGTTGAGTTAGTTTAAAAGAAGGCATAAATAATATATTTGCGGTGACATGGAAAGGAAGGAAAAGATCACAAGAAATAACTAGTCATTGTAATTTAAAAATGTAGTTGCACGAACATAGCTGCATTTTTATCGTACAACTTAAAAGAATTGGTAATGACTCCACAGGTACAGATCTATAAACTTGGTCTCTAGCCATACTCTAAATGCAAAGTCTGGTGATACTTAGCCATTTGCCTAGACCAAAGTTAGAGGAAGGGGTTCGAATAGCCTTAAAAAGGAAAATAATAAACAGGTCAAAACGGTACACAAAATTGTAGTTCTAATTGGTTTCCCAAAGTGAATAGTTTTGAAAAATCACAACATTATAACAAGCAATTTGAAGTCAGCAAAATTGTTATCACTGGTTAAGGTTCTTTCTTGTGCAAGAATTACATACGGAAAATAGTACTTCATTTTTCATAGGTATCTATCTACATGCAGTAGGCGTTGATTATGCTTTGGAGAACTATAATCAAAACATTGCAATGATAACATCTAATTCAAAGAATACAGTACCAACAAAAGTGCATACGTATACTGCAAGTTTATTCTGTATTTGGCATTAAAGGAAGATTGAGTGAAGTGACATTTCTAGATGAATTTGTTAGTTGTATGGTTAACAACTACATGTAAATCTTAATAAAACCAACAACCATTCAGCAAACGCTTCTGTCAATCGCACATGCTAGATTTTCCATTGTACAGCATTTTGGTGACTGCATCAGATTATTGAATATCAGTAGCGCTACAACAAAGAGGTGAAACTATTATAGATCCATTGTCACGGCAGAAAAAGAAACCAAATGATACAATCACTTATTAAATTATGGTCTTCTGCAGACTATCATCAACAATTTTCAACAGCATTGTGAACATAGAAATCATAGTATCCTTAACAAATGTACAACTAAACACAGCAAACGGTAAACTATAAAAACCATTATTTTTGATTGATGTTCATTTTACAGCTTAGACGCATACGATTTTAAATATTCACGTGCTAATCCATTTGATTGAAATAACACCTAGTAATTGTAGTTGAGTATGATCGGCTATGGGCTATACACACACACACACAATGGGCTAACCAAACTGACACAAGTGAAACAGAGTATGAACCTACAACCTGGTAGTTGAGAGCAAAGTGCTTTCACTATCATCAAGTCAACACTTTTCAGTGAAATGACCAAAATGCATTAAAATCTACGGAGTATTGTGTAGACTGGAAACTAATATAAACATCGGATATTTCGGACACTAGTTAATTACTATACCAATGATTGTAAGGATTTGATGTGTGAGATCATATAGAACGAAATTGAAATTCTTATTATTCAATTACGTATGATCAAAACAAAACCCAATAAATTAGGCGTTCATGTACAGTGAATCTTCAAGGTATTACAAACTGTTTCCAATGGTTTATGGTGTACGCATTAAGATTAGTTCACACAATTGTTGGACATTAATTAATTATATTGAAAAGGGCTAAGTAATAGTAGTAATAGTAATAATGATATGAATATGAATGGTATGAATACTAATGTGGAAAATGCTTATCTCACTCACAGATCCCACTGTCGACTTAGAATGAGAAAATTTCTGTCTGGTATCTTTATTCAGTGATGAAGATTTTGTTGAATCTGGTTCTTTGTTTGCTGTACTATTTTTACCACCTTCTTGCCAATTTCTAAAGTATTCACTGAACAATTCGATGAATTGAGACCGCCGAATATCAGCATGCATTAGCGTTAAGGCTTGTTCACTGTACCGATGTAGCGTATCAATGTACGGTAAGTGCGGATTACTAGGTGGAAGCAAAGGCGGTATATAACCACAGTCCTGAAAAAAATATTCATAAAAAATAAAACAATGATTTCAGGAACGATGAGAACGATTATCACCCTTTATACAAAGAACACTTCCATGGAGATAAGTAAAGTTTATATGGCTAAGATGGGTTTAAAGAATGTTTTGTGCCTTTTGGGTTACGTAGTAAATCATAGTTCCTTGAACTAGTAGAGAAATGTGGGATTTTCAGCGCCACTATAACACCGATTTTATTAAATAGGACGTATAAACTAGACAAAAGCAAAAAAGTGACATATGTAGCATAGCGATTTATCTATTCTGATTGCTAGCTATAATATCAGTAAAAGTAAACACCCAATACGCAGAGGATAAAACAAAGATTCCAGTAGTTACAAAAAGCAAGCAGTAGTATATTTGAAAAAATTTCAGACGTAAATAAAAGAAAATTTTACAGGATCACAGAGAGAAGAAATTTTAAGATGACCAGACTTGCTTTGATCATTGATAATTAATGATCACTTTTAATCAGACAGAAAAACGAGGCTGATCACAGTTTGGAAGATGATTTCAACAACAAGTACAGTCCTACCAACCTCATAGTAGATGATCAAAAACTGAATATTCAGTGGAAATGGATGAGCAATCGCTTGAATATTCTACACTCAATGACATATCTGAAAGTTAAGGAGCCTCACAAAATGCTGAAGACTGAAAAAGGAAACAAAGAACTGAACACTGTGCTTCACTGAGATCCTGACCGTATTCATAAATCAACAACTGATAACGTTGTCAGTATAAGTGACACTCGTTAGAATTATTGATTTATGATCATTATTACGTCTACTGTCAAAAAAATAAACAATTGAATCTTTGACATCACGACAAGCAGAACAGCCCCAGGTAGCAAAACAAAAGCCAGAAGAAACGAGAAATCATTACTGTAGAAAGTATCAAAAATGTACAGAGACCGTGTGTATGTATAGCTTTTTGCATGGAGTGAAAAAAGTGCATAAAGTCACATAATCTTCAATGAGTGGTGTTAGATCATCAACCTGTCACTTTATGTGACATTGACATTCTAGAAATTCTATCGAGCTGTGACTGGATGGGATCGCTTCAGTTTCTTGGGAGCCTTTTGAGGCTTCTTTGAGCGATTCCAACAGTTATCTACTCGTGTTAAGTAATATTATTGTTTTTGAGACTGTTTCCTTCATCCTCAATTTGTAAAGGATCAATCTGTCTTTTGATGATCACATATAGCTGAGATTAAACATACAGGAAACCATTTTATTAATGTAAGTTACATCTAATACAAGAGAAAGGGAAGATGATCTATAAATTCCCCTGGTATGAATGTACTGACTGAAAAAGACAATCAACAATCCATGTTCTAGAGGAGGACCCACTAATAACAAATTGCTTTAAATCCATCCATGCCGTAATTTCACACAGTTTATGAATTATCTACTTCACATGGTGTCTTAATATTGTCAACCTTCTAAATCACGTGCAGCTTGATGTTCTGACAAAGACCCATGCTACCTTTGGATCTGAAAAAACAATCGCAACAATGGTGCACGTTTCCGAATTTGTAGAGATTTTAAAACTAACGCACATTTGACAGTGTTTTTGTGTTCACACCGATATCTATTCTAACTCAAAAGCAAATGTTAAACAGAAAAACATAAGCATTAAAAATAACTTTTTTCCCAAAATCACATTACATTTGATTGTGGTTGCTGGGTTTTGTTAAAGAGAGACAAATAGTGCCTAAACTAAATACTATGGAAGATATCAGTAACACGTTTTGCCTATTCTGATTATGGGCACAAAGTTAACTTAAATGTTAGTCGAGATGGTGTCTTAGTTTCCATAGCTGAATATATTCCAAAGATCATAGGACGAAATTACCACAGCTAAGTTACACGGGGTTTTGCTATATTTAAGACGATTAGTAGAACACCAACGACTAACGTTTCATGGCGACGCCGAGGACTGAAGGCTTCTACGAGTTATTTAGTCAACGGAAGACAGAAAAAAAGCATATGCATTGACGATCCACAATACATTATGATCCAGTAAAAACAGGTAAACTTACTTGAAACAATCGTAAGAAATTATTGATACTCTTATTTTCCTTAAATTCCATCCGTGAACTGTTTGTTCCATAAGGAGATGACGAGTGAGTTTGAAAGCCGGGTGAGGAAGAAGTGTAAAAACTATTACTACTGTTTGTGCAATTATTATTTGTATCGATTGTAGACGGTGTTACATGACGCCTACGAGCAACGGAAGTAACAGATGATAGGATATTCATAGAAACACTTGATACAGCAGTTTGAGCATTGGGTGTAGATGAAACTGACGACAAAGGTGAAGTATTATACAGATTACTTGAGGTCTGACTAACTGCAGCACATGGTGAATCCGTTCCAATATTTAACTCAGGAGGGCATGTATTTCGTATTAAATCCATAGCACGAACAGCACAACTCCGAAAAGCTGAATTATTGACACCATGAAATAAGCCCAATTTTTGAAATGATAGTGAACATAAAAGCTAGGAGAGTAGATTGAATGAGGTATACAAATAAACACTAAATAGTAAATGTTTAAACACATGGATCTGGTTGAGTCTATCATAAGCAGTGTCTTAAACCTTTGGAAATAACATTCGATAGATTGTATTTAATCCGTGTAAATCTGTTGTCCAAACGATTCAAAGACCAATCAAATAATATTATCAAATAAACTAACTAATAATTGGTTTTCACCTTCGGTGAAATATCATGAATTATTCACATGGTGCAACACATAAGTGGTTTGGAAACGTTTGGAAGATACAGTATATCTTTGTCAGACAGGAGTGTTAATTAAACGCTTTAGATCCCAGCTACGATGATAAGATGTTAATGTGAAAAAATTTTTACGTTATTTAATGATTGCATCAATTAAAGGGCAATAAGCACTGATTTCATCATTTATACTCGTAACCCATTAATGTAGCTGAATATTAGGAATTTGTAGTTTTACAAGATGTCATAGGAATTTAGTGAACCAACTACAGCATGATCAATTTTAATAGCGTTGTGCAAACCTAAATGTCTCCATTGCTTACCATGCTAAGTAATCCTGAAAAGTAAGCTCAGAAGCCTGCTCCAAGAAGAATAAGAAAACAAACAAATACAACAACGAACAACCCTACATATTTGTATGTCAGCTCAAGATTGTGAAATGAATTACCAGGACGAGTCATTTAAGTATTTATCTCCATATAATGAAAATGGGAAGTAGTGATTCGTTATTTCAGGGGATCACTGAATCATATGAATCGGTGAAATGCGATGGTAAACGATGCTGTTTAAAAGGTTAAAGCCAATTATTTCGAACTTAAGAGATTTATACTCGTTTAGTATTTGGATCAAATTAACACAGAATATAACTTATGATGATAAGTAACTTCCATAAATTAATAAGAGGGTAAGGATAAAGTGATCAACTAGTTGGATCCAACTTTACAGATAGGTACAGAAAGATTCTAAACAGATATTTTGTAGATGCATACTTTTAATCAGGAGTAACACCAGTTTGTTGCATCCTATGAAAAACAAATAGTATTGAGATGCGAGATTACCTGATAACGCTGATTGTACCACTCAACTGACAATAGTAAGCGGTTTGACATACGTTCAGCCTCTTCTTTTGTCCAATTATAAGTGAACATTTGAATATGACGCCCGTTTACATATATAAGACAGAAACTCTGTCTAGGAATATGTACATTTATTCCAAATTTCTCTTGTATTATATGTTTATTTTGAAGTAAGAATTCATTTGAATCTGAACGATCAGTTTGGATTAAATGACTATCATTTGTGTCAGCTGATGTATACTGGACCATCCCAATTTTTACAGGACAAAACTCTGGAAACTTTGATGCTGAAAACAGGAATATTAGTGACGGTATAAAAGCGAATTCAGTTCAAAATGGAGAATTTTAGCTATACACGTTATCAGACAGTGTAGAGGGAGCTTAGTGGTTGAGACATCCGACTTTCAGACAGTAAGTCACAGATTTGAATTCTATTCCGCCTACTTCGGGTTGCCCAGCCGGGTAGTGTCATTCACGCACACACAGTATGAGTAGTACCTAATGCCTGGTGGATGAAGCACTTCACAGCAATTTTATAAAATTTACAACTTGAACGATCATTTACAAAAACATAAGGAAGCAGTTAGAAGGTAAAGAAAATTATTATTCTGTGAAAAATTTGGACACAAACTACGCCCATGTAAACGATTTGCAAATAATTTATCCATACAATGATAAAAATAAGAGAAACTTAAGGAGTTTGTATGAGAAATCGTTGGAAACTATTTGTTCGAAAATTTGTTATGCGCCTGAATGCATTATTAAGAAAAATAGTTCACTTTACTAGGAAGAACACTATTTTTGAGCATATGACGAATTAGATGCAGGGAGATATCGCAATGACTATCAAACTCATTGTAAAGGATGCTTACGATAAACTAGGAACTCTATTACTGTAGATAAAGTCTGTTATTGGGGTATATATTGATTAGATACTTCGATCTGAAGCAAACAAAATGCCTGATAACGGTAAAATCGTGACCTAAGTATGAATTACACTAGGGATAATTGGTAAATTTTTGATAATTTATCATCCTTAGTATTAAACTTGGTCAAATTACAGAGTTTAGACTAAAACGAAGTAACTATAAAATTGACCTGAAAATTTCTGTACAAAAGCAGAAGTTACGAAACGAGATTTCTTGTTAGGTTCCTAATCACTAGTTGACTGATAGCAAAGAAATGATTATATGCCGTGTTTGACAAATCCCCCTACAAATATTGCATTAAACGAAAATGACTACAAATCCAAAAGATGTACTGGAAATTCGACAAAAGTGCAACAATCCCATAAGCTAATATGTTCAGGACATGCATTTCTAAGACTTAACCTTAGAATAAGATGAAGTGGATACGGAACTTACCAAGTAACCCGGAATTGCAGCAATTATCGGTTACACACCAATGAAAATCCGATGACTGCGTTACACGTCGTTTAGCATCATTACTAGACAAAAAGCGTGATTCACATGTAGATGCCTCATCATTACGATGAATTCTTTTGAAGGTATTAGATTCAGTGTTAAGTGAGGAAATATTTGGTGAAATATTAACTTTCAGTGGTTGCATTCGTGAAGACGAATCATAATAAATACCTATCCATTAAAAAAAATTAGTTTTAATAAGTTTTTATTTACTGGGCAGGTTTAATAGTATACATATATAGTGGTATTAGTTCAACATGAAATATGTAGAAATATACGACTTATTGAATCTAAAAACCAATGAAATCACATTTCCTGAAAAATTAACCAGTTCTTTAATCAGATACAACACAGAACTTGGTTCGCACGTACATCAGTTTACGTTGCAATTCCACATTAACAAAGATATCCCACTATCAATTCAAATCCCGTAGTAGTAGAGGTAGTAAAGATATTAGGGGCAATGGTGAAGATTAGATTCAGAAGATGATTCAAAAAATATAATCCAGTGAAATACATAGAAAATAAGAAAAAATTCATGAGGAATTCAGAAGATTAAAATCTGAGGGAAGAGAATGAATAGATTCACCACTTTATAAATCACTTTGCCATACAGCAGTTCAAGTTGCCATACCACGTTAGCACAGAGATATAATTGTCACCAGCCATTATTACTATATCAGAGCGCCTAGCTTTTTACAGGAGGTCCGAAAGCTTTCTGTAAAACTCATCTTTCACCTCGTCTGAGCTGCAGTCAGTGGGAACGTAGGTGGAGAAAACAAAGAGGCAACAGCGAGTTTCCCTATTTTTCTGAGACCTTACTGTCCCGTTCAGTCGGACAGAGCACAAGAGACTATCTACTGGGATCCAGTCTATGAGAGATAGTTCAGCCCTACAACTCTATGCTATACCTACACCAGCGAGGCCACGGGAAGCAGCATCAGGGTTTCCAGATACACGAAGGGTAAATCGAATTGCTTCTGGATCTTGACATGGTGAGGTCAAGTGAATGACACTACTGGGATCCTGTATTCGCGTTTCCGAGACGCAGAATACAGCGATTGAGCGAGATTCTAAAGTCCTAGCTAAAAAAGCCTGTTGCCCTATTTGACACAATGTCCGAACATTAAATGCTCCAACATGTAGTGTAGAATGGGGTTTCAAGAGACCAGGAACGACGTTTCGTGAACTCGCTTCGTTTGCATTAGCGGTCCAGTGTGGTAAAGGATTGTGCGAAGAGTTAGTCGTGGAGATATGAGAGATGTTAGGGGGTGTAGGAAAGATTTGTTTGTGACCGGTTCGGTCTCGCATGCTGGTACGGTTTTGAGGGCGGCTGAAAACACCGTAGGTGTTTCTTGAGGAACCTGAACAAGAAGTTGGATAAGTGATGGTTTTAACGACCTGGAAGCGTAACCACAGAGCCCAGGGGACAACTGCTTCAGGCCAGTCACTCACGGCACCCACATGGAAAGTTTTTAAAGTACTGGCTCCGCTCTTTTTAAAAGCCCAATTTGGCATCCCTTTCCGCCGGAGACGGATATCCGTCAGGTAAGATGAGGTGTGATATTTTTAGGGTCGACCTTTCTAACCTTCCTTTCTTGTGAGAAGGCAGCATTGCTGCAGATCCTGATAGTCTGAAGGGAATACCTAACTGCTGTCACACCTCCCTACAGTCAGCAGGTCAGAATAGGTTGGCGAATACTGGTCGGTGGCCTATGCTCCTTAGAGGATAAGAAGAGTAAGCAAACTAAGAAACCACTGTTCACGATCGTTGCATAGGCTTCTTATCAGGCTGTGCTTAAGCTCATAATCCTTCTCGTCATGTTCAGAGACAGACAGGATGAGTTTTCGAGCATTTATCATTTCAGTAGACGCTAATGAAGTCCACTAATTTTCCCTAAACTTATGGTTTGACTTACTAGGATATCACTACTGTTTTTGCAGAAGACTATAGCATAGATACTAACACAGATATTGGGCTCAATGCTCACGAATACGAATACAAAATTTTTTTTTCAATATAATATTGAATAAAGTCATTATTATTATTATTCACACTTAAATAGCAGATCCAATCAGTCATCAGTTGTTAAAACCTCAAAATATTCTATTTTCATAGGAAGTGAGAAATTAAAACTACTTAGTAGCTGATACTCATAGCGCTAAAAGTACTAAAGTGATCAAAACAGCTAAGTAACGACGAAACTTACCAGAATCAGAAATGAATTCAATAAGCCAGATCTGTGATGTTTTATCCAACAATTTCGGGATAGCGATAGTTTTGGGTTGGTGTCCAGTTTGAGTTAAATTTAGAGCTCGTTTCCAAGCATTCAGATTGCGACCAACTATAATATATTTGTTAGTAAGACCTGGCTTAAATATTTCTACATTCTCTTCGCACTTCGCTTCACTTTTATGACTTGAACTCGCTGGTGATTCAGAGGGACTAAATGTTCCACCAGGGATAGTAGATACACAATTGAAGTCTGGTGTAGGATCCTGTCTACGGAAAATGATATTTGGAGAACTATCCAGAACCGGAGTCTCATCATGAGAAATAAATGGCTTTAGAAGATCCGAAATCAATTGTTCAACAAACAAACACGAAGAAAGGTTAACAGAAACATCTGTTACAAGCGGTGACTCGATATTTCTTCCTTCCTTCATCCACTGAAAAACAAGTGAACTCAGAGGAATATTCTTATCACTCATAAACGTATTTTTTGAGTCTGAATTTGCCAACTCAATACTATCTGAGCTTCGGGAAGGTCCTGTATGTAAAGCATCATTGTTGCATTCTACGTCCGGAAATACCGATGAAGTCAGAACAAGATGCTCCGTTATTAGGTCGTAAAGAGCGTGATGAACAGAAGTCATTAGACGGACTTTTAGATTGCTCAGATCGGAATGCCCGCGCTCCCACATACGAACTGATAAGACAAGTCTTGGTACTGGATGCCTTTGTAAATCAAACTTAGTAACTTCAGAGAAATCTCTAATGGCTTCAGACATATCTTGAAAACACAAGCTGGAAGACATTCCAGGACAAGCAGACTCATCAGATGATGTGCTTTCCGTAATAATGTAAGGCTTAATGGAACCACAGTTCGTTTTAGGTGTTGTATCGCCAGAAGTTATCATAAGCTGGATCAAGATAGTTGCAACACCATGTTTAGAGAAACCTTGAGCACTTGGACGATTGAAAAGATATAGCTCAGCCTTTCCTAATTCTTTTAGACGCTTTTTAGTATCATCATCAATTTTAACTGGGGTTAAGAATAAAAGAAGATTTTGTCGGAAGTAATGACAAAAGGAGAGAACCGCTTGCCTAACAAACAAACTATGATCATCGCCCGTTAGAAACTTAGGAAGTGAAATATAAAAGTGAACATGAGGGTGTTTAATTCGCCTATTGAGTAAAAACATGAAGTCTTCCAATGTAAGACGATTAATGGCGTTTCGAGAAAGACTGTCTGATATATGCTGCAGAACCAGTCCATCTAAACGAGTTTGTAGCATATGGTGAACTGAAGAACAAAGCTGTCTGCTAGGTCGCGTTATACCATGAAGTGTTATTTGCAAAACGTTTTCCCCAAGATGGTCGTTATGATTGTAAGTTTTTTTTAGATTAACCATGAATCGTTTGTCTTTGTGAATATTTTCTGAGGTTTGTTCCGAACTTCCAAAATAGGACGAAGTAGAAACATCTGAGCCAATATATTTGACTTTATTTTTCTTGGTACTTAACTTTGATTCTGTTTGATTTATCCGTTTATCTAATGGACCTGGTTGCTGCTCGGATGGAAGTGTTGTAGTGGTAAGTTCTTTCAGTAACATATAAAACACGGGGTCTTGCGAAGATTCTGACAATGAGTGTATTGACTGAACTTCTGAGTCACAATAAGCTTGTCTTTTCAGCTTAACATAGGCAGAACTTGATCCTGCTTTGGAAGGGTGGTCAATGAGGAAGAACATATTAGATCGATTGGTTATGGCTAAATTTTCCAAAAGCCGACGAAGGGCCGGAATGATGCGTCTCCCTTTCTCAACAGAATATATTTGGCAGTTAAGAAAGACTCGAGGATGTAAATAAATATAGCTTGTCATCTGTACTGGACAAGCAAATATACCAGGTGGCCAGATTTTACGCTGAAGCGGGAGTTTCGCTTGATTACCACCGACGTTTACTGAATGCTGCGTGGTCTTCAGCACATTGGAAGATTTCATGCAGTTAGCTTTATCGATATGATTGGGAGTGTTTGAGTCAGTCTTTAATTTCTGACAGTTGAGAGCCGCTTTTTCTTTATCTGTTGGAGGTATATGGTGCGTGAATGAACGAAGACGACGTTTATTTCGGATATTCCATTCACGGAAATTACTAACATCAAAAGATCTCTTTTGATTGTTGCTTTCGTCACATTTAAAAGAACTAATAACCTCACGTTTTGTAACTGTATCCACTTCGTCGGCTGGAAGCAAAAGCTGATCACATAGACGTTCGTCATAAAGTTTATTCAATAATAGCTTCTGATTTAGCATTCGAATGACAGAGTAAATGGAACTCACCACATTCTGATAAATAATGCAATACGAGCATTCAAGTGATAATGCACCCTCAGAAGTTTGGTATGATGAATGTTTAGGGAGGGGAAATTTAGACAGTGATAAATCTCGGCACTGCTTCCGAGCGCGAATGCTCTTAATATGTAAATCTGTATGATGAAAGAAAACACTAACTGAGTTTGAACAAATACGGAATATAAACCAAAATGACATGGATTTATGCGATAATTGTGCACATCTATCTGAGGCAAGTGACTGCGCATCCTTCCCTGAAAAATTACTTTCGGGTAGTTTCACACTGTTGGTAAGAGAGCTGCTTTTAAAAACGGATTGATTTTGCTTTTTAGAATAATGGGATTCTAAGCTAGAAAGTGAGTAAGATCTATGAGGTCGACAAACACTTCGCTTAGATGAGTACGATCCCTTATTCATACACCCCCCATTACAAACATTTGAAACATTTTTATGATTATGGGTTTGACATTTCATGGATCTTGGAAGTGAGCCGTTTCGTGCAGTATGAGTAACTGTCATACTATTCGGAAAAAATGATTGAGTTGAGATCTTATCCATAATAACATGTGTATCTTGCAAACAAGGCCTGAAATTCTCAATACCATGAAAATAATTATTTACGTCACCCTCCTTACAACTAATATTTGTTTGTTGTTTTTCTAAAATGCTTTCAGAAGTCTCATCAATATTTGATAGATAGTAGTACCCATTAATATAATGAAGGCATCCATAAGAATGAGAAACAAGCATGCTCTCAAAATATTTCACAAACTGATCAACCACATCAGTGTCATTAGAAACAAAGTCCAAGTGTATTCTTTGCATACGAATCTGTTTTCTAATATCACGAAAGTTCGGTGCTATTGTACATTGTTGTTTTATCATAGGTGATGACCTTTCGAAATCGACATTTGATTTTGAGAGTTCATCTTCACTAGATATATACGAGTAATTGATTAAAATGCTACAAGGATTGAAAAGTGGAGTATGTATTGCCTTACAAGTATCCTCAATGTGTTGTAGAACAGTTTCAAGGGATTTTTCAGTCACTGGAGTGAGGGAACGCATGCTATTTGCCGACTTGTCATGTATATGCCACAGCACTTGAAAAATGAAGAGGCGAAGAAAACACTTCTGTATTGACAGGATTTCGGAGACATAGTTTTGGTTTAACCACTCATCGATGACAATACATTCTTCCTCCATTGTTGAATAAGCCAAGTTAATAGAATAACTTCTGGACGCAAAACAGTTTTGGGGGATATCTGAAGACTCCATTTGCTGATTTCTTACACGATCTGAATTCATTTCTGATTTATTTTTGTGACGCGACTTTCTAAGAATGTAGTCATTAAATCTGTGAGAAGGGAAGAAATCACAATGTGGTCTAACAATAGGTAGAATCTTGACATAAAAATGTAACTGCCCTAGATCGATTTTTAATGCAGAATTGTCATTCGTGGGTGACACGTTATGGTTGCATGAAGAACTGTGTCGAGAAGCACTTTTCAAGATTAGCTCGGATAAAAGTCTGTGAAAATGTGAAGCACAGAAAGCAGGTATTCCTTTGTATAAAGGTACATTGATAGATGCACCTTTGTATTCCAAAATTCCATGAATGCGTAAGAATAGGGGGCAAATATTTGGTGAATTGTCCACAACTAAATGAAACCACTCTACTAATTTTCGTAGTAGTGAATCTGAAGCATGCAAAATAGAATGAGTACAATGAGAAGAAACCTCCCTATTCGACTTTAAAGTGCGTGAATCCCACGGAGCCTCACTCTCTCCACTAGCTTCTGAAAACAGGTTACAAGTCACTGAACTAGTGTATGCATTGTGAGAGTTTGTTTGACTGAGGATTTCTGTAGAATCAACAATGTTCATAGTTTTACTCCAAGAGTTTAAGATATTTTGATTCACAGAGCGATGAACAGTGCGATTTCCTTGACACATCAGCTTAGATTTTGACAATACATAGACACCATCCAATTTCGGCACGGGTGTGAGATATTCAGTGAACGTGCTGTAAAGACAACTCCTCTGAATTTCACAACAATCGCAGTTATTAGTGGAAGATATATGAAATTCAATTGACAGGTTCTCTGAATCTAGAACGCGCAGTGGAGATGTAGATTGTTTTGGTTTTTCACAATCTAGAACATGTAGAGGTTTAGAATGTATACTTCCTTCTACACATGTTTTACTTCTTTTGTGCAGCAGATGAACGTAAGCAAAAAGATGAGAACAGGTAAGTAATGAGAATGACGTAAGATCCACATACAACGGCTGAACTGGAAAATGGTCTTCAGAGTGCTTAAGTATATAATTTACATCTCTAGCGTCAGGAATAGAGTTATACAAAATAATCCGATAAATGGCAACACTGAAGGCGTAACTGTGCGAGTGCTCTAAAATTTCAATATAGAACATTAAGTCGTACCACAATGAGTGCAACTCTTGAGTCAATCTTTCATTTTGACAACCCACATTCAGAAAACAGTCCGGGACTTCACCTGATAAGAAATACAACTTACCAAATATATTACAATCATGTTTATCTGATTGGAGAAAACATCGATCGTTTGAGCGCATATCAATGATGTGAGTATCCGGGGCTTTATATGTCCACTGGTCATCAATTAGATACGAAATGTAAACTCGAGAACATGAATAGATAAATACAGGAAGAGATGGATGGTCTGATACATCAGAAGTTCCTAGGTGATTGTTTACTATACTAAGCATAATAGGATGAAATGCATCATTTACTGTGGCTGGTATAAGAATCACCGTAACCATAGGATTCGGTTCATCAATAACATGTGAAACAACGGATTGCTTTAGTGATCCTCGGCCAACAAAACAACGTAATTTCGGGAGATCAATATCAGTACTTTCTGGATATTCAGATCTCATGTTGTAGCCCCACTTGAAGAAGATATTTTTTAGTTCACTTGTAGAAATTGGAACCTCCACCAACAAACCGGAATTTAGGAGACGTGAGTTCAAACTTTCTAACAGACATTCGTTGTGAACACTATTTAAATGATTAGATGAAACTTTCTTGTTAACATCCCCTAATAAGGGGAACAAAGCAATCAGGTTTGGGCACCGAGATATCAGCCTAGATATACTGCTATATACTAGACAGATTTCTGTCGGACATTCATCACTCAATAAAGTTACCTTTTTAGGAGAACCAATACAGACCTTAGATTTGTTTGTTACAAAGCTGTATAAGTTATCCAATGTTATGTATGAAACTATACACTCTTCGTCTTCATTAAAAATAATTCGAGGCAACTCAGAAAAGGTAGATCCTGACCAGTTATCAGCTTCCGAGTGAACTGAGTTAATGGTGCCACTGATAGGCTGGATCCATATTTCTGAAGCAATGATGATGGGAGAAAGTGAGGATTTTTTAATCTCACGAGCAGATGAAGAATCAGGTGAACTTAATACATCTAGCAGCAGAGAATCAATATGGCTCTTTAAAAAGTTATTTATAACGGTCAAGTGTCCTAAATCATGTCCCTGAAATCCTACATTTGTAGGATCAACAGTTGGATATACTTGATATTGAACCAAACATGGAGTTTCAGCATTACTGATTCCAACTGACTGCATTTTCAGTTCAGTTAACAAAGACACAAATCCAGATTGAGGACCTACTCGAGCTAAATGAAATCCTTCTTGTAACCGAGTGTTTAAAAGACTTGAAAATATAGACTGCATACATGACTTCCAAGTTGATGAAAAAACTGCCCACACATAAACAGAATGATGGAGATGTTGCGCCAGCAACACTGGATTGATAGTCGAATAATTTACTGGAACGCTTTGCGGAAACAATAGCCTATTATTTTTGCATGATTTCGAAGAACGTTCAGATTCCTGAGCACGATCAAGCTTGACAGACTTATTTTTATCGGTAGAAATATGGTTCGAGGCTTTTAGCAAAGGGTTACAGAATGTACCGAAATCTATTACAAGACGATCAAGTCTAGTATTGAAGATTGTGCAACAGGGTGTATCCTCCCAGGAGCGTTGAAGAGGTGGGATATGTTTGCACTCAGTCACATGCTGAAAAGTCCCAGATTTGTGCCTAGATTTGGGAATAGCTTGGCGTCCTCTTGGTGGAAAACGGAGAGATTTTAATTGTGCTTTAAGATACTCGATAATTTCACGTTGAATATCAATGGGAGTATCATTAACAAAGGCAATGCAAAATTTAACTTCAGGAATTTTTAGTTCAAGACGAATCAAACAGAAGTGAGACACGGAAACTCCAGAACATGTTTTATTGCAGCCAACATCACATTCACTAACTTTCTTCGGGTCTAAGGTTTCTTGAGTAGCCACGGGGATGGAAGAAATTGACGATAAAGAACTGGATTTATGTACAAGTCGTCCAACAAGAAAGTCGCTGATATGAAACAACTTTATGTAAGTACTATTTTCAAGCAAAACAAAACTTGACCATTGTGAAAGAAGAGTATGTACACGGAAAAGAGCTTGACGGCAGGATAGAGGAGAAGTATCGCGCTTGTCTGATGGCGGGAAATGTAAATTGGGTGGTAGAGGTGAATCGTATTCCAGGAGTAAAAATAAGTGATGCAAGTCCATCCAGCGATAGCATTGAACTAGGTCAATATCAATGAAAAGTCTCCAATAGTCTATAAAGCGTAGAAGAGATACATAGTCAGGATTATTCGTCGGTTGTAGATCTTGAAGTATGGGTGATGAAACCAATTCGCCTTGAAGATTGTTTTTCATGACAAACACAGGATACAAACGGTTAGAAAATGAATCGGGAACCTTGCGAACAAATGGATCCCTATTGAACTCATAAACATGTGCTAAAAGTAGATCATTTAAAGTTATTATTTGAACAGGAAATGGGAGACGAGAAAGCATTGACGACAGTTCCAAACTACTGTAGGGTAAAGCATATCTGTTAACGAAATGTTGTAGAAATGAATAATTTGCCTCGACTTTTAATTCTACCAATGATTTTTCTGAATTGGTAGAAGGGTCAGCAAAGTGAGATAACAAAGCACCTTCAGGTATGTTCTTTGTAGTAAAATCGGTCGAGCCATTTACAATAGAGGAACGAAGTATTCGTGTCCATCCCCCACGTATAGAACAGTGGAATGTTATATTTACACCCCATACCATTACAAGATCTAACTTTAATCTTTTGGCCACAGAATCACTAGAAATTTGTTCGTTCTCAGTAATTGGAACACATACTTTTGTTTCTTCACTATTATTGCAAGCAGAAGCATCTCCAGTAACCAAATGGTTTTTTTGGGGAGTATTCTTCTTAGTTAGTGAGATAGATTTAAGCCGGAACCCACTTTTTAATCTTGTCATCAATAAAATATGTGCAGGCAATTCTACAATTTTAGAAACTGCTTTGACCATTACCCGAGAGTCACAGTTAAAATCACCATTACATGCTGTGTATTCGCTACGATGAAAGACAGGGACAGCTAACAAAGATTCGGCCAATTTATTCCATGAATTCGTATTAACCGCTAAATTTTGAGATTCATCGGGGATAGTGATGATAAATCCGTCGGTGTTACTGGCTAAAATATTACATAGCTCCACTTGCTGGATACCGGCAGTCACGAGAGAAGATTGCTTAAACAAATTGTTAGGAGTACATGATTTGTGGATATCAGGAGTAATATTGTCTGTCATCAAAATAAAAACACATCGAATATTTTCTATATTCAAATGAGAGGTGACTAATTCTGGAACACTGAAGTCAGATGCTGTAAAACAGCCATCTGTAAAGAACAAGATTGTAGCAGGTCCTGAACTGGGAGTCAACAATGACACAGATAAGGCTCCATGTCTAAGAAGGTCTGATAAGGAAACATATCGTCTTCCAATGTATTCGGAGTGATCATGCTTACTTTTAATGTCTTCTAAAAACTTACGCTCAAGTTTAACAAGCGAACGAGAAATATAAGCTATTTTGCTAGGAATCTCTTGAGCGTTAACAGCCCAACCAGACAATAATGTATAGCACTGTGAGTTAGGAACAACAACGATCACTGAACAATAAACAGTTAAATCAGACAATTTGTAGCCAGTTCCGGGAAAACTATAAGAGCTGGGTTCAGAAAGGATGTAGAAAATTTGGTTGATTGTTTTTACAATACTGTTAATATAACATGTTCCAACTTTACTTGAACACAAAGTCGACCAACTAAAGTCAATGGCAAAGGTAAATCGGTAAGAATGGTATAAACAAAACAGTTCTGTTTTTTCTGAAAACCGCAAAATCGCATTGCTTTGTAGTGCATCACGGGTAATAAAAGAAACAATCTGGAATGGGTAGTTTCTTGTGTCTTTAGGATCCTTGAAAAAGCCAAAATTAGACTTACATTTTTCATCATACATAAATGGATAATCTAAATAATCAACAAACCAAGTGACAAGAGACTGTGGAGTTATAATTCCATCTTTTGTATAGCAGGCATACAGTCTTTTGACAAAGATGCTGCTATCATCTTCTGAACCCGACATAACTGTTATGAGAACATTGATGTACGTAAAACTTTCAATCTACACTGTTTTGTTTATAAGTATCGAGCCAAAGGTCTCGTATGATCGACCACTGATGTATCAGAAATGATTTGTTGATGTGATCAGTTATTCCTCTAGATTGCCCGATAACCTGGAAAATGAAACACTGAATAGTCAAATCAGTTGACAAAAGTTACCTAAAATAAGCTCTGGAAACTGGAACTTAGTCAAGCACAAAACAGAACGTGGTACATATGTGCGCTGGTTCTAGTTGCCGTGTTAGATCAGTACAGTAAAACTCCAGGGTACTATAAGTAGTTACGGTATTAGTGGTATTAGAAAAGATAAAGCATAAGATTTGATTCGTGAAAGTATGGACTTGGGAACCGAGCAACTGAGGATCTAAGGAGAGATAGAAAGAATGCACCTGCAAAATTTTGAAAGATTCTAAGCCCTATAGCCTAAAGTGTTAAACCAAAGGTCAAGATGATTGTGCTGAACCCAAACAAGTAGTCTGCATCTACCTATATATCTGAGTTCAGCAGTACAACAATCGATGGACTTATATCAAATTCAGTTTTGTTAACCCCTAGCTTACTTGCAATGTGCACAAGGCATTTCCCTCTCAGACAGGAAATAGTTGGACATACACAGTTTACAACAGCCACCTCAGTTGGAGAAGATTAACTGACGCAGGTATAGGTCTCTCATCTCTGCCCAGTACTTTGCATCTGATCTCATCATTGCTCACCCAGTGGTAGTAACAGATTCGACCAATGCTTCGAAGGAATCTACGTTTAAATACTAGTAATCTGCAAATATATTTTATTTTTCAAGGCCCAAACACGGCAATATCAAAGAATAATGGAATGCTCAGTTTACTTATTACTGGTTGGGAGATGAACTTCTCACCCAGGCCCAAAGTTAGTAAAACACCGACTTAACAGGGCTTACTGACAGATACAACGCAGAACTTCGTACGTACGTACATCAGTTCAGGTTGCCATACCGCATCAGCACAGAGACGCAACTTTCAATTCAAATACAATAGTGCTAGCGATAGTAGAAGCATTAGCAGTAATGAAGAAGACTAGGGTTAGAAGATATGATTCGAGAAGTATAATTCAGTGAAATAAATTTGGAAAGAGAAAGATAGGAACGATGAGGAATTTAGAAAGTTAAAATTTGAGGGAACATATAGAATGGGTGAACTTGCGCCATAGCGAACGATCTTGAGCCATGTCGTTCAAGGTCCCTAACCATTGTTGACTTACGTCTCGCAGACCACGACCAGGTAGCCTACATCTTGATGGAATTAAGTCCAATTCCTAAATTCTACCTAAGATCCCAGTCAATCTAGCTGCCAAAACTGGACCACCATCCTTAGAAATCTCAGGTGTCAATCTATCAGGAGCCGCTGCTCTCTCACGCTTCAGATTTCCTATAGCTTTCTCAACTTACATCGATTTGCCATTCAGGTTGACTGGAGATCGTGCGTAAGCAAAGAGTGGCTGAAGGTCAATCGAACTGATCCCTGAAGTGCTCTGCCCATCGATCCAATCCTCTGGATTGAGAATGAATAATAAAACCATCCTTCTCCGAGATAATCTCATTCACATTCGGGTTCCTAATACCAGTTTACTTGATGAGTCTGAACAGTTGCCCACTGTTGCCTATCGCGGTCGTTACGTAGGCTTTATATCAGCCTGCGCTTAAGCTGATTTCACTCTTCATCATGTTTAGAGTCAGGTGGGATAAGTATACGAGCCTCCATCACTTCGGTGGATGCTACTGAGATCCACGGCTTCTCCCAAGCCTTATAGTTTACCTTACTAGCAGATATCACTGCTGTTTCCACAGCCTTTTTGATATCATTCCAACCTCCCTCCGGATGGGAATCACTTACCCGGTCGCCTAACTGATTTTCTAGTTGTTCCTGAGTCAGTCAGTCAGTTTCAACGTAGAACTTCGTACGTGTGTACATAAGTTCATGTTGCCATGCCACATTGACACACACAAGCAGATATCAAATCAAATCCCTTAGTGATAAAGATAGTAGAGGTATTAATGGTAATGAAGAAGAATAGGGTTCGAAGATATTATTCAAGTATAATTCAGTGAGATAAGGTTAGAAAGACAAGGATAGAGGTGCTGACGATTCCAGAAGATTAGGATTTGAGAGAGCTCAACGAATGGATGCACTTGCGCCATTGAAAACGATTTCGAGCAATGTCATTCAAGGTCTTTAACCATTGGTGACGATCGTTTCGCGGACCCCAACCAGGTACCCTACATCTACCAACATGACTCAGTCCACTAGTCAGTGACTTCATGGATTTATGCCATGTTTTGAGTGGGCCGCCCCTAACTTTCTTCCAACCTACTCCTACACCACAAAACAGCTCGTCGAGGCAGTCGGTGGTTCGGCATACGTAACACATGTCCCAACCACCTCAACTGATGAAGTTTCACCACTTCATCGATTGCTCTCCCATCCTTACCTAGTACTCGTTTCCTAACGACAGCACTGCTTACTCGGCTGTCCCACGATATACGAGCAATGCTTCTTAAACATCTATGATCGAATACTAGTAACCTACGAACACCTTCTACTCTTAACGGCCATGTTTCGCATCAATATAGGAGAACGGAGCAAACTGCTGCGCAGTACACTCGTCCTTTGTTCAGCGAACAGATATCTCGCCTACGGCATAAGTGACGCAGGTTGGCAAAAGCAAATCGAGCTTTCTGTATCCGAGCTGAGATTTCGTCAGTCACCAGGCCATCGGCACTGATGAGACACCCCAGATAAGTGAAGCGGTCTACGCGTTCGACTACTTCACTCCCTATCAATAGTTCAGGTGCCGATGCAAACCAGTCTTGAAGTAACATTTTGCATTTCGAGGGGGAAAACCGCATACCGAACATGCTTGCATTGTTCCTTAGGGTAGTCAGAAGACTCTGCATTTTGTCAGCGTCTTCACCAAGTAGGACAATGTCATCGGCATATTCTAAGTCAATAAGCGAGCCACCTGGTTAAAGGTCTACTCCTGAAAATTCAGACGAGGACAATGTTATGTCTAGGAGCATGTTTATGATAAAATTAAACAAGAATGGAGAAAGTGGACATCCTTGACGGACACCACTTGATGTAGAGAATTCCGGTGACAGTTCGCCATAAGCTCTCACTCGACCAGTGGTGTTCGAGTAGAGAGCTTGTATAAGGTTAATGTACTTCTTTGGTACACCTTTCAATGACAGACACTGCCACAGAACCTCACGATCCACAAAGTCAAACGCCGCTTTTAGGTCCAGGAACACGACTATTGTCGGACGCCTAAATGTGTGTCTATGTTCCAGGACCTGTCGCAGTGTGAAGATGTGGTCTATACAACCACGTCCAGGTCGAAAACCAGACTGGTTTTCTCGAGTCTGCTCTTCACGAGCTCTAGTTAGACCATAGAGGAGACCAACTCAGGTAACTTATCCTTCGTTTGGGTAGACATCGCTGGTCGACTGGAGAAAGTCAATGCAAGTTTGGCAGCGTTGAATGTTCTACTAATTACTCTTATTAATCTGTCCTGCAGAGTATCGCAGGCCACATCCCCGTTGAAATGTAACTTTATAAATAAAGGTTTCTTTTGGGCGGTCGAAACTACCGACTTCTTTTTTACGGCAGACATATACTTCTTAATGAATGCGCTGGGATAACCAATCTCGGTTAGTGAGTCGTTGATGAATTCCAGCTCCTGACTTAAGGTATCCACTGAACAAATCATATTTGCTCTGTTAGTGAGGCATCTAACCAAATTTCTTTTGTAGCGGATAGGTGTAAAACTACAAAAGTGAGTGTATTGGCAAGCACTGGGATTTTTTCTATATACGCTTCTACTTAGTGAACCATCATTACGTCTACTTAGTGTGATGTCAAGGAAACTCAGTTTCTTATCGTATTCTTCTTCACCAGTGAACGTGATTGCCGGGTGTACACTGTTGAATTCCTCTAAGAGTTTTTCTTTTTTGATGTCCTGATCTACAATGGTGAATGTGTCATCGACGTAACGGCAATATAGATCAAGTTTCTGAATAGTTTCATTTAGTGGTTCATTTTCTAGCTTTGCTAGAAAGAGATCAGCTAGGATTGGGCCAAGAGGTGAACCCATGGCTATACCATCATCTATTTGTCTGTAATAATTGTTGTTGAATACGAAATGGACGTTCATCGTACATCTTAGGAGTAATTCTTTAAGGCAATCTTCGGGCAAGCCAATATTGATTTGTTTCTCCTTAATTTGTTCGCATATGAATTCAATGGTCTCAAGGAGTGGTACGTTGGTAAACAAAGAAACTACATCCAGTGAGATCATATTTTTCCTGCTAACATTCATATTTTCTATCTTGGAAGTGAATTCAAAAACGTCTTTTACACTCCTACGTACGGCTGATTTATACAATGGCTCTAAAATTCGAACTAGCCACTTCGCAATTTTATGGTACGGGGAATTAAACATATTAAGAACCGGGCGTAGAGGAAGACCCGATTTATGAACTTTTGGTAAACCATATAGTCGTGGTGTGTAGGATCCAGTAGGCTTAATTAAGTCGTAGATTTCAGGCGTGATAATACCTTTTTTCTTTAATTCCTTGATAGAGTTTGTCAATTGATTTTCTACTTTTTTATTGATATCATTATTACAGGTGACTTTTTGGAACTTGCTAGGATCATCGAGCATTCCTTCCATTTTATTTATGTAATCAGTTTTATTCATAAGAACGATACCTCCCCCCTTGTCTGGTTTGCTTAGTCAGTCAGTCAGTCAGATGCAACGTAGAACTTTGTACATAAGTACATCAGTTCATGTTGCCATACCACATCAGCACAGAGATGTAATTGTCAATTCAAATCCAATAGTAGAAGAGGTTGTAGTGGAACTATTTTGTCGAAAAACCACGATTACTGATGTACAAATACTTATTATTGAACATATGTAACATTAACTGTTTTATTGTATACCATTTGTTTATTTGTACTAAAAGTCACTTCCGAGCGCCACCCACGCAGCCCCTGCGGATCTAACGATCGTCTCGTGTAATCATCGATTGTACAAGCTGAACACGTGATATTATTCTAATATCACTCGACTTTCTATT